TTGAGTACAACTTGAAGGAAACCACCTTATTTCTTGCAGGCCAATCCCCAGCGGTCCATTGGTTCAAGTTGGTATGGAAGGCTTCTATAATTCCTCGCATGAAATTCAATATGTGGCTGGCTGTGCAATCAAGATTACCTACCCTGGACTCCAAAGCTATGGCACTTCATCATAACTTGTGTGTTCTTTGCAACAGCAGCCAAGAATCTCATGATCATCTTTTTCTTCAAGTGTCCTTTTGTTTCCCCTATCTGGCGATTCATTCGTGACAAATGCAATCTAATTACACCGAATGTGAATTGGGAAAACCTAATTAGATGGCTCTCCTCACAATGGAAGAGGAATTCAGCTCTGAATCTTCTTCGGAAGGTATGTCTCTCAGCTTTGATCTACCACATATAGGAAGAGAGGAACGAAAGAATCTTCAACAGGAAAAAGTCTTCCACCAGAGTGGTCTCAAACAAAATCTGTTACACCATAATATCGATTATGAAGTTGGGATTCCTATATGATTGTTCAAGCTCTCGGAAAATCCTCTGTGAGAGGAACCTGTCTCTATCTTGTTGCCGTCCGCCACCTCATCCACCTGATCTTCCTCCTTGAGTTGCAGATGTAACTCGTCATCATTGCTTCACCGGAATTGCTTCACTGGAACCGCCATTAACGGTCTGATTCGTTAATGCTTGTTGTTGTACCTGTTTGGGCTGGGCTAGGTTAGGCTTATCGGTTCTCTTGATTGGGGTTGCTTTTGTTAGGCTTTGTTTTCCCCTCCATTGGGCCTGGTTTCTGGCCAAAGGCCTACTTTTGTAATTATTCTATTCATAAATATATTCAGTTGCTTTACTTTCCAAAAAAAAAAAAAAATTGTATGTACTATTTTATGATGTACAAATCATAGGAAATTAGGGAAATTCATTTCACCACCTGAGAAGCATCGAAAAGTCTCGCTGGCAACAAATATGAATAACACGCTTGAAAGAATCTGCAATTGTTGAACAAAATAACTGGAACACCAAAAGGAGGAGATTTTTACACGTTTACTTGCCACACCTCTTGTTCTTACAAAAAGATCTTCGACTGTTGTTAGTTGCACTTGAAAAGCATAAGTTACGACTCACTTGGCTAAAAATACGTTTTCTAATACACAATATCCATAGTTATTTTTTATTTTTTGAAATTACCATTATACAATTTTTATTTTTTTAAAGATGGATAGTATTAACGTACTCAAAATTATTTTAAAAGAATATTCATATGATATTATTTTTGTTTCATTAATTAATGATAGTGGTCTATTTTATATTTAGTGAATGTGTGGTTTCTATATTTTGTTGATATCAATAATTAATATATTGTATTTGTTTTGACAAATGTTATTTTTGTGACAGGTTCGGGCCACCTGATATATGTATTCTTTGAGAAAAATAATTAGACTTGAACAAATTTAAGATAAATTTTATAAAAATATTAAGATATAATCAAATGTTTAATAATCAAAAAAAAAAAAAAAAAAAATTTAAAAGTATGTTGTTTGGAAAGAAGAAACCTATATAACTGATAAAATAATATTTATTTATTATCTAATTAAGTTAGGTTTAGATTGCGGACTTTAAACTTCTTTTCAAACCTGCCCCTAACAAAACCAGTCCTAATAAGAGTAGGACCACTGTTTTTGCTTTCCCAATCCATTGTTTTGAGCGGAAGCGTGCTCGAAGTTTGAGAACGACATCAATTGAGAAGAATTGTATGAGTTAGTAGTTTTCTATATTATAATTTCAAGAAATTAATCTTATGCATATTCTTATTAATAATAGAACATACAAATAAATAAATCCAAGTAATAGCACAATTATTAATCAAACATTTTTTCTTTTATTTAGGTGCACTATTTTAGAGATTTCTATAAGTTGAGAAATTTGAACTATTATCTAAAAACTGGTAAGATATTACTTACCCAACAAAATAATCTAAGATATTTCAAAAGGTGCAAAAAATTTTACTCTAGAATAATATAAAGAAAGTGAAGAGTTGGGGTGGACTATAAATACCCGAAGGGTTTTAATAGCAATTCATCCCATTAATAAAATAAAATTTCTTCCTCTTGCAATGTGCTTTTCTAAATTGAGGGGACAGCAACAGTTTGCAACACAAGCCCAATTGTTTTTTAAAATTTTTGGGAGGAGATGTAATTAATGGTTGTTAATTCTTTATCGGTTTAGATTTTAAGAGTTGGTGACATACAAAATATTGGATGTCTTGTTAAATCGAAATGCCTTTTTGATATTTTCTTATAAGGTCAATTTTAAATTATATATCTTTAACTAGTATATATCCCAATTTTTACTTATATCCAATTTAGAACTCAATGTTTAATAAATCATTACATGTAATTTAATTGAAGTTTCAGCCATAAATTAAAACAGCACGATTGGTGGAAAAAAATGGTATTGTTGAATGTTGATGACCTCAAATAATTATATCCATTGTGGGTCAAGTAAAACCACATCCTGCATGATATACATGCATGGCATGTTGCGGATCCGCGTAATTGTGTTATGGTGCACACCAGAAATGTATACTATCTTGTACGGACTTGTTAGTGGACCAGGACAATGGAACAGGCTTGACAATCCAGCTATAGGCCCATAGCCTTAATGAAACGAGTGATCGGCCCAAGTTACAAAGTAATACAAAAAAGCCCACCCAAAAGCTAAATCCATTCACATGAATGAACAAAAAACATATTTGGTAGGACTTGTGACCCTAATATTTTTAAAATACTCTATATATATTTTTTTTAGTTGAAATTTAAAGGAAATAAAGTACAATAATTAGTGAAAACTAGCTATTTTTTGAATGCTATATTAATAAATATATATATATAAATAAATAAAATTAAAATAAGATCCTCAAAACACTAAGCTGCCAAATATATCTCTATTATTGAATTGAATTTATAAACAAAGTAAGATGGGCTCTCTTGTTCTTTTCTCTTCATTGGGCCGGGTCGTTTCAGTTACTTGATTGGGCCTTTGTTGGGTTCTCTCCTTCGTCTCGTATATACCCTTTTTGCTCTAAAAAAATATTTATTTATAGAAGAAATAAATAGATATTATTAAATATAACAAACTTCAAATAACTCTCCACACCTCCAATTAATAGGATCACACCCAGCTTAGCGGTATCTCTTCTACCTCCGAGAAGGGATGTGGAGAGTTTTAATCCCGTAGAAACAAATAAATATGTGAGTTTCTTGACAGTAATATAAAAAATTTAAAATTAATTAGGACCAAAATGGTTAATGACACTTTCTTTCTTTCTTATTTATGTTTGTAGAAAAAAAGACTTAAGTGACATCAAAATAGTGTAACTGCAACTTTAAATTGCCCAAAAGTTAATTAATATATTTAATTATGTGAATTAATATAACTGTATAAAATAAAGTTAAAAAGAATGTCAAAACTGTTATAGCTTATAACACCCACATAATTAAATGCTTCCATGGCACAAAAAAGAGTTGGTTGGAAGTTTAGTACAACTGTTGGCATAAAATAAAATAAAATAACATAAAATAAAATAAAATAAAAGAAGAAGTAATATTTAGTATTTAAGTCATATCTGTTTCACACTCTCAAATTTAATGGTGTAACAAATTTAACCAACTTTGGGTTGTTTTTATGTTTTTTTATTTCATATAAAATTAAAGTTGTGTTTGAGCAATGCTTAGCTCATCAGTCATCACACTCTTGAGAAATTTCCAAACCACCCTCAAACTTGCAAATTAAGTTTCCAATAGGGTCATTTTCAACCTTGTTGTTCAAAGCATCACTTTGAAATTTATTTATTTATTAGGAACTTTTTGCTCATTTGTCCTTATATTAAAATTATAACAATAGGGCTTTAACTTAGCCACATCTTAAAATAGTTTGAGAGACATTATTTTAAACAAAAAAATCATTTTCCTTCTATATAGATAATGAAATGAACAATTATTAAAATATCATATAAGGTACTACTAATCCTACATTTCACAATTTGGGTATAACTTATCTAGAAAGTGATCAAATTCAATCAATCAATATGTTTTTGACTATTGTTACAGGGGTGTTTGTATCACATCGAATTTGATTAAAAAGTGAAGAGGTATAAATAGGTAGGTATTTAATACTACGCAATCGTTTAAATTTTTTAATAAATAGGTAAGCGCTCACTCATTATAATTAAGATTAGAGCCAAACCCAATCCTTATTCTGGTGCCACGCTAAGCGCTTGACGTGGAAAACGTTTGGGTGAGCCACCCGGATAGGCAAGCTGGCTCGACCGAGGATATTCATCTCACATCGGATCTCAATAGAAAGTGAAAGGGATATGCAGCACTACCCAACAGCTTAAATTTTTAAATAAGGATTTCCCACCAGTTACATATATATATATATATATATACACACACGCACACTCATATACATAAATTACATAAATATACAAAGTATAATTATAATATTATTAGAGTTGCTATATCATTAAGAATTTGTATGTCTTAATATTTGATAATTTTATTTAAATTAATCAAATATTGTAATATTAGTAGTTTCTCCTAAACCTTCAAACCCGGATGGTGAATTCAAGTTATGGAGCCAAATAAGGGTGTAAATTACTTGCTAAAGAAAAATAAAATAAAATAAAAATAACTAAATTATATAAATATAAATATAAAAGTATAGTTATAATACAGTCGGAGTCCTAAATTAACTTATTGTATGCATGCATATCTGAACTTTCGAACACTACAACCGCGTATATCTGAACTTTCCAAACTCCACAACAATTTGTGTGTGTGTCCAGTAATTTATGTATTTCTTTTGTATATACACATAAATTATATAAATATACAAGTATAGTATAGAGTTATAATACAATTAGAGACGATTCCGTCTCCCGCCACATCTTATAGCGATATAACAGTGACTCTTTTCACGTGTCCTTTTTTCCCGTCTCTCTCTCTCCTCTCTCTCATTCTCTCTATCCTTTATTGATTCAACACAAAAGGACCTAAACCCTCTCTTTCTCTCTCTAGATTTCGTCTCTCCTATTCTTTTCTGTTTTCCTTCCACTTTCTCTCTCTTCCCTCGCTCGCTCCCCTGAACTCGATCGACAGATGCAACCATCACTTTTCGAATCAAATTCGATCAAAGAATAGTATTTGATTTCTATCGTACACACATTCAAACATAGTATCTTAATCTTCCGGAGATTCGATACCAAAAGGACACCATTCTGTCGATTGCGTTCCTCCCAGCAAATTAGGGTTTCGTTTGGTGGTAATCGGGTCATTTGTGTTTTTCATCTTATCAGGTTCTGCTCTCATTTATTTTTATTCTTTGTTCGATCTAATTTTTTTTTTTTGGTCCTTGTATTCATATTCTTCGCAAATCCCAATTTGATTAGGTTAACAGATGAAAAAAGAAAAAAAAAGCTTGATTTGATTTGTATTCCATAGTCATCTTTAACTACAGTCTCGTTTTTCTATCGTTTCCATAGCTGATATTAGGGTTCCTACAAGAAACTCTGTGAAATTTCTTGGTGCGTTGTTTTAGTTTGCTATCCAAAATCGAGGGTTTCCTTGTTGAATCTTTCGTTCTTTCTTCGTGTTTCCTAATTTTTTTTTTCTTTTTTTTTTTATTGGAAAACTATACCCGAAATCTAGGGTTTGTTTTAAAGATCGGGTTGGGGCATTTAGGATGGCCTTAAATTTTTCTCATCGTCCCATCTTTCCGGCCTATTTGGCTGAAGACAATCTTGTTTCACCGATGAGGATTGCTAATGGGTATTTTGTGGAAGGAATTTCAGAGAGAGATGGGGATGGTTTCCCGGAAGTTGAGGATTGCTTTGATTATATGAGGGATAGAGTTGATTTGGGTGGCTCGCCTGAGTCTGTGTCTAAAGACATTCTTGAACTTTTGCCTTCAGATCCTTTTGGTATGGACATAAGTACTACTTACACGGCAATTACGGGGTGGCTTGAAGATTTGGAGGTGGACTATGGAGGTTATGGGAGGAATAACATCGGGGCACATAGCGAAGATTATGGTTTAGTTGCAGGGTTGAATTGGATTTGGAACAAGGCTGCGAGATTCCAGGCAGTTCCTGCCAACATGCAGTTTGATGACAAATCTAATGCAGCTTGTTTAATTGATGGATGTACTCGAGGGAAAGAATTGGGGAATGCATTGTGCCGAGATGGATTTGGCTTAGCTGGCAATGTGGATGACGCGGTGAGTTCTGACAATAGGAGTAGTCGCACCGTTGACCAACTAATTGAAGAATGTCAGGAGCTTTCTGGAAGTTGTTCTGAAGAAGACAAGGGAACTCCTCATCCGGCTTTGTCTTTTGCCCTTAGTTTTTTGAGTGTGAGAGATCTTCTTTCTGTGGAAAGGGTTTGTAAATATTTGCATTCCACAGTTCGATGTGATCCCCTTCTTTGGAGGAATATCCACATTGCTCAACCTTTGAATGAGAGGATCACAGATGATGTTCTTTTCAAATTAACAAGCAGGGCTCAGGGCAACTTGCAATGTTTGAGCTTGTTGGAGTGCCCAAGGATTACTGATGATGGTCTGAAGCGTGTACTTGAAACTAATCCGAGGTTAACCAAGGTCAGTAAGACTTCATTTAATCAATATCAGATCTCATGCTGGTTCTATAATCTGTGTTGTTGTTTATATGCATTATATATTTGTGGATGTCCATGGTGTTTTTGTGTGTGTGTGTTGGGGGGGTGGGGAAGTTGATGTCTTCTACAAAACAAGTCTGACTTCTTTAAGGTTCTGAAGTCTTTAGAGTCATGTGTTCATAGTTTTTCTACTTTATGATCTCTGTTTCATTTTCTGTCAAGGATGTGCTCACCTTTCTGTTATTCTAGTTCATTAATTGGATGTTTTTATTATGAGTTGCCTCTCCTCAGAAGCCTTTGGCTCGTGGGAGTTATTCATTACGTAGATCTGGCTTTAACATGTCAATCAGAGTTTGTATTGCTCGGTTTTAAGACGGTAATTAAAACATGAAGGTCACATAATATGTCGGAGAAAAGTGGGAAACGGTAAACACCATCTTTGTCTTTTAGTTGGTGTGACAAGGACTTATTTATGATATAAGAGTAGGCTAAAGTTAATGTGTTTGTGTGTAAATATATGGATATACATTTATCTAATTTTGCAGTTTGTTAGATTCATTTGATACTCTCGTATCCAGCTGAAACATGTACATAGTCAATTAAATCATTCTTGTTTATCAGATTGGGAGGTCAAAAGCATACTCATTAACTTCTTTTAAAATATAATAATAAGGAATTATGTTATGTATGTTCTTTGTATATTTAATAGAGGATTTTTTGCCAGTTATTATGCACACGTCACATGCATATTGTGTATGTGGATTTACCCTAAATATATATTTGGAAGGGACTGATCTTGGTTGTTTCTCATGGCTTTAAGTTGAACCACCTAGTTTTGGTGAATTAGATTTGGTTAAGTTGATTTTTTTGTGGCACCCGAACCAACTTGCACTCTATGGTCATGTTTTGACAATTATATGGACTTAAGGGTGTTAAAATTGGACCTCTGGCATTCCTGCTCCTAAATTAAACAGGAATTGTGCAGTTTTTGTTATAGTTATTCTAATAGAATGGAGTTCTTTGTTTGAGATTTAATTTGCTTGCTACATGCTTTCGGTTGTGTTGGCTGCTAAATTTTTATTGTTTCATGCAGCTCTGTGTTGCCGGATGTACGAGACTCAGTATTGATGGTATTGTGAATAGCTTAAAGGCTTTTAAGTCTAAAGGTACACCAGGGATAAAGCACCTCAGAATTGGTGGGCTCTATGGCGTAACACATGAGCATTTTGAAGAATTGAGGTTTCTGTTAGGCGCAGATAACTCCATGCAGCAAAATGGTCACAAGCCACATTTCTACCATAAAGGAAACTTTTACATGTTGTGCGATGATGATCGTGCTATTGATATTGAAGCATGTCCGAGGTGCCAAAAGTTGAGGCTAGTCTATGATTGCCCTGCCGAGGGTTGTCAAGTGAAAGACCATGGTACTCAGGTATGTAGGGCATGCACGCTCTGTATAGCACGTTGTGTTCAGTGTGGCCGGTGTGTCAATGACAGTGAATATGAAGAAACATTTTGTCTGGAATTTCTTTGTTCAGATTGTTCTAAACAGCTACTTAATCCAAGAGAGGCTGGATAGAAAGGTTGCTTCCACGAACCAAAGTCGTAACTTGTCTTCTTGACTAGAGGTTGATATTGTTTGTGTCATCTGTTTCATTTTAGGGATGAGGATTGGCAGCCATATGGTTGGCTATTTGGATACAAACGCACAAATTCGAGGCAGCCAAATGAGATAGTGGCTTGCTTTCTGCCTAACTGTTGTGCTTTAAACTCGTGGTCTGTGTTCCTCTTGGTGGGTCGCATTTGGGGATCAGTTGATCTCAATTTTATGGCTATATGGAGAAAACAATAGAGAAAAGAGAAAATTAAAAGCAGAAAAAGATTATGAAAACAGAAAAGGGGATTTGTGTTTGAAGAAAGTGAAGATTTACTTATAATCCCAAAAAAAAAAAGAAAAAGAAAAAGAAAAAGAAAGTGAAAAAAATTTGTGAGGCCTTCAGGTCTGCTCGTCCTGCATATTCTGCTCGAGCGAAACGATGTCTCATGGTAAGTGATTGGAGTTGTTGGTAGTAGTTCTTGAAGGAATCGAAACAACAGCAATACTGTCGATATGTCCTGCCCATTTGTGATTTTGGGTACTGCCACGTAGAAAACGGTAATTAATAGTAATTGGTTTGCTTGTGGATGTTGGGAAGGGGGATGGACTGATACAGAATTTCATTGCTTTCATATGGTGGTATTTTGGTGAGAACCAGGAAAATGGCTTGGGTATTGTATGATGGACAGAAGGTGTTGTTTTTCAGTACAGCCCATTAAAGCATGGCCGTCAGTTATTTTGTAGCGATGAAGGGGGAAGAAAAGAACGGCGGCAAATCATGGATGTGACCTCTCCATCATCAATCAAGTATTTTATTGATTATTATTCAAACAATGCGCGTGTGTTTCTGTTCGAGCATTAGTATTCCATGATTGCAGGAAAAGCTTTTGATGGAGCCGCAAAGCAAGTTCTTTCCTGTCTCAAGCAAGGGGAAGTCTATCCATTTTGCCACTTTACCCGCTCTTCTTACCTTTATGTCTCCTTTCCCACTCTGTATTGTGAAACTAATAACTTTTACTATTTCTTTATGGGGGGGAGGCGTATGTATTTTTCCCAGATTTCAGTCTCAGGCAGGCTTTCAAATATACAGATCCTGACAAATTGCTATTTGTTTCTTATGTTGTCCTTTCTATAAGTACACTAGGAAGTCAAACATAGCTTCTTGTACCTGTTCATTCAGAAGTATATGTTATGCAATGATCTAGATTCCGACTGGCATCTGAATATTGTTCCATTTTGAGTGGTTTTTATCTTGTGCCTATTTTTGGAACCCTATGTGTGTGATAATTGTGATTATCCATCCTCAGGTTCAAAAATAGTAATTACCTTGTTCAATGTTTTTATAGTTTAATTCTGCATTTGTTTTATTGTTGCCCAGGGATTGGTTTCCTATTAATGGAGATGGATAAGGAAAGGTAGAAACAGAACCTTCATTCCGGATTAAAAGTGAAGTCCTCTCTGGCATCAACCTAGTTCATCGTGTCTTTAATCTCTAGTTGCTATGGAATGTTCTCTTATCCTGTGTCACCTCTTTCGTGTCATTTTTTAAAAGATGTCATAATTTGCTCATTACAGCAAAATGAAACTATAAACCACCAAAGTATGGTATGTCCTCCAGGACCTCCACCTTCCCAAAGAGAAGGTTGAGGGTTCCAGTCTGAATATTACGTGAACGGAAACTATAGTAGTAGTTATTGAGGGTTTCAAGTTCGAATAGAAACTATAGAAATAGTTATTGAGGGTTCAAGTCCGAATATGAGCAAGCTTAGAGTATATTATGGAAACGGAAAAAATCAATAATATCTGAACCCATAGAAGTAGTTAACACAATTGTGCTCTTTACTCACATTTAATGCTGATTTGGGGGAAAAACCAATTATGTTTTTAACAATTGGTCATAATAGCATTCTCTTTGTCAAAATTCTTTGGCAAACAACTCCAAGTGCATGATCTCTTTGGATTCTTATTTTGTGAAGTTGTATTGGTATATCCTCATTCCTAAGCAATGTGAATACAGTAAGGGGTGGTCAATGCAAAACCACCTCTCAGGACTTACTGAGGATTGTTGAAGTGCATTTCTTGCTTGCGACAAATAAGTTTATTCTTGCTGCCAAAGCAAGAAAAGAATTCTGAGGAAGTGCTAACCAAATATTGTTGGTAGTGGGTGGAATCTATTTCTGCAACCAAGAACTTGATCACCGAACTTCAAATCAGACGATTTCAAAGTTTTAAAGTGGCAAAAATGCTTGAACATTTCTTCGACTCAATCAAAACGTTAAACATCATTAGATCTGCACTTAAAATGTCAGTAATGCGTGTGCAACTGTGTAGGCACAAGCCATTTCTTTGAAGAATAACATCTACCACTGTAATATAAATGACAAAACCTCATTGTATTTTTTATTCTTAGTGTTGATATGTGTGTGTGTGTGTGGGGTGATGGATATACTAGTAATAGATAGTACCCAGTCCTTATCATTCTATATGTTCATCACCCTGACATTTGATTGCTCACAATTCATCATATTATTATTGTATGATACCTCTTAGACAGACCAAGCAAAGCTAATAGTTTAAAACATACAAACTTGTACCATTAAAACAGGAGATGTCAAAACAATTCAGCTTCCAGTAGTGTGACATGACATTCTAATTTCTACATAATGTAGGCAACCAAACTTCATGGATATTCCTTTGCCCACTTGATTTGTAAAAGGGCAAAAAAGGAAGAGCACAACCTCTGGAAGGTCCATGTATTGAACAAATTATATACATTGATTACAAAAAGTTTTTTAGTTGTGTATTACATTATAGTACTATAAACACAGATGAGGTGACAGAGCTGTATATATATTAAGCTTATTGATATTGGGGGAAACAAAATGGGATAAGAAGTATATTATGTTGTTGAAGTCACAAAAGAGAGGGTGGTTCTGTGTCTCTCTATTTCTGAGATTTCTTGCAGAGATCTTTCACCCATTGGAGCCCAAATTTCTTCTTCCCTTTCTTCTTGCTAGACCCATCCTTGTCCTTATTGTCATTCTGCTGTGTTTCTGAAGGCAGAGGCTCTGGGTCCCACTGATCAGCCCAGGACAACCCATTGGAATTGTTATATATATCCATCTCTCTTTTTATTCCCCTACCCCCCTTTGCATTAGGTGAGATTTGAAAAGAGTTCCAGAAAGTTTAATTCAATATTAGTGGAATTGCTTATTTAAATTATGAAGGGTTTGCCTTAACTAATCCCACCCTTAACTTGGTCATTTCCTATTTTATTTGACAGAATGGTTAATTGGTTATCTCAACCTTTGATTAATTAGTTTGTTATTTTGGGAAATAAGCTATGGCCTCTCATTAACTCTTGTTGACTTGGTCTCCCATCAGTTCTAACATCATTTCACGGATCCAACTTTAGGATCTTGCCAAACCTCCAAAGTTCACAGAGCCATTCAGTTGTTATTAGGTTTCAGTTGTGTTTTGATCCTTTAATTTATATAAATTAGCTACTTATACAGTAGGGGTGCAACTCGAACGGGTTACAGGCTCAACCATGAACCCGATAGATTTTGGGTTAAATTCGAGCTCCAACTCAGGATAGATTTTGGGTTCATCTAATATAATAACAAATAAAATAATCTTAGCTTTACATAAATAACAAATGGATCAAAAATTAATAAGTTCAATATATCATCAGGCCCTTACTTTCCAAAAGGTGGTCAAGAGTTTAAGCCGTCAAGAGTTTAAGCCATACCGGAGGCATGTATATGTGAATACCAACTATGAATTATATATATATATATATATATATATATATTTATTGAGATCAATGTTACGCTTCTTGTTTCAGGTTTGTCAGGTTTTTTTGTAATTCGGACGGGCTCGGGTTGCCGGAAGCATTAACCCGAGCCAAACCCAAAATGAAATCGGGTTCAGAATTTTCAACCTAAGCCCAGACTGAATTGCAATTTACGCAGCCCAAGCCCAAAAAAAAATTTGGGTTGATCAGGGTTGGCCCTGCCCGGGTAGCAACTCTATTTTGCAGTAAAGAACATCCTACAGATACAACCTCCATGCTTCATAGATTTCTCACTCAGCACAACTCATCCTAAATTTCATGGTAAAGGAACTGCAAAACAGGAATTTCTTACCTCAAACCAACATTAGGAAATCATAACCAACAAGGATATTGCAACATTATGAATATAAAAAGGGATATAATTAGTTTTAGTGAATGAATGCATGTAGGGAGACAACAGATCATAATCAAAAGAGACAGGTGAAGGAACTGCAAAACAGGAATTTCTTACCTCAAACCAACATTAGGAAATCATAACCAACAAGGATATTGCAACATAATGAATATAAAAAGGGATATAATTAGTTTTAGTGAATGAATGCATGTAGGGAGACAACAGATCATAATCAAAAGAGACAGGTGAGGGTTGCTCATCCTTACATTCACAGCCCATCAACTGAAATATTCAACATGACCGGCAATCTCTCTACACAACAACTTCGCCTCGGTAGCCAACTTTATGCTCTTAAAAATTACATGTCCTGTCTGTTTGTGTGTTGACGACGGCATGTATCTCTTGGCTTCTTCCTCTTGCCCCAGCAGCAAAGCTTCCCTAGCAGGAATCACATTTTCCCACCAAAACTCCCATAAAATCCCATGTATCAACTCCCAATAACCACGATCCCTACAGACCCGAAATATTGTGCTTCCATTCGGAGTCCAACAATACAAATCAGCCCAATCTCTGTCCATTATCTCCATTTGACCCTGCACCTGAGGCATGTAATAGAATGGCATAGATTTCCAGGGCAAACCAAGCTCAGGCTTCCCTTTGTTATAAGGGCACTTCACTTCCAAAATCCCACCTTCGGGAAAGCACCCAAGGAGGCCGTCAGGGGAGGCACCAATCCAGTCAAATCGCTCCTCTGAGTGGGTTGCAAATCCTAATGTGCCCACATCGCGACCAGTAATGCTTCTGTATCGTTCAATAGCTGCTGCTTCATTGAGGACTCCCCATTCCATGGCACTGGCAGCCTTTTTAGAAGCTTCCACTGGTTGTTCTTCTGAGTCAAAAACTTTCTCGTGCCAGAGATCACATCGACGGCTGCCTTTCCACAATCCCAGAGCAGTGCTGAAGGTGCTTGTTGTTAACTTGTCCCTGCGAAGGGCAAACCATTCCTCAGAGCGTTGCGGGGCATCAGATGGAGTGAATCGGGAAGTAAACACCATTGATGAGTGGGGAAGGATAAGGAGAGGAGCAGTTGGAGCAATCCATTGAAATTCACAGGTCGAAAACATTCTGAATGCTTCACTAGGATTCTTCCTTCGGGTCAGTGGTGTTACTGCTTTATGGTGAATGACGCGGAATGTAGCAAAGGAGGCATTAGTCATTGCTGATCTACCAGACTGTCAGTGGCAAGTGGCAACTGTTGTTGGTTAAGAATCCTACAGAAGCCACATGCCACTTAATGATTAAGCAGCAGTCAGTTAAAGACCATTTTATAAGGAGAAATTTCATACTCAAGATAATAGGGAATCCTTATGAAGTTGTGTGGACAAATGGTTAGAAAACTAAGCAATAGTTCCTTTTAAAAAAATGTAGGCCATAGTAGAATTTTAAGTTATCGTTGGAGTATAATGGAGATAGATTTTTCAAGGGCACAACTGGTAACGGAGAATTCTTCTTAATCATAATGCAAATGGTAGATCAATTCATTTTTATAGTCTACCATAAACCCAAATTGACTAGTTCATTTATATTGTCTAACTTAATACAACAATCAACTATAGAACTCAACAACATTCTGATTTCTGAAGGACTCGTAAGGCTCAAAAATGTCAACATTCTGAAGGACTCATTACGCAACTTCTTCAAGCTCAAAAATGTCAAACATTCTTCTTGATCACTCAAAATCAATACAAAGAAAAACCCAAAACCACCTGAGTTTTCCCTCAAATGGGGTATAAAATTTAACTGAAATCTACAATTTTTCAGAAAACACACAACCAATCAATCAAGCAACCCATATTAATCACACAGCCATACATGTATAAACAATAAAGTAGGCAACTTTCCTCAACATCCAATAAATGAGTACAACTTCATTAAATATGAGAATCGAACACCAGTAAATAATACTTAATTAACCAAAATGAAGTCGAAAACATCAAACTAAAACAACTAATAAAAAAAATTAGAGCATGAGCATCAGAAATGAATTTTATCGTGAGGTGTTTGTATATATAACTGAAAGAGAGCTCTTGAGCAAAGTTAACCAATTGATAAATTTAGAAGCTTTGAGTGAGTTCCATTATTATCTTCTGATGTAAAACATGTATTTGTCGCAAATATATACATACATACATATATATATATATACCAGTAAGAACATGTGTAGGAAACACACAGTCGAATACATACATAACGAAGAACTGTTACCTTTTTCTGTAATAGCATTCGAGTTGTTCTACTTCTATCAGCCCCCTTACATTCCAGTTGGGTTTTTAGGGATTTGTTTGGAGAGAGAGAGAGAGAGAGAGAGAGAGGTGGACCTGGTTAGAAAATGCCTAGAGGCTTGGGGATCGCAATGGTATATAGGCCCCTGAGTTGGGCTTGGAAAAGTATTTTGAGAATGACCCGGCCCAATATTCACACGATATCATCTAGTTTAACCTTTTGATAAGATCGGAATTTTAGAGAATGTGATGGGATGGGACACTTCATCCTCAATTTCGTTTCATAAATAAATTTAATTGTTCCCATCTAGTTTTGCAACTCGCTCGTCGTGATTGAGTCACCCTGTTTATTCATCCAAATTTTTTCAGATCAAGTACTTGGCATGATATATCAAGAGATTGGTCTAATTCTGATACTAACTGTAATGGATCGAGTGTTTCGTGATCCAACCAAAACACTTAAGTTATTAGATGTGACTATCACTTAACCAATAGATACCCGTTCACTTCCCTATCGGATCCGATGTAGGACAAGTTCCCCTTGTAACAGTAAGTCACTTGGCCTTGGTGCCTCACAAAGCATCAGGTCTAAGATTCGACTTCTCTTTGATGCAAATAATTCTTTAAAGGGAGTGTGTGAGTACCAACTAGGAAAAAAATTATTTATTTATATATTTATTATGAATTAAGAAGGTTTTAAAGTTTGGGGGTTTAAAACTCTCTTTGGGACTACCCTAAGGGATTTTTCCGGTGCATGTGGAACAGGAGTTTTGCATGTGCCCGATGATGGATTATAGGGTGCTCTAAAAAGCCCAATACATCCATCATTGACAAAACTCACCCCTAACTTTAATATGATTATACCAAATCTATCCCAATAGAGACTAGGTAGGGTGAAGCTGCTACAAGATATGTGAATTTGACATCTTTAGAATTTTGCACTTGGCTATCACAATTATGAAAAATGGGTAAAAAATTCGAATACTCATCAATAATTTTTCTTTTCAAGTGTCTCCAAATCTCCATTCAACGAAAAATAATAATAATAATTATTATTATGTCACGTCATCATTTATACAACCACTGTGTTTAATTTCATACACAATTTAATTTAAACAAAGAGAATGATGCAATGTTTTTGTAACCGTCATGTCTAGATAGGTTTGGAGATACTCTGATAGAAAAATTAGAGAGAATCCACGTGCAATCAAATTTTGGGTTGCAACTTAAAGATACTTTTTTGTCTTTCAAAATAGAAGGTCGATGGTTTAAGTCTCCCTAATCATTTGTATCGTAAAAAACTCTGATGATATCATCTTTTCTCTTCAAAAGCGAGGTTAAGTGTTCGGTCTATACTTGGACAGAGTCATGAATTGTTGCCCAAAAGCCGAGCCGAACCACATAGCGTAAGACTTTGGTGAGGTTCCACGTTTAGTTATTCCACTTTTGGTCACCAAATAATAACTTGTCAAACAAATAAATAAATTTTAATAACTAGACCTAAATAAAATTGCTCTAAAAGTGACTAAAAAGAGGAATGGTTACCAAATTTTTAACTAAAATATAGTTAAGTGACCATTTGAGATGTATTTTTGTTCGATTTGTATGTCCTAACATAGCAATTTTGATGGGTTAAAGGAAGACATTTTTTTCATGTCTATAAATCTGTGGTTTATTTTATGTTTTCTTTATATATAATTGGTAAATGATGTGTATTGGTCGATTTGGTATTGAAATTGAGGTTTCCACTTGATTACGGAAGTAATTTATATGTATATAAAAGCGTTTATATGCAGGATATATAAATTGCTAAAATTACGTAATTATAAATGGTTCATGGTGATGGACTCTTTATCAAGAGATGAACTGGATTTAGGATAAGGTAAGCAAATTGTGACAGCTATTGTAACAATTTGCTCCTTATCAATGTCATGGTGAATGTTCTCAAGCATGAGAGAGATATAGACTCTCATAGTCTTATATTGATGAATAGTTACTTTGATTTATACTGTGAAACCCGTAGATCTGAAGACTAGTACTTTAGATAATTATTAATTAATAGCTTGGAAATATACTCTCAAGATTTGTATTGGTGCTAACACAATTATTCTGACTTGATTAATTGATCAACGGAAATTCAGAGGTTTCGTGTTTTTGATAAAATGATTTTCACATATTTATATATATATATATATAGTATATACACACATTTTATCAAAAACACGAAACCTATATATATATATATATAATACATTATTTTATCAAATAAATGTTTTTCTTGGTCAAATGAGAAATAATCAAGGGGTTAGAATAAATGGATTAATTTAACAGTAGAATTGATCACCCGATAGCTATATTAAGCATAAAGGGGTCATTATCCAACTTGATTTTGTTGAAATCACTACTCTAAATGGAGATCAATTAATTTTATATAGTGTATTCAAATTCATTAATGGGCTAATTGAACGGGTCAAAAGTTGTTAACCGGACCAATTATTAGTCCATTTAAGCAACGAGCCCAAAAAATCCTCACCCGTAACCCAACTAATGAATTTAAACCCACAAGAAAGGTAAAAGATAAATGAATTATAGCAGATGATATGAACATTCTATGTACTTAGTTGTATTAATACAACCACTCTTGATTGGTTATAGGAGTTGATTGCTTCAGTGTAAGAAAACAAATATTCCTTTTATTTGTTGTCCATCAATCTTTCCTTTTTGGGTTGTCCCAAAATATTTATCCACTTAAAAAGTTCAAACAACATATTTTGCATCTTTTTCATAAAATGCCCTTGAAATTTTAAAAAAATAATTCAAACTTAATTATATATATATATATTCAAACCTGAAAGGGCAAATTAATAATTTTTAGAAGAGACAGTGCAATAATTATATATTCTCTTAAGAAGTTATATTCTCCAAAGGGGAAATCTAATATGGGAGAGGGAGTCTAAAAAGGGATAAAGATCCTCTCCAATGCTGGAGAAATCTTACACAGAATTCAATGGTTGAGATTGAATTGATAAATAAGACCCACTAGTGATGATGCACTCTCAACCCCTGAATTATGTGCATGACCTCTCCTATGCTGGAGAGGATCATTGTCCTATAAAAAGAGGTATTTTAGATAAATCTTTACACCACAATAAAAAGAGGTATTTTAGACAATTTGAGAGAAAATTGCAAGGGTGAGAAAGTGTTGTACTTAACCTATAGATACTTTCTCTATATCTATCTCCAGTGCCAATTCATTTGTTTTTTTTTACACCTCTAGAATTGCCTAACAAAAATTCATTGAAGAGGTCATATGTGTAATTCTTGAAGACAATTTCTACTACTGGACGTTTGGATCTAAAAGGAGGCTTGGATCAAAGCTTTGGAGGGCTAAAGTTAAAGATCTATACAAATTATAGAGAATTGGCTTAGAGATGTTCTCAAATTTCTTTGGTGAGTATTCATACACTTTTATGTGTAAGTATGCATATATCATAGTGTGTTTTCATCAAGCCCAAAATTCTAAGTATCAACAAGACATTGAATAATTACACGCATACACTTAATATTAAAAAATATCATTTTTCAACAAATTCACACATGAGTCACTTGCACTAAAATAATTAACTTTTCGAGCGTGTGTATTCAAGTTAAAGTCCCTCTCCCATTTGTTTGTTAAAAAAAAAAAAAAAAAAGAAAAAAAACCTAGAATCTTTACTCACAAAGCAAAATTTTATCAACTAGAGACTTGTCAAATCGAGTCTTTGGTTGATTTGGGAAAAAAATTGGAATGAGAATTGAGGAATGAATATTAATGATGCTTACCCTTAAGGATAAAACTGCCATTAAGGTACATTGACGAATTTAGAGGGAAAGTAAAGTTTTGTTCTAGATTTGTCCAATTATAAAGTAATTCATTTTAAGAAGGATAATTAATGAGATAAATCATAAATAGTCACTTATCTATTTTTAAGTTTTAATTTGGTTAACTATTCATATTTTTTTTCAAATAATTTTGTTGATAATTGGTCAATGAAATTTAATTTTTTAATAAAAAATCTCTATTAGTTGTCATTTTTGGTATTAGAAGTTTATGAACGGCATGTAATTAATTCATCGTTCATTTTTTAATCAACGATGAAAAGTTTAACATTTATTTTGCCTTCACTTATTAAATTGGACAATAAATTTGGACATCCTAAAATAGAAACATAGATTATTAATTGTAAGAAATAAAAATGATACTCCATCCTGACCAACTGTCCAACCTTCCATATTTAGCATTTTCGAAATAATTGTCTAAATTTAAAATTCAATATACTTCTATATTTTATAATATTCATAACTTAGCCTGATATTTATTAAAAATATCATCACTGTGGGCCACTATAAATATATTCGGTAAGTGTAATTAAAAATATAAAAAGTAGCACCTCCAAAAATTAGATTTTTTAAAAGGCAACACTTAAAATAGGTTGTTTGTATATAAAATATTTTTATTATTTTTTATTTTTTAGTGTTTAATTGTCATAAAATATTTATAAAAAGAAATAATCAAAACTTAACAAAAATTATTTATTTATCAATTTTGTCAAGTTATTTTACTGTTCTACTCGATGAACTCAGCCTATACTTTTGTTAAACACAAAAATATTAAAAAGAAAAAATAAAAAATTCTGGTGAAACTAAAAACCTGGCAAAAATGAAAGTTCAATTTTTGTCCCATTTACACGCATTTACGTCAAATCGTAGTCAAAGCTTTTACTTCACGCACCATTTTTATCTCTTTTCCAAAACACCCAATCTTTCCCACTGATAAAACCAACCCAACCATTTGTAGACAAGATATCTTCCCCATTAACAGGAATTTATCCCATACCCTCTCTCTTTCTCTCTCTATTCTATTTATATGTGTATGTGTATATATATATATACAATTCTAATTATATATATATACATGCACAAACACTATATACACACAGTTGTGTTTACCCTTTTCAGTAACCAAACTCATACTTAGATGAAGCATTTTGTCATCAACCTTCCATTCAATGTCTATATAGAGTCTAATCCACTTGCTGCACAGAACAACAAACAGACCCAATCATGTACTTGTCCGAAAGACCTCGTCCAATCGATTTCTATAAAGAAGAAGACGAAAATCGAGACATGATGATCGAGGTCGCTTCCAATGGCGTCTTGCCACCTCAGCAGCAGCAGCCTCCGCCGCCGCCGCCGCCGCCGCAGATGATTCTCGGCGACAGTAGCGGCGGCGAAGACAGCCTCGAGGTCAAGGCGCCGAAGAAACGGGCCGAGACTTGGGTCCAAGACGAGACTCGGACGCTGATCGGTCTGAGGAGAGAAATGGATGGTCTGTTCAACACTTCCAAGTCGAACAAGCACTTGTGGGAGCAAATTTCGTCCAAAATGCGGGAAAAGGGCTTCGATCGATCGCCGACTATGTGTACTGATAAGTGGAGGAATTTGCTGAAGGAGTTCAAGAAGGCTAAGGTGCAAGATAGAGGCGGAAATGGGTCTGCCAAGATGTCGAATTACAAGGAGATTGAGGACATTCTTAGAGAGAGAAACAAGAATGCAGCGCACTACAAGAGTCCCACAACTTCGAAGGTCGACTCGTTTATACAGTTTTCTGATAAAGGTATAACCTATATTCTGTTTAATTCTATCCTGAAATTTTTGAATTTTTTTGAAGGTTTACAAAAGGGCTTTTGGGTTGAATTACTTTTTGTTGATTGTACAATGGGTTTATCATATTTGAATAAGGTTGATGTACCTCTTTGAAAAATTTTAAATTTCTATATTAGGAAATGAGTTTGATTTTTGACATTGAAGGTAACTAGGTCAGCTTTATTTTTTGCTTAGGTGCATTATGACCCACCCACAATGTTGATTTAGTTAAATTCTACTTGTTGATGGTGGTGAATTTATCTGCTACTGTTTGCTTCAAAGATTTTGTGAAGTATGTAAGTCAGGAACTTATTGGCTTGATTTGTGTATATTAGCTCTATATAAAGACAGAATATTACTTGATTTCGCATAACTCATAAACAGATCTTGTTTTGTTCCATCGTTATTTTGGCTGGTATGTCAACACTTATTTCAATATGGATTTTGTTTATATTGGCAGCCCTTTGAAATTAAGGCTTACACTCTTTAAGATTAGATCATACTCTATTGTGTGGATGGGTTATGATTTTTGATGTGTGCTCTGGAAGGTAAGATGGTGATGGTGAGCTCGTAGAATTTTCAATTGCTTTCTACTTTTCCAAAGATATATTTTTAATCAGTTTGAACAAGTGTCAACAATAGCTAAGAGTGAAGTGGTGATATCAACATGAGCATAAAAATCCAAAAAGTGAAATGATTGAATTGGCTATGGAACTGGAGTTCAACTAGAGAATCATCGTGTCTTAAATCATATGCGACAACAACTGACAACCATGTTTTTAAGCAAGGGGAGAGAGGAGCTCCTAAAATCAAATTGTTGGATCAGGGAGAGGGAGAGGGAGAGGGAGAGCGTTCAAATTAAGCTTGAGGAAATTGGTTTGTCATTTTCTCATATTTGAGGGAGAGAATTAGAAAATGCTATACATGTACAGAGACCTTCATAGAGGTCCTTTGGAGCCTAGGCGCAAGGCGAGGTGCGTGCCTGAGTGAAGCAAGGCGCACAATTGAAAAATTAATTTACTTTTAAAGCATATTTATATTCCATATTAAAGGTGCAAATGTTGTCAAAGGCAAACCTGGGCACGCAACAGGCGCAAATGTTGTGCCTGTATGAGCCTGGAGCCTAGGCGCGTCTTTGACAACACTACTGGGAGCTAACAGTGAGAACATAAGCAATTCATGTTTTTATTTCAATGTTTATTTATTAATTTGTTGTAAATTCTACAGGTCCTTTTTTGCCTCAAACTCTCATATGATTTGTTTTGTTGTAAGCTAAGAACCTTTGAGAATAAAACATGCAACTGGCAGTTTTATATTTATTTTTTTGCTAGACAGAGCCTCATCAAAATTTTGACTTTGAAGAAATGATTATAAAATGGCATGTGGATAGTAAATTGAAAATGCCATTGAGCGTCTGAGATAGTGAAGGAATTTTATGTACTTTTGAGGAGGGAACTATTTAGGTTTGGGTGCTGTTCTCAAAAAGTCATTACCAGTGGTGCATAGATAAACTGCTAAGAAAGAAGTTTGGTACAGAATTGTTCATTTACACAAGGAATACTTTTTCCTATCTTTACTTTTATGACTTGATTTTAGTTTTAGTCTGTCACTCAATATTTTTTTATAGTGTCTACATCACATAATCGTCTGAGATTATGCTGCTACCGTTTTCAGATGTCTTCCTAACCATGTAAAGGTTTCACAAACAGATATTCGGATTGATTCATAAATATGCACTATTTTCAAGCAGTATATATAGGCAATGACTTAATTGAATGCTTTTATGATTAGTACTTCTTAGATGCACTAATACTGTTGAAAGTTATCCCAAAACTGCCACATATTTCAGATGTGTCCCTTTTCTTTTTTTCTTTTAACTAAGAAGTGCTTCCTAGTTTTTCATTTATTTATTTATTTATTTTTATCTCCTTTTTGTTTTGGTAACAATTTTTTCATATCTATTGTCTTCTCATACTCTAGCCATTTGTATCCTTGTCCAAGCTAAATGTTGTGTATCAAAACAAATTTCGGAAGTATATGTCCTAGGGGCAGAACAATTGTTTATTTTTTTAGACTGACAATTTGTCGTCATAGATATGATGATTATGAAACTTTGCAGAGAACTTTATTGTAATTTTACTGCCCAGTGTTGTTAAAGGAACGCCTAGGCGCGCACCTAGGCTCCAGGTGCAGTGGTGCACAAGTCTTGCGCCTTTAATATGGAATATGAATATGCTTTAATAGTAACTTAATATTTCAATTGTGTGCCTCGCTTCACTGAGGTGCCTCACGCCTAGTCTCCAAAGGACCTCTAGCTCCTTAGTGCACCTTGGGCCTTTGACAACACTGTTATTGCCTAACAAAGGACATGGCCATGACTATTTTTGACTTCTGCATAACAGCTGACAACATAGATTTCACGAAACGTCACAAAAAACTTTCTTTTAATTTTAGCCTAAGAAAGAACACGGCCTTGACTATTTATTAATTCTGCATAACAGCCGACAATGTCAATTCTGTTTTACTCCAAAAGGACGAGGGTTGGACCAATGAAGGGACCAAGGGGGGCCATGGCCCCCCCAAGGTTTTGCAAAATCATATTAATACCATCTGTATTAAGTCTTGAGTTTTGAATATTTGTGATTTGGCCCCTTCAAAATTTTACAAAAATCTATTAAGTACCTCCAATTAAGTCTTGAACTTTGAATGTTTCATATCTGCCCTAAATCAAACCCACATGATAACAAACCACGTTGTGCCAAAACTCTCTTAACATATAGCCTCAAACTCATAAAAGTATATCTCCTATGCTTCATGTACACAATTTCATAATTCAAATTTCTAATACATCAGATGCACAATATCAAAACCTAATGTGTGTGTATATAACTATATACGTGAATTGTGTGTGTGTGTGTGTGTGTGTGTGTGTGTATGAATATGTGCTAGTTCAATGTTTGTTTAATTTGATTAATTTTCTTGAAATATCTAATGAATGTATCATTTCATATTTGTTAAGCTGAAGTCTATTATTTGTTTATTAATTTAATTTTTCCCACAAAAGAGTACATTCTTTTATGTGTCTCTTTTGAATTTGCTTAACATCTATCTTACTACATTGGTCTTTTTCATGCTAGATTATGGAAAAATTACTAATTTTATGCAGCATTTATTAATTAAATGCTTTGTGTTATATTATTCCTTTATAATTTTCTGGCGCTATGTGCATGTGAACTTTTGAATTTATTTGGATGCTTTATTTTATATGTATCATGTCACCATCTCTAAAGTGCCGTCGGCACAATGCTGATAGAAGTTATTTGATATAGTTGTTCCGTTTTTATGCGAATTTATGTCATAATTAACAAATTAAATGACAAAATTGTTTTTTTATCCAACTTTGTACGTAGCAATTCCCGAACTAACTAGACATCTTTTTGTAAGTACTTAATGGATTACAAAATCCATTTAATTAACAAATGATATTATTTTAGATCTTCTTTTATATTAAGAATTATGACTTCTATTGTAAAAATATATATATCTTACAAATTATACCTTTTTTTTTATAAATTTCTTTACACTATTAGTTGGCCCCCTCAATTGAAAGTTCCTGGGTCCGCCCCTGAAATGGACCAAAATAGTGCATTGGTTGCTTTGACGGTTGGGTATGTCTAATGCTGCTAGAAAAAAGAATATTTTTTACAATTATGTTGCATTGTGATAGTTAGGATTGAAATATGTGCACACTTGCTCTAAAATCAGGAGTCACCACGTGAACACAATTTCGTTGCTCATCTAAGTTCGTACCGCTGACATATAGGCTTAATGAACAAGGAGTTGCACATGAATATTTGCATGAGGTTTATAGCGTCTATAGAAAGATGTCAGTGAGGGTGGTGGTCTATTGCTAGGAACCATGGTAGTGATCATTGGGTTTATCTGTCTACATTTTGTCAGTAAAAGTTCCTGAAGCCTCTTCCACTCTTTTAAAGGGACCCAATACTGTCAAACATCATGCTTTGTTTTTTTCTGAATTTATAACTCCACATTTTCATATTGAACTATTTTCAGCCACTGTTATTGGTAAATTCCCCCACAACTAAATGGCAGTTTCTTGCCCTTGCATCTTCTTTTTCTCACATGCGTTAGTCACTGCATATTTTTGCCAGTTGGCCACTATACATAGAATACTTGGGGGCATTCTTTTGTTACATGTTCTTATCTCATTCTCTTTTCGGTTCCATATGCGAAGCAACATTGTGCAAATGTTTTTTCTCGTGGCGTTGCTAATATGGTATCTACTCACTATTATGACAAACACCCGCGAACCAAGAACAAATCAAGAAACACGACAAAATAGTAAACACGCCACACACCAAAGACAAAATAATAAATTCGCCCCCACAAATTTTTTCTCAAACTAAGTATTTACTGTATTAATGGTAATTTGTATAGAAAAATTGAAGTTGGCCCCTTCATTAAAATCCCATTTATAAATACGTATCTATGTAATTAAAGGTGGTTTGCGAAATAAATTACTTGTAACCCAAATCTAATAAAAAAAGTGTTGTAATCCTTGCTACAACATATCAGTACTCTATTTATATATATAAATTATTTGTTATCATTTAAAATGCACTGAAACAAAAATCGTTACAATTATTATATTTTATTTATTTATAAAATTTAATTTTACATTACTACCTCGGCCCCCCAAACTAATATTTCTGGCTCCGCCACTGCATAAAGATTATGTGATTCGGCAAAAGGTTTCACTATGGGAAAATCAGGTGATTACAAGTTTCAACCCCCAAACCCTCTCTCCCTCTCCTGCGAGGCTGCGATTTTCAGTATTCTTTCACTACCCACTCCAAACCCTAAACACCCTTATATATTGGGCTACAAGAGAGTTCTAAAAAGGGTCTATGATCCGCAAGTGAAAAACAGGTCAAAATTCATTGGGTGAAAACGGACCACAGCCAAAACAAAATTCGTGCCACTACATCACACTTGCCTTTTTTGATTTGGAAGTTTCAGCTTATTTTTCTTTTCTGGTTTGAACTGCTGACAAAATTTAATTCAGTTTTTCTTTGTGTTCTTGTAAGGAATTATTTAGCAGCAGAAATGATAATTTTTTTGTTCTTGACTAATTTCGTTTATGTAGGTATCGAGGACACTAGCATCACATTTGGACCCGTGGAAGGTATGTCATCAGAATTGGGTTTCCAGTTTACTAGTTTGTATTTTATGTTTGCCAATTAATTGAGACTGGCTATTATACTAGAATTCATGTCTTTGTGTGTGTGTCAGTGTGTATTTATTACCAAGTATAGGTTTGTGAAAGAGGTCTGCAATACTTAGTTGTGGGATTTAAGGTCTTAAATAACAGAATGAATGCTCTGATGCTAATGGTTTTTTGTATTCCTTGTAGGAGGGATAAAGACCTCCAACCATCTTCTTGTACATTGTCTTGTATCTTATTCGCTTTGCTTAGACTTTTAAATCTGGCAGGCATTTATCAGGTGACCTCTCTACATATTTTTTTTCTTTATTCAAAACTTCTTTTCAGGGTTTTGGGAAGGGAGAGACGGTGGTGCCATTGTGTAATCATGACTCTGGTTTAAATTATTTGGATTGAAAGGAATTACTGTATCCAAGATAAGGAATAATGTTGAGGTGATTTGGGGCAAATTTTAGTCTTGGGGATAAGGAATAATATTGAGGTGATTTGGGGAAAATTTTAGTCTCGGCTTCATTTTGGATTTCATTTACTAATTAGTTTAAAAGAATGCCGCTTTCCTTGATCTTGATGAACTGTAGGGCTGTGTGTCTTCCTTTTTCATGTTTTAAGTTTGCCCATCTCCACGATGGAATTCCTCCTCCAACTGGGAAGGTGAAGGTTAACTTAAATGGTTATTACCTTGGTATTTCGGAGCAGTTGGTCTTTGGGGATATCTCCGAAGATGCTGATGGAAATACCATTTCTTGTTTTATTGGTTAGAAGTAGGCTTGTAGCAGCTAGAGGGTAAGCAATAGATCAGTCCATTCCCTTCTTGAAGGTCTCAAAGGTGTCTGCTTTGAACTTGCATCATTGTTTGACTGGGAGTGATTCCAACATGACGATATGATGTTTTAGATCACAATCTCTTTTTCCTTGGTGCTGTAGTCACCTTCTCAGAGAGATTCTGGAGTTTTTTATTCTTCAAAGGTGGTAATTAGATGGATCTCTAGGTTAACCAATGAGAAAGCAGACTCCTTGGTTAATGAAGGGGTTTATTCTTTAGTTCCAATAAAGTGCCCTTTTTACCCTCTTGAAATTTGTTTGCTATTTGAGAGCATTGAATTTGTTTTACCCTGGGGTTTCTTAGATTTACTATTTAATTGGTTGGTCCTCTCTCTTTTTCTTTGTCTTGGAGGATAGCTGATCCTTCTTTCTTTGATTTATCCCTGATCTTCTTCAATAAACTATTTCTAGTTTCTTATCAAGGGAAAGGAAATTGGGAAATGAAACCTTGTCATCAAAATAACTAACACTCATGGTAAAACAAAATTTCTTGAAAATGCATCTCCGAAGACTACTCATGCTATACTTCTGACGTACATTAATTAACAACTTCTTTTTACTGGTTCTGTTACCAGTTAACAAGAAACTAATATTCAGTTGTCATTCAACAGAACCACTTGTATGGAAAGCAAACCTGCCTAATAATCTGAATTGCTTTTCAATATTTCCATAGAGTGCTCGTCTTAGCGAGCCAACCCCAGCTCAAGGTATTTTTTTCCTCACTGAGCTTGAACAGAATGTTTAGGCATGAGTAGGAGCCAAGTCTAGGTCAAACAAGACCAAGTTAGACTGACCTGAGCTTGAGCAGTTAATTTTTTGTCTTGTTTGTTTGTTATCCCATTTAGACAAATTAAATACCCTCGCCACCATCAATCTCATCATGATCCTTACCTCTATTTGCTTAGTATTCTACCTTCTTATTGAGAATGGTTTTTTCCACCAAATTGGCCTACCTGTCTTAAGTTATTTCTTCCTCCCACTTTTGATGGCTAAAAGTACTGCAATTTGTAGCCAAAAAAAAGGCACCTAATTTCTGCAATTGGTTGTTCTAAAAATATTATTTTCTTAAGACTCTGTGCATGATCATTATTACAACCGCGCTCTTATTCTTCACATTTTCCTTTGTGGAAGAATTCTTCCTATTACACACACTTGTGTTGTTTCTTCTTTCATGTAGAAACCACTCTTGTTTCTTCCCCTACTCATGTTCTTTTTTATAGTGATTCTTTTTCTCGTGTCTCGTAGTGCCTAGATTCTCTTGCAGCTGAATGCACCCCTTCATGTCACTACTGTTATTAGATGAAGTGTATCTTCATATGATTACACACCAGTATTACTTGCACATTAACATAGCATCTCACTGGATGGGCTGTGCAGCTAACCATGATTATTATGGGATTGCAAATGAGAAACACATAATTAGAATCATTGATTGGAATCTGGATATGCAATATTGAATTTAGCATGGATTGAGCATTGATAAGGTTTTGGAGAAATCCCAGTAGGGTATTAGGGTGCGCACATCCTGTTCCCAAACAAAGCAGTTCAACCGACCACAAATATAAATGGGGCTTTAAGTGACACAAAAGTCATTTAAATTTCTTAACAAAAACTTTTTCTTTGGTTAAACTGAATGGGGGAGAGGGTGTGTGTGTTGTGTGTGTGTGTGGGTGGGGGGTGGATGGAGTTTATAAATGTAAAAGAGGAGAATGAGAAATTTGGGGCAAATGATATATGGGTTGCATTGTAGTTGTCTTATGGTAATCCATAGTCGAAGATAGTGACCATATGAACCGCATCTTACCGACCGATAAAACACCATTCTAGAAGCAATTACAATAATGTTATGCAAGTCCCTCATTGGTCTTTTCTATTGTGTAGATATATCATCTCACTTTGCTTGATTTGCATTTCAGGATATGGAACAGTATAAGAGATACATCAGATATGTTAACGAAAAATTATTCAGTTGTATCTCTCTAGTGCATCTTAAAGAAGCCTGATCTAAAATTTTCTATAATGTTGTTAGTACTTATATAGTGATTAAATGTACAGTGAGTCATTATTTTCACTTTCTTTGAGTTTCCAAGAGTAGATCTGAGGCTCCTGGTGACTGGGAGGTCAGTTTCCAAGAGTAGGAGCCAACTCAGCGTTAGTGGCTTTGTGCTGCACTGGAGTGATCCAATATTTGGTTCTGCAAATATCGCGTTTCACCTGATACTTTATGAAGCTATCCTTTGTCTAAAGCACTCTTACGTTTTTAGAGAACAGAACAGAAACAACTCAAAATTTTCATCTGTTGACTGTATTTTGAAAATTGTTTCTCTGGACAGTGTAAAAAATAAATAAATAAATAAACCAATTTTAGAGAAGAGTCTTTCAGAGATCTGACAGCTGTTTTTTATTTCTTGAGTTATTGAAAACTATTTTTTATAACTTAACCAAAAAGACCTTAAGTATGCATATTTCAATTTTTATATCTGTGTCATGAGAAGAAACCTATCGCACCTTTCTAAATTTCTTGGTTACAGCTAGTGGCAGGCCAACACTTAACCTGGAAAGGCGTTTGGATCATGACGGACATCCTTTGGCCATTGCTGCAGCGGATGCAGTCGCAGCAAGTGGAGTTTCTCCTTGGAATTGGAGAGAGACCCCAGGAACTGGTTAGTTTTGCCAGTCAAATTCACAGCTTTTGAACTTTATTGTGTCGGAAATTGTAAATTTTATTCATGAAGCATCATAATTAATGAAAGTAGCCCACTTTATGCTTCAATTAGGCAGTTGCTCCAGAGATCTGATTTATGTTTTTAATTCACATTTAATATCAATTCCAAGCACTTTGGCCAAAATACTGTGTTTGACGAGACCATGTGACATGTAACTCTTTATGTTTAATCTATAGTTGCAAGCTGTCAATTCATTCTCCATTTTCTACTTTTTGGCAGGTGAGCAGGGTACCTCATTTGATGGGAGGGTTATATCAGTCAAGTGGGGAGATTACACCAAAAAAATCGGTATTGATGGCACTGCAGATGCGATCAAGGAAGCAATCAAGTGTTCTTTTAGGTTGAGAACAAAGCGTGCATTTTGGCTGGAAGATGAAGATAATATAGTTCGGACTCTTGACAGGGACATGCCTTTGGGGAATTACACTCTTCACCTTGATGAAGGTAATAATCACACGTACATTATCTTAGCTGTAGCCAAATTGACATAATCTCCTGAATTACATACCAATTTTTTGAAAGGCACACTCGTTAAGTTGCTATCAACAGGATTTGGCTTGTGATTTTTACTCTCTCTTGATGGAGACATTGCTCTTGTACGCATTCAATGTTGCTCAAAAATATTATTTAGTAAACATGGTAAATAATGGCCAGTGACTTCACCAACCCCAAAAGGCAATATTATAAACCTTGGATTGATCAAAACTCTTCTTCAAAAAAATGAAACTTGAACAATTTCGTGCAAGACTTTTACTCTGGTTTCCAATTTTCAGGCCTGACTATAAAAGTGTGCCTGTATGAGGAGTCCGATCACATGCCAGTCCACACAGAGGATAAGACATTCTACACCGAAGATGACTTCCGTTACTTTCTGTCCCGTCGGGGCTGGACATATCTGAGAGAGTATAATGGGTATAGGAACATCGATACTTTGGATGAGCTATGTCCTGGTGTAATATATCGTGGTGTGAGTTAAAAGGCAGAACACACCGCATTGCACAAGATTCTTACTCTGCACAGGAGGCTTAGGGAATAGACTAAGGTATCTTGCTATGTTCATCCTCTGTAAGTGTCCCTATGATCTTGGAGAGTTTCGCCCGATTGTATTCGATGTGTCATGGAATACAAAACTGTTGTTCCTGTATAATTTTATTTCTAAATATCATAGCCTGGAGAATTCATAATTGTTAATATAGTTTTGAACTTCAAATTTAATGTAGTTGTTCTGAAATCTCTTTGCACCAATTGAATTGCTTTGTCATGCAAGCAAGTGCATGGCGAGTGGAAGTTTGGGACCTGCTATCAAATTGTTATTTGGAATTACTTTGTGACTTATTTTAGGTTACAAACTTTGTCCATTTATTGGATCTGGGAGTCTTGAGGTTTCAGAGCATGTATTTGAAGGTGAATTTAAACTTTCAGCCTTTTCATTTTTGGAAGGTAGAGGATATACAATTTATTTTTCCTTTTTGGGTAAGTAAGATAACAGGTAGAGTACATACATTTGGTATATATATCTATATATATATCTCATTTTTAGTATATACATTTGGGTTATAACTTTTGGGATTTGATATATATGAATTACAACCTATTGTCATTGATTGATGATGACAGTGGATGAGATTTATTATTATTATTATTTTTTTTTTTTTGGGCGTTGGTTGTGAAAAGAATAAAAAACCTCTCCGGTAGCGATTCCTTGTGAATTTTAATGATGATTATTTACCTATGTATTCATTTATTTGTGAAATTTTATGTGAAATGTACCTATAAAAAAAAATAGAAAAACAATCATCATGCAAAAAGAATCGAGTACATAAAAGACGAACCTCGAGACGTAATTAATATTTAATCCTACCTTCAACTCTAAAGGAAAGGGTACAAATTTCATTGGGACCACCCTTAAGGAATTTTTCGGTGAATGTTAGTAGTGAGATTACAGAGTATTCTCGATGGTAAATTATACAGTATTCTAAGAGATCTGATATCATCATTGGATTCACTTCTTTGTTTGGGATTGTGTGCACTCCTAATGCAACAACTTCACAGAGTGAGGCAACATACTATATCACAATGCAACACAGTTATATCATGAAATGCAACACTCCTGTAATATATTTATATTGAAGATGCAACACTCATGCAACATATTATATCACGTTGTAACATTATAACACAATTAAAATCAAGAATATAACACATTTATATAATTGTTGCGTTGTCAATTTATAATTATATTGTTGATTTAAAGTTATTACATTAGGCACATAATTAGACATGACCAAACTAACACTGAAGTGGATCTCATTCTTGACGATGATAGTGGATAATATATTTTGTCTTGGTTGTAAAAGGGGAAAAAAAGTTCTTTCCAATAGAGATTTCTCGTTTCTTACAATTGGTGAATTTTACCACATTTAATGTTGATTTTGCAGAATTGAAAGATCACATAAAACAAAGAAAAATATTATTATCGAAGGTTTCAGGTTCGATAAAAAGGAGCGCAATTAAGGCTGCATGCACGCTGTTGAACAAGGTACTCGAACGTCAAAAATGGAACTTATATAATAATTCAGAAAGTTATCAACAACGGATCCGTGGCGCAATGGTAGCGCGTCTGACTCCAGATCAGAAGGTTGCGTGTTCGATTCACGTCGGGTTCAAATTCCCATAAACCGTTCACCTGTTTTTGCTTGCCTGATTTTTTTGATATGGTAACAAAAAAAACTTCCCTAATTTTCGGATATTAAACTATATTTTTATGGACAATACTTGGGTCATTCCCTCTGAGGATAAAGTTTATCCTTTAGTTGATGTTGCCCAATATAATTTAGACACATATTTAAAATTTTAAATCTTTAAAAAATAACCATTACTCAATTTCTTACTTTAAATTTTTTAAAAATAACCATTACCCATTTTTTTACGGGTTAAACCTAATTCCAAAGTTTTTTTTTTTTTTTTTTCCTTTCCAATAGAATATGATTGTTTCTAAACCCAAATTGAAAAATTACTAAATTTATTTAAAGAATGTATTATATCAAGTGTTGAATAGGGAAGGAATACGAAGTTAAAATATTATATGAAAATTTGATGTTAATCTATATTTGAATAGAGCTTTTCTCGTATATTTATTTCTTGGTCAGAGTTAGATCTATTTTTTGCATCCCTCCCAAATTCCCAGCACCTTCAATTAATAGGGCTAAGGGTTGGTTTTTTTCTTTTTTCTTTTTTATCCCCTTTCTCTCATTGGTGGAAAATATGAAAAAGAAATATCAAAAGTTTGTGAATGGGCTAATTCCAATTGGTGTATAAAAGTTGAGTGTTTGACTAATATAGATTGACTATGATTTTATATTGAGGTTGAGTATAGAGATTTGTGGGGAAGAGCTAAGTCATACAATCCTTCTCAACATGTGTCACTCTGATGCTCCGAGCATACTCTAGCTCAAATTCTCACTATTTTTGACTTAATTTTGTCGCTTTCACGCTCCCGCTCCCACTTTATGTGACTGTAGGGGAAGAGAGGAAAGAGGGGGGAAGGGAGAGAAGACAGTTGTACTAAAAGGTCTCACAAATTTTAAATAAGGAAAGAAAAAAAATTTGGGGATTCTAAAAATTTTAAATAAGGAAAGAAAAATAAAAATTAGATTTGGATTTAACCCGTAAAAATTTGGATAATAACTATTATTAAAAATTCTAAAAATTTAGACATGTGTCTATATTATATTGGGCCACATCAACTGAGAGGATAAAGTTCATCCTCCCATAGGAGGACCCAAGTATTGTTCTATTTTTATGTTGTGTTTAGAAGCACCAATAAATTTATATTGAAGTTGGGAGCACCTAACAGTCTAAATTTAGAATTGGAGGAAATTTAGTGTGAATTCGATGTTCACAAACATAGTTTTAGTTATGCTATGTTTGGTTAGGGGAAGAATTGAGGGAGGATGAATGAGAGGAGAGATGGATAAACATTTTCGTATTTGGTTGGAGAGAAGGGAATAGAGGGAGGAAACAAGGAGGCATCCCTCCTTCCTTTATATTTTTTTACCGCCCGCTCTTGGGGTGAATAGAGTAGAGAAAGAAGGCATAACTTCTTTAAATACGTAATTTACAATTTTAACCTTTTCAAAAAAAATTGAAATAAATATTCATCTTTTATAATTTTATATAATGAGAGTGTATTGGTAAAAAAAATATAAAAACTCTACTTTCCTTCATTCCAACCAAACAAGAAAAAAAATATCACTTCATTCTTCCTTTTTACTATCCATTTCATTTAACCAAACAAAAAATGAGAATTTAAATATGCCATTTACAATTTTAACCTTTTCAAAAAAATTTGAAATGAATATTTATCTTTTATAATTTTATATAATGAGGGTGTATTGGTAAAAAGAATATAAAAACTCTAGTTTCCTCCTTCCTTTCAACCAAACAAAAAAAAAAAAGTATCACTTCATTCTTCTTTTTTACTATCCTTTTTACTACCCATTAACCAAACAAAAAATGGGGAAGACGCATTTCCTTCCCTATGATACCTCCCTCTTCCATCCATTTTTTCATCCCTCCGACCAAACGAAAGGCTTTGTTTTTTTTTTTTTTTTTCTTTTGCAAGTGAACTTTTGTTAAACCACAAGAACAAGACTCCAAGGCAACCAGACACAGGCCATGCCCATTTCCATATCCCAGAAATGATGGAAAAATAATTAAAGTTAGCACCAATGGGGTTCTAGCCAAAAGCAACAACATTCAATACGTTCTGCTGTAAAATCTCAGGGAAAAGAATTGAGACTGCCATCTCCATCACCAACAAATGACATTCAGACATTGTAATTATGAAGGTCAGAGAGCTGAAATCCACCAAGTTCCCAAACTTCCCAAGAAACCACTCTAGCCAATAATACAGCATTTGGAGCTGTCCCTTGTTGGAGCATCGAGTCTGGAAGTTCTTTCCAGGTTACCGGTAAAGCACTTGAAACCAAGGAGGGGGTGATTTGAGAGAGCTCTATGAGGTTTTGACGCGAAATACTTGGGTTAACATAATTCTGCTACTTATTATCATCTTGTTTCATTAGTCTTTGCCGCGCAATTAATTTTGCTTGTGCCTAATTACTCTTAGTAAGACATACTTCTGCTTTTACAAGGTTTTTGCCACACAGGGCCTTACAAATTGGCAAAATTAGATGGAAAAAAGCATGTCAAACTAGATAGGGCTGGCTGCTTTCTTGAAATATGAACAAGAAAATGGAACCAAAGAGCCTTCAAACTAAAATTAGATCTAAAACTACTTATCTGTGCTGCAAACATAGTAGCAAACTGAATTTGAGTATTTTCAATTGCACTTTTAACATCCATACATGTATATATGGATACTACTCAATACACCATTCATTCACTCTCTTTCACTTTGCACAACTCACAAAATGTGAGTCAACCACCTTCGTTATAAGCGAAGGATCGAAAAATACAATAGTACTACTAAGTAAGGTTCCCTGCAAGTTTGTTAAACCTCTGAATTGCTGAATGCCATCAACATAGAAAAGATCCAATCCAATTAAAGGGGACTCATGCAAAGGAGGGCGATTCACAAAATCTAATAAAGCAATAAGAAGAAGACGATACTGGAAGCCCAGAGCTCTGAAGGAAGGTATTATTATCACTACGCCTCGTCCCATTCATCGTTCTTGTATGATACCAGGGTGTCAACTTTGTGTATCTGCACAACAAAAGGACTACTATGAGCTAATAACAGGAACAACTCCTCAGTTTAGAGTTTATCAATATTAGCCCACAAATGTTACCTTGGTGTCAAAAGAATGCAATTTCACCATTTGTGGATTGTCAATCAGTTTGGGGTCACTTTCAACCCAAGTGAAGGGGACTGCAATATCTTTATCAGTGTATGCTAACACATCAAACACACCTGCAATAAAACCAAATAAACCAAATTGATCAATCAAGACCATAAAACCATAACCAGCACAATACATGAACATGATCATAGGTTTGCGTAGCGATTATTACAGGATTCATCAAAGCATGGCAAGTATGTAATGCTGGATGCTATCTGTCTCATAATTGCTTGGATCTCCCTCATAATTTCCTTATCACTCTTCTCCCTTGACACACTGAAATCAGATGAAATTAAGAAAAAAACATAAAATGTCATTAAATTTCAGGACAAATATTATAATGTTTAAGAACATTTTTGTTGAAGATCCAGATTAAGTTACCCCTTCTCAATGACCTCGCTATCGGTCTCGATACTGAAATTCCACCTCTCCAAAACCTCACCAGTGGCCTTGGTCATTATCACAAGAACCAACCTCTGTAACTTCCCAGCTTCAAGCCATTCTTAATAAGAATCCAATATTAAAACATTTCTTTAATCAGTAACAATATAAACAAACCAACCATTAGAAATCCAACCCCAATATATAAACACACACACACACATATGCACACACAGACAAAAATTACCTGAAATTTGGGCGGTTAAATTTGCAATGAAGGTTTTAACACCCTCATCTTGTGTAAGCAACATTGGGAGCCCATATTTCTTCACCTTTACAAAACTTTCTTCAGGGTAGATTCCGCGATTATATAGAATACTACACAAAGTTCCAATCAAAAAATTAGTCTTGAAAGCGCACAGATTATGTGTCCAAATTCAAAGAACTTAAAATTTTGAGCGTTTCAATGTTTTATTACCTGTTTGCAGCATAACCTGAAAAGGGTTCACAGAGAAATACAAGATCAATCAAAATTTCAAAGATCCCGAGAAAACCCAAAAAAGAAAATGAAGATTCAAAACAAAAAAAAAAAAGGGCAGAGAAATTCAAAGACACTGGGTACATACCGAAGAATTCGCTAACAATCGCCGCCGATCCACGGAGAGTGATGATATCTTTGGTCGCGGTTCTTGAAGCCATATGCAACCCTTTTCAAATCTAAATCTAAAATGCTGGTTTCAAATCTTTAAGGGGAAAAAAAAATTGGGTTTGTTTTGGCCAAAAAATCAAACAGCTTGTGTGCGCTTTGTGGTACGAAGAGAGAGAGAGAACTGGGACGATTTCAATTTAGTGAACTAGGGTTTGGTTCAATCAACAAAGCGCGAGTATGTGTTGGGATAATGTGTGATGATAGAAATGGAAATTCGGTGGATGCAAAGTAAATGGACAAAAAGCAGGGTAACGGCTAGTTTTTTCTTTTTGGTGGCTCTAGCAACGGTCGGGATGTTTTGAAATTGCGGATTTAACGGTTACAATGTGGAGCCTGCTTGGGGATAATGATTTAAATTGCAGAGACAATTCATTATATGGAAAATTTAATAATACTAGTTTGGAGTCCATAATTGACTTAGTTTAATAATTTTGGTATGTGTCGTATTTATAATTATGAACTCTAAATTAGTCAATTATTAAATTTTCTATTCATTATATATGGGTCCTCAATTTATTAATTCAAGAATTTTAATCAATTTATTAATCTATCCAAATTAGTAAACTACAAGTCTACAACTTACACGGTACAGTCACACCATCTTTAAAATATTATATTATTATTCCTTTATTCTTTTCTCTTTTTATTTCACATACTTTTCAAATAATTTTTCACTCTTCATAATTTCATTAATGCTATATTTGAGAGCATAAATTGGTGACTTAAATTTGGAAACGAAAAAAAATTAATTAAAACTCTCAATTATATTTCTTCCAATTTCAAATTAAATACACTAAGTCGGTACTCTCAAACATAACATAAGACTAATTCCCTGATTTAGATCCACTTCATTAAATTTTCTTTCAAAACATATTAAGCCATCATCAATGGAGTATATTAGTTCGCTCAAGCGGAATAATTCAACTTTGATAAGGCTTTTGGGGTAATTTGCTTAGATTTTCGATTCGAGATTCACCAAATTTTACACGAGTGATGCATAAAAGACCTTAGTGATGCGAAATTTTACACCAGCAAAGAACAATTTGTGGAAACAAACTTTATTTTGTTATTTGTTCGATTCAATCATTAACAACTTTCAGAACATAATGAAACAATGTAGAAAGCTCTCTGCACTTGCTTCACTTTGGATCTGAGAAGAACTGGTTCAGAGAAGGCATGATCTCGGGCTTTTTGCCACGAACGAACTTCCTCACGCTGTGTTGTGCATATTTCTCACCCTCTTCATAGTTCTCAAGCACTCCTGCAGCTCTGTTTTCCTTCTTAACCCTAAAATGGATTCCAAAACTTTATCAGTCAATTTATTTTTTGTCACATTTCTGTTAATTTTTTTAGCATGATAGCAACTATTAGCATATAGTCCCATAAACAAGCTAGGATAGGGAAAGTATTGTACCAATTTGGTTCAGTAATATATTCTCAAGAATAAAAAATTTTAAAAAGTTGAAAAATTCATTTCATCAATGAAAATTTAGTTAGGATTTTTTTTTTTTTTTTTTTTTTTAAATAGCGGATTTCAGATGACTGGTTTAGAGCAGCTCCATTGGTGCTGCCTTTTGCGAATTTGGCCCAAATTTTGGAGACTACTTGCTCCAATGGGCTATCAAAAGAGTGGACCACCAAATTTTGATCGCCAAAAAGGACGATCCTAAAGGCGATTGTGGCTCACTTTTTGTGGGCCCATTTTTTTTTTCTTTTATTTTTTTAATTTAGGTTCAGAACAGTGTTCCTAAGGACATGTTTAGTTGAAATAAAAGTTAAAATTCAGATTTTTAGCTTATTTTGGTCTTTCTTTTTTTTCCTCAAAATAATTGAATCAAAGAGCCGTTAAGACACTGTTTGGCTGACACAAATAGTGCCTTAAAGGTTTTTTTGGGTAAAAAAAAAAGTTTAAAATTTTTTTTTCCTATTCAAAATTTTCAATATTCCTATTGACATTATAGCCATTTTAGGTACTGTTTGGCTGACCCCAAACAGTGCCTTGACAGCTATATTGGCTAACCAAATAATTTTTTTTTTTTTATATTTGTTTTTCCTAACAAATTGAAATTTATTTTAAAATATGATTTTTTTTATTTAAAAAAATGTATCTTTGTTTTCACTATAAATTAATAAATCAAATGATATTAGATATTGTATTATTTACAAGATTTCATACATATTAGCTAAATAATTTAATCAACAAATAATGTAATGATGATGAGATGAACAAATGGTTGTTTATATAACATGAAAAATATAGCCGTTATAAATATAACCGTTAAGAAAAAGTTAAAAAATAAATTTTATTTTAAATTTTAAAAAATATTAAAATATTAATATTTTTGGAGAGCAAAAATACACCATTGGATTACATGCGATAGCTAAAATTTGGAGATTCTAAAATGTTGACGTGGTTATGGGAAATGTTAACGTGACTATTGAAAAATGCTAATGTGGCAAATTCGGAGAGCCTAAATCCGGAGAGCCCATTGGAGATGCTCTTATATGTAGCTAGAAAATTATTGCACAAGAAATGAAAAATAAGATCCATAAGTACTTGCATAGAGGTGTGGTATCGTTGATCAAATATGTGAAGTTGTGGTTGAATTTTATTTCGACTCTAACCTAAAAACTGTTTTCTCTTAACTTATATCCATTATATGAAGAAACTATCACATAATTCCCGCCAATCACAACTCGGGAAAAAAAATAATAATAATTTTGACACATTTATTTACGTGTTGAATTGTGATTGACGAAAACTATGTAGTCCCGGGGCGTGTAATAAATTCTGCTATGCTTAACGTTTGTGGTGTTGTATGAGAGAATATTGAAAGCAGTTTTTTAAAGTAAGAGAGAAAACATGGAGGGTTATGGTTTGAAACTTGTCATTTCCTATTTTTCACACAGTAAAATTAAATATTTACGGTGAATGTAGTAGCCTTAACATCCAACACATAAATATTATTGCATCCCCAAATTACGGCATGGTTCTAAACAATTCTACCTCACTTCAGGATTGGTGTAGATATTCCTTGCAAGTTGCATGATGCAAATTCCAACAGCAGTACCAGTTGCAGCAAAGAGTGGATACACCTATTAATGTGAAAATAAAAGATACACGTAGTTAATTATATGACATTTTTCCAAAAACTATAATATAAATTAATTGGTGTTAAATGGCCTACAAGAGGTATTTTATCCCACATTAGATTCAGATGTGAAGTGAAAGGGATATAAATATGTATTTTGTTCCACATCGAATTCAGATGTAAAGTGAAAGAGATATAAATAGGTAGGTATGCAATACTACCCAATAACTTAAGTTTTTGGTAAATGGTCAAGCATCCATTGTTGGAATTTTTATATCTATGCACTATGTTTTGTCCTGTCGTATCGTGCTTTATATTTTTTCAGATCTCTCAAAAGACCATAAAGAATTTATCTCTCAAAAGATCATAAAGAATTCTCAAAGGTATATGTGCGTTAATCATCAATGAGGTACGAGCTTAAATTTCCTATTTAATTAATTATTCTTGATTTCTACCAGTGAATTATTTATTTAAATCTAACAATTAGTATCAGAGCAAAGTAAGAATTTAAATTTTTTTATAAAAATCAAGATCAATAAATTGAATACATATTATATATTGTTTTAAATTAGAAGCATGGTAAATATGTAAATATATATTTGATCGCAGATTGTGTATATGGGTCTTGCTCGTAAGGAGTCGAAATAGCCCGACTGCCTTTACCTTTGTTCCAATAGTGAAAAGTAGCTTCCAAAGTAGGGGTTTTGTTTTTTTGCGTGTGTGCGCGTGTCACTGTGTGTGATGGCTATCAAAAGCTGAATGAATATATATATATATTAAGGTGCCTTGTTTTGTTTTGTTTTTCTGTGTGTGCGCGCGTGTCACTGTGTGTGATGGCTATCAAAAGCTGAATGTATATATATTAAGGTGCCTTGTCTTGTTTTGTTTTTCTGTGTGTGCGCGCGTGTCACTGTGTGTGATGGCTATCAAAAAAGCTGAATGAATATATATTAAGGTGCCTTTTCTACATGTGTCTTTCATGGGAGTCCATAATCTATGGCAGTGCAAAAATAAATAAATAAAATTAAGGGTTTTATTTTATATTATATTTTATATGAAGATAAATACGACCTTTATTGAAGTTGGCTCAGCAAAAATTTCAGTTATTAATACTGTCAAAGCACTTGCCATCAGAACACATGGAAATCAAGAGCAGGCTTTAACCAAATAAAAGTTAATGAGTTTTTTCGTGCATTATTTTACCTATATTTTAGCCTATTTTGTGTTGAGATTTGGTCACGAAATTACTGTCAGAATTCATGATATGAATACCGGAATTCCCACTCCGGAAATAGTGTCAGTGGTGTGAACTTGTGATTTAAAGATTTGTGACTTGTTTTTTTAGCACTCTATGTCTTTAAATAGCAAATTCTATATGGAAAAGTTTCAAGTATTATTTTTTATTTTATTTTATTTTTTTGTTTGTATGCAATTCGTTTGTATGCAAATTTTTGTGCACGCCGCACGAGATGAGTATGTAAAGAAAGTTTGTATGGTTGGTTTGTTATCATAAAGTGTGTACGGGTAATTGTGACTGAATTTTGTAAGATAGTGTTGGACACTTCTAATAGACTTATTTTCATAATATATTCAAATAAATAATATATATATATATATATATATATATATATATATATATATATTCAAGTTTCTTTTGGCATCTATTATGATTTGAATTAGTGGGACTAGTGTCAAGAACTAAAATATAGATATGTTTGGTTCTGCACTTCATCAAGGTACTTAGACAAGTACTGATATATAGGCAGATAATATATATGATAAATTTTCTCTAGAAGTTATTCCACCGTCTGTAATAGGTGTGGTTGGGGTGTGTCATAATTGATTTAAAAATTTAAGTATTTTTTAAAATTATTTATCGGAAATATAATATGCATGCATCATGTTTTAAGATTTCTTTTAATTAAAGTATTATAAAGAAATTGTTTAACTTAAATAAATGGAACTTCAGTTTAGGTTTTTCCTTAAAATTTAGGAAGACCGGTAAAGTGACCGTTTCAAAGGTAATAGTTAAAGTGGGTGCTGTCTGCCAAAAGGTGACACGCTCATGGAAGTTATTATTTTATTAAATTTTAAGGCATTGGTCTTATTGAGGTCTTACAGTGCACTTACTTACATAAGGGCGTTTGTTCTGCCAAAAGGTGATCAATGTCTTAGTGTAGAATAAGTGAGGAGAATTTGAGAGTGTTTGGATTATAACTAAATAACCCTCTTGCCAAAAGGTAGTGGAAGTGTTTAACAATAATGCAAGTATAATCAAATAGGTCTATGTAGATTTTATCGCAGGTTTGGGAGGTAAAGTAAAATTTAAAATTCTGCCAAAAGGTGAATTTTAGATTGCATTTTATCTGTTCCAGCAGGGTGGACAGTTTTGCACATAGTAAAACACCCTGAGAAATTCGGCTTAAAATCCCAAGTACGAATTAAAGTAATAATCCCTAAAGTTATGACATATTATTTTATATGTTGTTATGTGGTGTTATTCAATATAACATTTATTCAGACTATAGACGCTTCCGCAATTTAAAGATAGCTCATAGGGATTGAACCATTGAATGGTTAAAATTATATTGCTTAGAAGACATGTTTTGATATTATATTGGATTTCTTAGACCATGAGCCTATGTTTTGAGGAAGAAACCCATATGCCCAGTGTGGAGTCTTCTTAGGTGGAAAAATTGTAGCAATTTTAGGTGGACTAAAGTTATTACCATGCCATTAGGTTAATTTATGCTTTTATTGGTGATACTATTCATGGTGGTATTCTAGTTTTGATACTGTCAATGAGCTTCTTGATTTTATCAAGAAAGAGTTAATGGGCATTAAGAAACAAGTACAATACTATTATCTAACATAATTATGTTAGTGAGATATGATGACAATGGTTCAGTGAAGGAGTACATCTATAAGATGTGCAAGCTGGTTAATGATTTGAAGAAGTAGAGAATCATATTTGCTAATAAGTTAATTAATCCACCTGGTGATCTATTCTCTACTTAGATTGTTTCAGTTTTTCAATGTGAATTATAATTCACAAGAAGTTAAATGTGGCATTAACCAGCTATTAGCACTTTGTATGATTGAAGGGGAGCGACTCAAGGGTGTTAAAATTGAGTGAGCTCATCTTACCGTGACAGTAAGAATAGTTTCAAGAAGAAACTAGGTGGCAAGAAAGTGTATAAGGCTAAACAAAATAAAGAAAGACAGAACAATACACGAAAAGACATTGATCATGGAATGATAAATGTTGGTTCTGTAGAAATAAAAGACATAAAAAGAAAAGGCTATTATGGTGAAAAGAAAAACAAGTATGAAAAAAAATCGCCATGTTAATATTTGAGCCAAACTTGGTAAAAGTACAGTTACATGGTAGATGGATCCGGATGTGATCTTACCTGTTTCTTGTTTTTCTATAGACTTGATACCTTCCGAATAAAATCATGCTTTGGTTAAAGAGGATTTATCTATGCTATGCATAGGATATTAGGGAATGTCTTTCCAAAGAGACTTAAACGCTTGGTCAAGGATGAGATTATTGGGTCACAAATTTTTTGCGTTGGTTGTATCAAAGGATAGATGCAGAGAAACGCAATTTTGAGGTTAGTCGATTATTTGGTCTTTTAGACTATATTTATACCGAATTTTGTGGTCCATTTCTTATTGTAACTCGTTCGTTTGCGGTAAAGGTATCTCATTGTCTTTATTGATGGGTTCTTAAGGTATGATTGTATACTTAATCCACCAGAAGTCTGAAGCACTTGATGTGTGTAAAATTTATTAGACTAAAGTTGAAAGTAGTTCGTATAAAGATTATGGTTTGAAGATCGGACTAAGGTGGTGAATTTTAATGGTAGAATGGTAAGGATGGTATAAATCGTAATATTTTCAGTACATACTTAAAGATCAGTGCATTGTATCACAGTACACCACTCCTAGTTCTCCTGCGCAAAATAAAGTTACAGAAAAGAGAAAGTGTGGGGATGTTTTATAGATATAGAGTTATATAATGCAGATATCAAGGAGCTTGATACTCGCACTGTCAATGATTATGTTATTGGGCATCTTGAAAGATTAAAAGATTTGAGATTTTACTATCCTGTTGACCTATGGAGATTATTGGAATATGTCATGCATATTTAATGAGAGTGGTGAATCCAGTGGGAGTTTAAAATATTGTAGTTTCTTTTGCAGAAAAGTTTTTTCAGCATCCATTTTATTTATTCCAGGCTTCATTCCACTTTCTTTAGTGGTTTCAATTAAAGCTCATGTTCCCATTTTTCAGTTATTCCCACTCAATTAGTTATTTCTTCTTTGCAAGTTTTCTTTCAGTTTCCAATATAGTTCCTAAGCCTGTTTAGCTTAGGAGATCTTCTAGAGCTTGGAAGTGTGCTGTAGTTGGTGGTGTTTGATGGATATAAGACAAAATAGATGGCCAAGTGCTTAAGCAAAAGTGAAGTGTTATTTTCTTTGAGATTATTTTCCAGTTTCATTAAAGGACTCTTTAAGAGTCATTCTTTCATTATCACTCATTTATGCCTTAAATAAGTTTTACAGCAGTAATATCGAAAAATTTTGATACAATGGTTACTAATTGTAAGTTCAAAGATAATGTTATAGATAAATGCATATACCTTAAGTTCAGCGGGAGTCACTTTGTTTTCCTTGTCCTATTTGTTGATATTTTGCAAGGTAGCAATAACATTCATGTGATACATGATATTAAAAATTTTATGTAAAGAATTGACATGAAGGATATGAGTATGCAAAGTATGTCCTTGGCATTAGGATCCATACAGAACACGTTATAGGAATACTTGGACTTTCTTTAAAGGCTTATATTAATTAAGTATATGAAACAATTTAAGGGTGATCAAGTGTAGTAAGCCTATTGACATAAAGTACATTTTCAAGCCTGAGAAGGTTAAGGTTGAAGTGTCATTAAGATTTTCCTATATGGTTACAGAAAGATTGTTGCAAATCATTATACTAAAGTCTTCAGTCGAAGATAATAAAGTATTTAAAGAGCACGTGATTCGGACAGGTGTTCGAGAGTCATTATGGTATGATGTCTGGTATTTCTTTTATATATGCTACATTACAGTTAGTTTCTTTACGCCTTATGGTGACAGTTATTTTTCCTCCAGTTTACGCCTTATGGTGATAGTTATTTGTATCCAAAATAAAGTTATGATGCATCATTATTATTATCTTGATATATATGGTTTATGCACGTGCTATTATGTTTGTCTGGAAGTGGTGTTTCACTCTTGAGGTTGTTTGGGCTAGATATGAGATTGACACCATATCAGTAAATCCAAATATAAGATTTGTCTGAGAGTGGTAATACACTCATGATGTTGTTTGGACTAGATGTGAGATTGACACCACATTGGTAAATCTAAACATAAATATTAAAGTTTGTCTGTGGGAGTTTTTCAAACTCTATGAGGATAACTTGGGCTAGATATGGGATTGGCTCCATATCGGTAAACCCTCACACTGAACAGATGGTTAGCGGTTTACTGTAATATGTTCAGGTGATATACCGCGATCGTAAATCCAAACATAAATATTAAAGTTTGCCTGTGGGAGTTTTTCAAACTTTATGAGGATAGCTTGGGCTAGATATGAGATTAGCTTCATATCGATAAACCCTCACACTGAACAGAATGTTGGCGGTTTGCTGTAATATGTTCAGGTGACATACCGCGATGGAATGAAGCAGGACGGATAGTGAGGTGTGCGTTTAGACCCCATGCAGTTTGCACATCTCATGAAATACAGTAAAAATCACTATATTTGCTTGAATCCTAGATGGAATCGGTTTTGAGACCATGGAACTGTTTAGACTAATATATTACTTGTCTACGCATTCATGATCCACTATTGAGGAAATTTATGGAGAAGAGTGTTCTAAAGTTTCAATCCATCAATTTCGATAATTGTGTTTTCTAAATAAAAATGAGTGGCCACTCGACTTTTATAAAGTGTGTTGCAATCCATAGTATCATTTTATAAAACTTAGAGTGCATGGACCAAGTGGGAGATTGTTGAAATTTATATATATATATATTTAAATAATAAAAATTATTTTATGGTCCTATGCACTATGTTTTCTAAAATAGGATTGCAATGTGATTATTGATACTTGATGGATTGGGTTTGTACTTTCCAATTTGGTGGTCTAATTGGGAATATGGTTTTATACCGTTGGATTGTGGTTTTTCAACTTATTTGGTGTGATTTATTTCTAACCATTGATATCTAAGTTTCCCTGATAGGAAGGGAGACTTCGATATGCTTGTTTGTAGAGAAGTCGTCCCCCCTATTGTTGTTATATATAAGGGTTTTAAAACCCTTATTCAGTCCTATCGTATCGACAACTTTCAGAAGGGGGTAAAATGCTCTATTTTTTTTTCAGATCTCTCAAAAGGCCATAAGGAATTCTCAAAGGTATATATGCGTTAATCATCAATCAGGTACGAGCCTAAATTCCCTATTTAATTAATTGTAATATTCTTGATTTCTACAAGTGAATTATTTATTTAAATCCAACATCCATCCGTTATAGTTAGAATCAGAGCCAAACCTAATATTTGATTCGGTGTCACACCAAGCGCTCGGCCCGGAAGGCTTTCGGGTGAGCCACCCGATAAGAAGGGTGGGCCGACTACAATAAGGACGTTGCGAGTTCGGATGGGGGAAAATGTTACAAGGGATATTTTGTCTCACATCTGATCCGGATGAAAAGTAAAAAGAGTATAAATGGGGTGGGTATGCAGTACTACCTAACAACTTAAACTTTTAAATAAATGGACAAACATCCACCCGTTTTACCTAACATGCATGCTTAATCTTCCGGGGTTAGTATATAAACAAGAATACTTGAAATATCAAGTATATATAGCGTACAAGAATGTCAAAAATAAGTTTTTGAAACCATACAACATACTTTAATTGTTTAAAATGAAATTGAAACCGAAACAGACAATAAAGCATAACTTAAAACGGGTTGACCCTGAATAACTCGTCCGATCCATGATTATTTGGATTGAGTCACCCCTAACTAAAACCAGCATATGATACTTTAAAAACAGTTATTTCATATTTGTTTTGAGAACAGTGATGTGGTTCATTACATCCATTAGAGTGTTCATGAGGCTGTAACGAGTGTTTTTTGGAAAACCAATTTCTAAAAAGTGGCAAAAGAGGACACACACTTGCGTATGCAAGAAATTCACCAATTTTTCAATTTTTATTTTTTATTTTTTATTTATTTATATTATAGATGTCATGTATATATATTGTTCCATTTTGTTACAATGGTCTTGACATGCAAGAGTAAGCTAATTAGACAATACAATTTATATATAGATTTCATTCAAGATTAGCTTCAATTCATTCAATTAATAGAAAATGATATTACCCGTTTGTTAATGTCTTATATGATATTTCTTCTGTCTAGTTTCATTCTTTTTAACCTGAAAATGACAGTTCAATATTGGAGTAATGTCATGCGCTAAGTATATAGTAAGAAATGAAACGATAGCACATGGCTTGACTAAAATAATGGCTGTAAAGGAAAATTAACATTTACTGGTAGTAAGAAAAGAAATGATAACACGTGACTTGACTAAAATAATGGGTGGAAACGTACTTTTAACATTAATCAAACGTGTCATATTTTTTAATGAAAATATGTAATTATGTACCTCAGGTCTCAACCATCTTGAAGAAGCCATGTTGGAGCTGCAAGAAATGAGAGAGCTAAGAAAGGAGAATAGGGCTACTACCAAGAAGGAAAAACCCCTTTCTCCAAGGAAAAAACAAAGAAAAAACAGAGACTATATATATGTGTTTTGTATAAACATACAAACCCAAAAATAAGGGAATTATTTTGTCTGCCAACAAGGATCAAATCAAATTGGTCAACGGTGACTTGTTGCCAACCGTAGTGGCATGTTTTGTGGTGGGACTCAAAATTAGGGACACTTAGTTGTCTGAATTTGAATTAATACCTCTATAATAGTAATTAATCATAAAAAATCGTTGATATTTGTAAAAAATGACTAAAAGCTTTGACTTAATTTGTTTTTTTTTAAATCTTAGACACTGACATACTATTATGCTTGGCAGGTTATCATACTGATGGTACCTTAGCAAGAGACAGTTACTTAATAAAGAACAAGGCAAGATAAAGGGATAAATTGAACAAAATTACAAAACTAATTTTATTTGCTATAAAATATAAGACAAAGTACAGAAAATTCTCATTAACTTGCAACATTTTTCAGGCAAATTATCTTTTAATTTTTACCAAAAAAACCTCCTCAACTTGTAACCATTTTCAATAAATCCCTCTTGTCTAATTTTTTATTAAAGAACCCCCCTCAACTATCTAATAAAAAAATAAAAAAATAATATATATTTTTTTTTTTATAAAATAAATTTTTTATTTTCTCTAGATTTTCTTACCTTATAATATTTGCTTTGAAATTCTTTGGAATCCCATTTTCTTTTAAAATCTCATGATTTCAAAGTAAGTAGAATTCCTTTTGAAATCTCATGATTCCAAAATCAGTGGAAGCACGACTTGTTCCTGTTCTTTCTTTAGAGGAAAACCTCCGAATTGATGATCTATAGGGAATCCGACTAAAGATGTCTTTCCTTTTGTTTGTGACGATGTAAACCCGCTGGCCCAACTTAAATGGGATATGATAGCTTCTTTATGGTCTAACATTCTTGCCAATACATTATCCTCATTTTGTTCCGGATTGTAATCTCTAATGAAAAATCAAAGACTTTAAAAAGATGAGCATATTCTGAACGGTCAGTTAATGAAGGGGTCTATAATAGCTATGCCAGGTTCATCTGTATAGGCCGGTCGGCCCAACCCAAGGTCCAACTACGAGCTTTTTAACTGCAACAACTTAAATATACGCTATTGGAGCTGGAATTACCGCGGCTGCTGGCACCAGACTTTGCTCAAATTGAACACATTAAATGTGAGCTATGAAGTAATTTAAAATTGTCCAGATGTATTATTTATAAATGCTATTATTTAAAAAAGTATTTTAAAATTCCAAAGTGAAGTGGGTGAATCCTAAATCGTCTTTCTAAAATTAAATTCAGGAGTGTCCATAAACCAGTCAATAAATGGAAATTGTTGAATGGTTAGAGCTTCGAAGTGTGGGTTTCTAATCAAAACAAAATTCGATGAGTCCACGTGGCAGAATATAAGACCCCAAAATAAAATCTAATCCAACTTTTTCAACAAATATGCATACGTGTCAAACAAGAATTGGATAAAACCAACATCCAACTTATCCAAGGAGGCAAATCATAGATAAAGAATATCATCATATTTTTTATCTATTTAATTCAGACGTTTGAATCTTAATTTTTATAAATGCATATTACCTCCACAGTTAAGTTTTATTTTATTTTTGAAATAATTAAGTTACATTTTTTTAAGATACACATGATGAATAATCAAACATATAATATATGTTAAATCATATTAACATTTAATAAAAAAAATTAAAAATAATTAAGAAATTAAAAAAAATAATTAATGGGTCTACGGGTCATAACGGGTTGACCCTGCCCACTTTTAACCCGTTCTGAACGAATTGAATATAGGTCTTGACACATGTTGACTCGCTCATTTTCAACCTAACCCAAATCCGGCCCAACCTGTCCATTTGCCACCCCTAATATTCGTATGGAGCATAACATATAAAAAAAATTAGCTCCAATAAAGATCGAATATTCATTTTTTTTTTTTTAAATGGTGAGTTTATAAAAGAATGAAAATACTTTAACGCAAAATATGATATCTCATTAAATCGATTTCGATTAGGGCTAAATTTTTTATTTATTTGGCTCCATATATAAATGAATAATTTTGAAAATTTTCTTGTAAATATCTCGAGTATTTTATTTTTTAAAAATAAAATAAGATTGTTGGAATAGATTTTTAGATTGCCTATTTCTATGTGGTTGTGAAAGTTTGTTGTACAAATCTTATATTTCTGGAATCCTTATTTCATAAACTTTATGTGCATATATTATTTACAATTTTTAAATGCACGGTTTATGAATTTTTGAAGTTTGAGAGAATTACGATTTAAATAAAAGAGTATTTTGCTCCAAATATCAACTATTTTACCCCCTTCAGATAATTAAGGGGATTCTTTGGTAAAAAAATTAGATAAGAGGATTTACTGAAAAAAGACTACAAGTCAAGAAGGTTTTTTTGATAAAAAAATAGATAAGGGGTTCACTGAAAAATATTACAAGTCGAGGGGAGTTTCTGTATTTTGTCCTAAAATATGACAATAATCTCTTCAAATATGACAATAATCTCTTCAACTAAAAACTAACTGAAATTATATAGAATAAAATTTCTTCCTCCCCAATTCTAGTCTTAATATTAGCTCACTACCAAATATAAAATAAAACCAAAACACGAAAGGCTGCTCAAAATTACTCAAAAAATAAAGTGGAAGAAAATAAAATAAAATAAAATAAAAAAACTAGTCAAAATAAGAAAACTTTCAAAATATGAAAGGTTTTTGAAAAACACATACACATACAGAAATTTGAAATTGGGCCTCGGTAATTTCATATCACATGAACGTAAAATGAGAATATATATATATATATATATATATATATATATATATATATATATATATATATATAATTTGTATATTCTAATTACTACAAGATTTTGAGATAAAAATCAAATACAAAATTGTACAAGCTCGGGTGAAAATCGTTACCATTGTCCCCTTGGCCTTTCGAAGGTCCGTTTGGATTACGTTGTGTTTTGTAGTGTTTTATTTTAACCTATAACAAAACAAGTGTTTTGTTATCACATGAATGTAAAAAGAGAAAATATTATATATATATATATATATATATATATATATATATATATATATAATTTGTATATTCTAATTACTATGAGATTTTGAGATAAAAATCAAATACAAAATTGTACAAGCTCGGGTCAAAATCGTTACCATTGTCCCTTTGGCCTACCGAAGGGGCTTATTTTGTTTCCTCTAGTTTGGTTGCATTCTGGACTATTATTATTCCTTGAAAAGCTTAGCTTAACTTTGTTTGTTTTGTTATATAAAAATTCTTATTTTCTAAACAAACAAAAAATAAAAAGGGATAATTTCACTGACACTCCCAATAGTTTGGCCAAATATCAGTCTAAAACATCTTTCGAAAATAACTATCACTTAGGTCCATTTTTGATTTTTCGTTACAGCCTCCGTTAAAAACATGTGAAAAGACAACTTTGCCCCTATTTTTTTTAATAACATTTATTTCAAAATATCAGATTAGTTAAAAGACAATTATATCCCGATAATTGGGTAGATGGAACTGTTGGCCGTCGTGGTGGTGGTGGTGGGTGGTGTGTTGCAGAAGAAAGAGAAAGTGTATAGAGAGATTGGTGGTTGGTGGTCGGTGATGATGGGGTAATGGTGGTGGTGGTGGTGGTGGTGCCGCCGACGACTGTGGGAAACTTCAGGCGACAGAAGCAGCAACATGGTTTAGGGCGGCGACGGCGAGGACGAGTGCTTGTCGCTGGGAGAGAGAGAGCGAGCTAAGCTTCTTTTGCTCGCCGGTCGCCGTCTGAAGACCCTTGCTCGTCGGCCACAGCCGAGCTCGGTGGACTGAATCGGCAGTGAAAACTATATATATACTGATTATCTGGGTTTGAGAGAACCGGCGAGGGGCGATTGGAGGAGGATTCGCAGGACTTGGTAACGAGTGAATTAGCGGGAGAGATGACAACTCCAATTCGGCAGTAAAAAGCTCGGCTCGGCGGTGGAGTAGCGGCAACGGCGAGCTTGGAGATGGAGAGCGAAGATGGCTGTGAGAATGTTGATGGCGCCGGTGAGACAGATCCGGTGGCAGCAGATCCAGCGGAGACGAGCTCTGCAAAGAGTGAGATGACTGGGTCTTAGAGATCCGGTGAGACAGATCCGGGTCTTGGAGGTAGTCGGAGAGGTCGAGGAAAGGGTCCGATGATGAGGATTGGAGGATCCGAGCGACCTTGCAGATGAGGTTGCAGCGAGAGAGACATCGGTTTGGAAGGTGGGAGAGTCGACTTTGACGGGGAATGAGCGGCCGTTGTCGGATTCGACGACGACTCCGTCGTGGTATTTGGTGGTGGTGTTGTGTTTGTGTGTGTGTGTGTGTGTGTATATATATGTCTGTGTGTGTATATAGGAGTATATATATGTCTGCCTGTATATATAATATAATTTGTAAATTTATAAATTTTTGAGGGGCCATATTGTCTTTTAATACTGATATTTTGTAAAAAAATAAATTAAAAAAATGAGGGTATACCAAAGTCAGGGTCAAACTAAAGTCAAAGGGTAAAAATGTCTTTTTACATGTAAAAAATGGTCTGACACATCTGTAAACTAACTTTTAGGGTGTGAGTGAAAAACGGAGCAAACGTTTGTAATGTGAGTGATAGTTATTTTCGAAAGATATTTTAGACTGATATTTGGCCAAACTATTGGGGGTGTCAGTGAAATTATTCCAAAATAAAAAAATTAAAAAGAGAGGTGTGAAATTACCATCTTATACTACATGGACAGTGACAAATCAGCGACAAATTAATAAATTTTCAGCGGCTTTCTTTTCCTCCAAGACAAACAAAAACAGCGCACGTGACCAACCCCACCCCACCCCACCCCACCGCACCACTTTCCATATTAACCTCAAATCCCTATTAAAATCACTCTCTTACTGTCTGTTTCTCTCTCTCACTCACTCAGTCTCTCTTACTCTCTGTCTTCCTGCTTTGTTCTACCCACCATTTTCTCTCTCTATAGTACTCATGGGTAAGCACTCTGTTTCGTTCATTCATTTACTAATTCTAATATTTCTATATCTATCTCTGATTTTGGTTTTTTTTGGTTATTTGATTTTGTTTCACAGCGAAGATCAAGATCGGAATCAACGGTAATTGTCTTGCCTTGGATTGATTTATTTTTTTGTTGTAATACTGTTTTTTTTGTGTTGATTGATCGATCGACCCCCTTCTAAATCTCTTAGGTTTCGGAAGGATCGGTCGTCTGGTTGCGAGAGTTGCTCTCCAGAGAGACGATGTTGAACTCGTTGCTGTTAATGATCCCTTCATCACCACTGATTACATGGTACTATCAGTCACTCTCTCTGTATATATATATATTTATACACACGCACACGATGTGCTTTTGTGCTCTTTGTGTATTGCTTATAGTGCTTCTGTATTTGCCATATGTGCAGACATACATGTTCAAGTATGACAGTGTCCATGGCCAGTGGAAGCATCATGATCTCAAGGTCAAGGACGACAAGACCCTTCTCTTTGGTGAGAAACCAGTTGCTGTTTTCGGAATCAGGTATTAATTCGATTTTTACACGCTTATATTTGTAATACTCAGCTGTTGTGTTTGGGAGTACTGAATCGGTGCCTTGTATTTGAAAGTTTGAACTAGGTTTTATCCAATTTCAAATCTAAGGCACCAATTCGGTATTTGCAGTTTGGGGTTTTGAATCAGAATGTTGGAATTTGAGACTTCACACCCTTTTTTGTGTATCCATTTGTGGGCATGGTCTATTAGGAATCCTGAGGAAATCCCATGGGGTGAAACTGGAGCCGAGTTTGTTGTAGAGTCCACTGGAGTGTTCACTGACAAGGAAAAGGCTGCTGCCCACTTGAAGGTTTGCTATGATTAAATCATATATCTATCAGATTGCATAATTTGGTTTTTAAAGGGGCTAGCCCAATGCACGAGACTCCCGCCATTGGGAGAATTGGATGTACACAGCTTTACCTCTCTCCGCATAGAGGATGTTTCTGGTTTCAAACCCGTCCTGTGATAGCCAGATCACAATGGAGCCATTAGTTTTTTAGGGGTTCCCAATTTTGGACTTACTTTACAAATTTCATCATAGTTACTTTTTGATGATTCAGATCAATTCTTTTTCATTGTAGTGTAATTATATAAAACTGGGACAACCATTGATTTTCACAAATGAGTATGTTTTCATGACCCTTTGTTTTTGAAGGGTTTTGTTCTCTTTTTGTAATGCATGGGTTTAATTTGTCTGCTGTGATCAGGGTGGAGCAAAGAAGGTGGTAATTTCTGCCCCTAGCAAGGATGCTCCCATGTTTGTTGTTGGAGTTAATGAGAAGGAATACAAGCCTGAGCTCAACATTGTATCAAATGCTAGTTGCACTACAAATTGTCTTGCTCCTCTTGCCAAGGTTGTATTCACTTTTTCATTACAGTTAGTTATACTTATCGCTTATAGTTGGGAAAGTAACTGCAATCTTTTACTTATCCTTTTTGCCTTGAAATTCAGGTCATTAATGATAGGTTTGGCATTGTTGAGGGTCTCATGACCACTGTTCACTCCATCACTGGTGAGTATTTCTAACTTTCATACATAGTCAGTTATATTATCAGTTTAGAATATGAGTTGCAAAGATGGTTTTGATTCATATTCGGTGATACGTGATTCAGCTACTCAGAAGACTGTTGATGGGCCATCAAGCAAGGACTGGAGGGGTGGAAGAGCTGCTTCCTTCAACATCATTCCCAGCAGCACTGGAGCTGCCAAGGTAGTGACGTCCTCATTTACTGTGATAAATAGTTTGATATAATTCTAATGATTGTTACACAGCATTGGATTTTGTATTTGGTCTGATGTCAATTCTGGGTGTTAGTCCTTGTGCCTGTAGTGCCCTTTTTAACTGGTGCTACTGTCATACCCTATTTTCAAGTTCAACTTTTGTTTAGTCCAATAATCTGCTATCTTCAATCATTAATTTGTATTTGTTGATTTTTCTATTGACATAGGCTGTTGGGAAAGTGCTACCGTCACTGAATGGTAAGTTGACTGGAATGGCCTTCCGAGTTCCCACTGTGGACGTTTCTGTTGTTGACCTCACTGTAAGGCTAGAGAAGAAGGCAACCTATGAGCAGATCAAAGCTGCTATCAAGTAAGTTTTGAATATTCTGTTTAAGATATTTCTTGATTATGTAAGTGCAAGAGGTAATTATGCTCTAGCATCTGTCCACCCTTGATGAGCAGTGAAGTGAGTTGTATTTATGGTTGCATTCCTTCTTTACTTGCAGGGAGGAGTCAGAGGGAAAACTCAAGGGGATTTTGGGCTACACCGAAGATGATGTGGTGTCCACAGACTTTATTGGTGATAGCAGGTAAAGATTGCTATCGTTTTCTCCTCGTATTTTACTGTCTGCCATATGGGTTTCCAACTACTTGCAACATATGTGAGATTGATTGGCGTGCCCTTTTATGTATTTGGTTCACTTGGTGCAGGTCAAGCATCTTTGATGCCAAGGCTGGGATTGCTTTGAACGAGAATTTTGTGAAACTTGTCTCTTGGTATGACAACGAATGGGGTTACAGGTAATTTGGATCTTTTTTTTTATTAATATTATTGTCACTCTAATTAGCTTTGTGTTGATCAAACATGATCTTGAATTGTACATCTTCAACCTTCTTCATTTGTGTGATCTAATCTTAGCTGACTTGATACAATCTTTTTCGTTTTGCAGTTCACGAGTGATTGACTTGATTGTCCACATTGCTTCTGTTTAAGGCTGATGCTTGTCCAATGATATCTGCAGGCGCCTTTTTTTAGTTAATTAGGTTTTATTGAGAGTTTAGAATAAATGAGACTGTCTATCATATTGTATGATGAGACTATCTGGGTGTGATTTAAGTTGGTTAGTCAACTCCATTTGGATGTTTAGTATGTGTCCTTTTTCCTTCTTGCAGAAAGGAAAATTAACATAACAGTTTCCACTATTTCTATGATGATTTTGGTACAATATAAGAAGTCAGATGGTGTTTCTTGTAATTATTCACCATTTTCTCTCTAGGCTTTCTTTTGTGTTTGTTTGATGTGATTATGTAGAAGAATGGGGAATCAATAGTATGTATTGCCTGATCTCCAACCCATCACATTTAGGTGGGTATTTTGGTCGGCAAAATATGTTGAGATTAACCTTTTGTGTCAACTGTATTCAAGTGAAAGTGAAGGTAGTGACCAAATCATATTAGCGGGCTAGTAGAAAGATGAGCGGGCTAGTAGAAAGATGAGGGTGAGTCTTGGGGCAACTGCAAGGTCGCTTCATTGTGAACTTGGAGAAGGTCACGGGATATGAAACACGAAAATAACCTCTCAGCATGAGCTTGCAGAGGCAAGGTCGTGGACATTTAATTTGCGGTGGACATTTAACTCCCTCGAGACCTCACAATGACAGGATGTTCGTGCTTTGAATGGTTATTTCTTTGAATTGTTGTAGCTGTATGATTGTCCAATTTCATGCAATAATCCATTGCACATGAAGAAACCATTAAGATGGGCTTCGTGCTGTCTCTATCAATAATGAGCCCATAATAAAAACACATCTTTAGTAATTATTCGGAAGCTGCGTATGGCATGGAATTGATGCTTCGAAATTGGCACATGGAATTGACACAATATATAAATTAAGAGTATTGTATGCAGGGGCAAGCACATGAGAAATAACAGAAATAAGAGTTACATTTATAGTTTTTAGCAAAAATAAGAATTATAAGACAAAAAAAGAATCAAATTGAGACTTTTTAAAAATAAAATATGAAGAGTTGTACATCAACTCTTGTTTGTGTTTTAAAATTCGCTATTTATAAAATAAAAAAACTATAATTTAGAGATTTATCAAATTTTGGAGAGGTCATGCCGGCATGCCCCATTCCCACATGTTTGGACTCTTGACTTATTATTATTTTTTTTTTCACAGAAAATTCATACGCTTATATTGTCATTATAAAATCTTGAACCATCTACAGTTTTCAAGATTTATTTATTGATTTACTCGTAAAAAAAATAATTTGTAAACCGATTTCCCTGAATTTTTAATGAGAGATAAAAATCCTTCAACTACAGTGCGTCGACTCGACTTAAAATAATGCCCCCAATTATCCAATTAGTATTTTTCATTCTTGAAAATGTTATCAGAGCATGGGCCGAACCCGCAAGAGTTCGTTTTGTTGCGGCCCACAATATAACCCGGTTCAGCCAAACGCTGTCTTCGGTCCTTCACTGCCAAGTTCAACCCCCACTTTTCTCTGTCTCTCTATCTCTCGCCGACGAATCGCCGGTACTATAGTCCCCGGAATCGATGCTGCTCTGAAGTTTTACTTCAACCCTTTTGGTAATGTCTCTCAATAACTTCTCTTTCTTGGGTTTTTATTTTTTATATATATAAACACTTACACACACACACAGAAATATATACATATTGTTGGTTCCTTTCTACTTAGATCTTTTGTTTGGATTAATTGAAAATTATCGGCAGGAGGAAATTTTGGTCCCTGATAATTCATAGGAAATGAAATCAAAACTGGGTTTTTTGCTACAGCTTTGGCTTGTGGGGTTTTGAGAAGATTTTTGAAATTTTCTTCTTTCTACTTCATTTTTCATCTTTTTCCCAATTCAATTTCTTTCTACTTCATTTTTCACCTTTTTCCCAATTCAATTTCTTTACTCTCAGAGGTGAGAAGTATAAAATTGATTTTGAAAAGAAATAAAAAATGGTTTTTTTGTGACTGCTTTGGATTGTGGGGTTTTGAGAAGATTTCTGAAATTTTCTTCTTTTTCTTTTTTTTTTTTTTTTCAAAAAATTTACTATTCTTTCTTGTTCATTTTAAACCTATTTTCCAGTTCAAGTTATGTAATACCTCTTAAAGAAGAATGGTATAGGAATGATTTTTGATATTTTCTGTTTGTTTGATGTGAACTTAAGAAAAAGAATTGGTGCCCATGAAAACCAAAATCTCACCCAGTGAAGCCTAATATAACTACTCAGTGGACTTATTTGTTTCCTAGATTTTCATTTTGAGAAGAAAAATCAATATTAGAAGTAAAATTCAAACCAGGACGAGCATTTTTAAAAGTATTTTGGGTATTAAATTCATGATAAAGAGTAATTTCAGTGAAGAAAATTTTGTAGGAGGGTTGAGTCCTTTTCGCATATTTGAGCTTAATTAGATATCTTGTTATGCTTTTCTGGGAGTTCAGAAACAAAATGTAATACTAGGAAACTTATTGTTTAGTATTTTTGGGTATTAAATCCATGGTAAAGAGTAATTTATGTGAAAATTTTATAGGATGATTGAGACTTTTTTTTTGGTGCATATTTTGAGCTTATTAGATATCTTGTTACACTTTTCTGGAAGTTCAGAAAGAAAATGAAATACTAGGAAACTAATTGTCTAGTATTTTTGGTATGAAATTCTTGATAGAGAGTAGTTTAAGTGAAACTTTTGTCTAAGGGTTGAACCCTTATTTTTTTATTTTTTATTTATTTTTTTTTTTCATATTTTGAGCTTAATTAGATATCTTGTACCAACGGGTAAATGGCCTAGCGGTATCAGCCTCTTATCTCCTAAAGGGAGGTCAGGGGTTCAAGTCTCAGAAGAGACAAGTGTGTTTGAGTACCAACTAGGAAAAAAAAAAAATAGATATCTTGTTACTCTTTTTTGGAAGTTCAGAAACAAAGTGAAATACTAGGAAACTAATTGTTTATTCTTCTGCAAAATGCAGGAGTGAACAGTTTGAATACCTTTCTCTTCGTCGGCAACTCTTCATGATCTTCCATGTCAGGAACCACATTAAGAGGATAAGCTTACTTCTTGTCCCATCAGTATGTTGTGCCATTGGCCATGATACCTTCACAACATTCTGTCATTCTATTTGGTCGAAGGCTTTTCCTTCCCAGTTGGAGTCTCCCCCCTTAATGAGAACCCAAATTGGTCGTCAAGAAGAACAAAGTTTGGACTTAACGGAACGTTCTGACCTTGACATTCTCGTATCTAAGATTCGTGCTGGAAGCATTGATGTTGAAGTCCTTCAGTCTTTCACGCATGCCCAAGCTTGTAATAGTATACAATTATCTCACAACTTATTTGATAAGTTGCTTCACAGGTTCAAAGACGATTGGAAGTCTGCATTGCATGTTTTTAAATGGGCAGAATCACTTGCAGGCTATAAACCCTTGCCGGAATCATATGATATGATGGTGGACATACTGGGGAAAGCAAGGCAAATGGACCAGATGAGGGGATTTGTAGAGGAAATGCGTTTGGGCCATCTTGTCACCCTTAGTACAATAGGTAAGGTTATGAGAAGGCTTTCGGGTGCAGGAAATTGGGAAGCTGCTTCAAGGGTGTTTGATGAGTTGGGAAATTTTGGGTTGGAGAAAAACACCGAGTCCATGAACTTACTGCTTGATACACTTTGCAAAGAAAAAAAAGTCGAGCAGGCCCGTAAAATTTTTTTGGAGCTCAAGTCCCACATCCCACCGGATGCTCGCACATTTAATATTTTCATTCATGGCTGGTGCAAAGTCAATCGAGTCGACGAGGCACACTGGACATTCCAAGAGATGAAGGGGCATGGCTGTCGCCCTAGTGTCATCAGCTATTCAACAATTATCCAATCCTATTGCCGCCAGTCCAACTTCCATAGGGTCTATGAGTTGCTTGATGAAATGGAAGCTCAAGGGTGCCCACCAAATGTTGTCACTTACACCACTATCATGGCTTCACTGGCAAAGTTAAGAAAGTTTGATGAAGCCTTGCAAATAGTTGAGAGAATGAAATCAGTTGGATGCAAACCTGATTCACTTTTTTACAATGCATTAATTCATACATTAGGGAGAGCTGGCCAACTACAGGAGGCTGCTTATGTCTTTGAAGTGGAAATGCCCAAGACTGGTGCCATCCCGACTACTTCAACCTATAATTCAATGATAGCAATGTTTTGCCATCACGCTCAAGAACAAAAAGCCTTCAATATTCTCAAGGAGATGGAAGATTCATCACTCTGTAAGCCTGATGTACAATCTTACTACCCATTGCTCAAGTCGTGCTTTAAAACTGGCAAGACGGATAGTTGCTTGAGCACATTGTTGGATGACATGGTTAATAAGCATCACCTTAGTCTTGATAATGCCACTTACACACTTTTAATTCACGGTCTATGTAGGGCAAATAAATGTGAGTCGGCATACCTCTTGTTTGAAGAGATGATTGGCCAAGAGATAACACCTAGATATAAGACATGCTGTTTGCTTCTGGATGAACTCAAACAGAAAAATATGCATGAAGCTGCTGACAGGGTCGAAGACTTCATGAAGAATATGAAAACCTCTACGAAAACCTCTTTGGTACGGATACTTCAAGGCGATTAGCTTCTTCCGAACGCTGTGTTTGCAACCAACACATGCACATTTGTCTAATATGGATGATATACGACCCCATTAACATTGGGTGGAAGTTTTGGTTGATTGCTGGATGTGTGTATCAAGTTTCCTTTCTCCTTCGAAAACTGAGAGATGATATTGCAGGGAATCCTCGAACAACTACATTCGTTAACGATCAAATGGCTGATGCAAGTAAAGTGCGAAAGGATTCTCTAGATCTTCTTATCTCTCCGTCTTCTTGTTCAACAAAATGTGATTTAGCATGTTCATGATGCTTATGATACCTACTTATTAATAGGCTGTTTGACGTCTATTTCGTGTTCTTGTATCTTGCTATCGACATCTTCGTGTTCGTTAATCCTTTGCAGCCCTGAATTTGTACAGATTTCCTTAATTTTTAACTGCTTTCCTTTTCCTTTCGGATAGTTTTCTTGTCTGTCTACAGGCATATATTCCTTCCAGAAAAATAGCAAACAAAAAGCTGTGTACAAGTGGGAAAATGGAGGAGGCTCGTGTGGTTTCTTTATATTATTCTGTTTCCCCGAGAAGCTATGGGCTTGACTTTATGCGGTCATGGAGACATCTATGGAGTTGTTTCTTTGTGAACATGGCCTAATAGACGTTCAAACACCCACATTTTGCATGTCATTTTTTTTTTTTTTTGGGCTTCTTTTGAGCTATGGTAACTTGGACCTTTCTAAGCACACGTGAAATATGTTCAAATTTTTGGTGAGAGACATAACATACGCAATTCTTTTTAACAGGTGTCGCTCTTACGCTCCGAGTGCTCTTATGTTCCGCGCACGTTCTCGTTCAAATTTTTCCAATTTATGACTTAATTCTGCCGCTCTCATGTTCCCCGCTCTCGTTCCTGCTACATGCTCTATTTCTATGAAATAAATAAGAATATAAATGCCAAAATGTTGTGGAAACACCACTGCGACATGTAAACCCCCAGTAGTGGAAAATAGGATCTAGACTTGGATGTCTGAGCACCCGGAGTCCCTACCAATGAGCCCCAACTACGATGATTTTGATCTGGAACTTGGCCCATTTGCTGGAGGGAAAAAAGAAGGAAAGATCGTGGGTATATTAGGTGATATGAATATATATCTACTTTAATTATCAAATCATAAATTGTGAGATATATATTTACTTATCAAATTAGAGTCGGTTACATACACTGTTGATTCAGTAAAAAACAAAAAAAGAGATATATACATTTATTATTAGTCCATATACATCTATGTACATCTCTCCGGAGTGAGGACATGTTACCTTTAAAAAACAGAAAAAGAAAAACTAGTTGAAAGAATTATGCCAAACAATTTTTTATTTTATTTTTTTCTAAATTCCTTTCGGCAAAATTGAAAGAATTATCATTGACATATCACCAAAAATTAAAAAAAAAATCAGTGATTCACCAAACAAATATATATATATATTTTAATTCTAAATTCATTTCGGCAAAATTGAAAGAATTATCCCGCAAACACCACCTAAATAAGCGGGAGAAAAATTTAATAGCCATTGGATTGATTCAGGTTACTGTATATATTTGTCACCCTGTATACATACATATATCTACAGATTTTAGGAGAATCGTGGAAAAGCGGGCGAAGAGAAGCAACGAAGGGAGGTTTTCGTTTCGTGGAAGTAAGCCCTAACGCCTGACAGCCCGGTCGAGGTCGAGTAATTCTGGTTGAACTTGTAAAATATATATATATATATATATATAATATTGGCAAGTTATTTTACGAATAACAGAAAACACACAAAAATATTTTACTGCCTAAGTTCTTAACTTGGGTTTTTAGAATCGATTTTATAGACTTTTACGCCTGCTTGGTGGAGATTTTTAAGTTATAGGCTTTCAGTTCGCAATTAGTTTAAGATTTGAATTTTTTTTTTTTTTTTCAAAACATCTCATGTATTTTTAAATGTGTTTTTGAGATTGCCAAACAAGATGGAAATAGTACCTAATTCCCCGTATTTATTAATTGCAAAAAAATATTATCTTCTTACATGTTGTTACTTTTTTCGTGCCTCAACAGTTTGCCAAATAGTTGGTCCTAGTGTGTATCTGTATGCTATTACTGAGCTTGCCATATGGTATATTGGTATGTAACATTCCGTTGTTCAGTTCTCTGCTCTGTCAACAATGCAATTTCTCTTTATGTTTACAAATTGTTGGTTGTTTTCTGTTTTACAATTTCTATTTTTATTTTCTTATTATTGTTATTATTATTTCTTTTTACACTAATTGAAATAATTGATTGGATATAATTGTTTTTTTTTATCTATAATACTATAATTTAGATTTTGAAATGGGTTGCTTTACCACACTAGAAGTTTGACACAATTTTCTCCATGTTATGTAATGCTGCTAAAATCAAAACAGGTTGCTGTACTTCTTATATACCAAACAGATGGAAATAGTGATTTTTTATTATCATTTATAAAAAAAAAGGATTTCATTTTTATTTTTTTTTGTATGCACAACTTTCTTTGAAGTGCGAACAACTTAATGAATAGATAAGGCTTCTTGCCGCGAGTAAGTCTGCACTTCAGTGTTCCTTTATTTATTGTTACTGAATTGTTTTTATTAAATGCCAAACATGTTTTTGCCTCCTTTATGCCTTACCGAGTTTCAATGTCATGCTTCTTGTTCTTGCATTGCATGCCGGTGAATTTGACCTTTGCTCCTTTCTTTGTTTTTGTTTTTGTTTTTTTTGGTGAGGCTTATGACTTTTCCGAGTTTCATTGGTACTTGGAAGTCTTTTGGTCTATGCATTCTGCTTGGTATTGACTAGTTTTTTTGCGCTATGAGTTTCATTGTACATCGCTAGCCATGTTGTCCGCCTAATTGGTAGGAGACGTTGATGTCCTCTGTCAGCCATGAATGGGGTAAAAGATTATGTCAGATGCTTACAATATGGAAGTAGCAGCAGATATACTTTTATGCCAAACATGTTTTACCTCGCACTTGACTTGGTGTTGTATGCTCAAGTCATCTCCAGCTCTCACCCTTTTTTGACTTAATTGTTCAAATATTTGGTTAAATAAATAAATTAGATTTATCAACGGAATAGTGGCCTAGCGGTATCAGACCCTTGTCTTTCAAAGGGAGGTTTGGGGTTTAAGCCTCGGTGGAGGCATGTTTGTGTGAGTACCAACTAAGAAAAATAAATAAATAAGATTTCTTTTGTGTTTTATTTTGGTCGAAGTATGTTTGTGAAACGACCTTTTTGGGTTAACTGCTGCTTCTTAAATTGTTGTTGTTGTTGTTGTTATTATTATTATTATTATTTATTTTTGGGTTGAAATACATTGGGTGAGCCACCATTTTGCCCATCTAAAGGCTTGATTTTGAAATTTCATTTTATTTTTAAAGCTGCAATTGTACCATTTTTTCACTGTTTTAATTCTAGTAGGAGTTGTTCTGTAATTTTTGAATGTCTTTAACTTTGTATTGCATTGTTGACAGCTTCTATTACTTGTTTGCTAGTGATATGTATTTTGGTACATCCAAGGATTGTGTTTAAACAAATACTGTATTTTCTAATATTTGTCTTGCATCTTTTTTTTTTTTTTTTTTTGTATTTTTTTTGATAACAGGAACACGAAGAGGGAGATGAAAGCAATTGAACAACGGTTTGTCTTATTCCTTGAAACTTGAATAGACTTTGACTTATCTTTGTTATTTTTTATTTTTTAATTTTTTTTGTCTAGTTGTATTAAGTGGATATATTTGGATGAAACAATTTTTGAAATTAAGAATCATGCCTCTAATTTAATATTTATGCTTCTAGTGGGTGTGCTAGATTGAAATCCTTAGGTCATTTAGAATATTTGAAATCCTTATGGCCCAGTAGAATGTTTGCATAGTCACGCCGTTGAACTGCTGTATTTCATTTGCTTGTGCATGTTTTAGTTGAAGTTATGTATCAAACTGGTCAGACTTTTCATCGTTCCAAATATAAACCTGCAATTAAAAAGCTAAAAAAATAGAGACATGTCAATTTAGTGGCCCTAGTTGGTCCTTCTGTAGTTATTGCTTGATGTGCTCCCCATTTGAACGCCTTCTAATGGTACTTGTTCAAAAAAAGAAAAAGAAACAATTGAATAGGTCAGAGACAGGCCAGTGTGTTTTGCAAGACCCAAAAAAGGCCATTTTTTAACTCTCTTCTTTTTTTTTCTTTTTTTCTTTTTTTCCTTTTAAAAAAATAGTCAGATAATTTTATGAAAAAATAAAAATAGAGAAAATTAATCTATATAGGACTATTACTATCCTCCCAAAATCATATTAGAAGGGTTTGAAATCTGAACTTCATCATCCGACTCGTAAGCAGTCCTTTACCGCCGGGATTTTTGAGTAACTCTCTTTTGAGCCAAGGTGACTTGTTTTTCTTTTTAAGTTGGATGTTTAGCTTTGCCTTTCTTAGTATTCCTTGAGTAACAAATGGCCCATTTGGTCTTGCTTCCAACTATGAGATAAAGGGCATCTTTTCCTTACCGCCAAACAAATTTAGTGAATGAAGTAGGGAATGCACTCCAACCAATCGGTGTACATAGGATAATTCTTCCTCCCTTCCATTAGTCCCGTATCTTTTTGTTCTGAATTTTCCAGAATTCATGTCCGTTTGAAAAATCAATAAAGATAGCAAGGTATTTTTTAGTTGCGATAATTATTTAACAAAATAAAACATAAAATTTAAAGGGTTAGTTTTTGAATTTCAATTTGGGACAACACAGTTATTTCATGTTTTTTTGAAAACGGGGGACACATAAAAGAACTATGGGAGAGAGGTAGTACCAGTTCGGACATTTGCAATTTAGTAAATAGATCATTTTCTATCGAATGATTTCAGTAACTCAATAAGAGTAGATAAATGAATTGTAAATCACTATAGAGTACTTCAAAAAGAATTCTTTTTTTTTTTTTTTTTGATAAGTCAAAAAGAATTCTTCTTATACAGGATTGCAACCAATCCTCACTGTAATATTCTATTAAAAGAAAGAAACTACTAAATGACCCAGTTACTTATTTATATTCATTGCCTTGGCAATCTAATTACAAGAAATATCGGAATATCAAGGATTAGTTCACTGGGAATTAAAAATAATCAAACTTGTATTAAAAAAAATATGTATATGGAGTAAAAGTAAAGTGTTGAAAAGATTCTCTATAGAATAATAAATGACATCGGTGGGTGTCATGTTTGGTTGCCTGTGTTTCTAGCTTAATATGTTCTAGCTTGACAGCCATGTTACCACCTTCTCTAGTTGGCCTGCGTTTCTGGCCTCCTACTCTATACCTCTTCTTGGCAATCAGGCATGCACGATTCTCATGCCAACACGCTCATTTGTCATTTTTAAGCAGCCTATGCAGTTCGTGATGGGTTGCTTTACCACACTAGAAGCTTATGACACAGTTTTTTATCATCATTTATAGCTGGATTTATCATGGAAAAGAATTTTTTTAGTTGTGTGTGGAAAACTTTCACAGAGTGATATCAAATTAATGAATGCATGAAGTTGGTTGCAGCGACTAAGTCTCCGCCATAGCTTTCATTTCTTTATTGTGCCTCAATTTTATTAAATGCCAAAAGATATTGTTTGCTGACATGTTCTGCCTCCATTTTATTAAATGCCAAAAGATATTGTTTGCGTAAATGTTCTGCCTCTTTTTTGCCTTACCAAGTTCTGGTGTCGTGCTTCCTGTTCTTGCATTGCATGCTGCTTTTACGACCTTTTCTCCTTTTTTTCGTAAGGTTTTTAACTTTGTGAGTTTCATCAGTACATGTAGTCCATTGTACAATGCGTTATGTAGGGTGTTGACAATGTGCGACACTAGTCCTGCTGTTACCCTAATTGGTGGGAGACATTAATGTTCGCAATCAGCCATGAATAGGGGTGAAATATTATAGCTGGTATACCTCAAGTTTATAGCTTAGCTGCTAATGGGTGTAGGAACCTTTCCTTTTGTTTTTGTTTTTACTGTTTCCTTCTCTTGCACGGAGTTCGCTCAATCCCACTTCCTATGATTTGTGTACTTTTGAAAATAGATAGAGCTAGGATCATGATATGGAAGAGTGTTCTCCTTTTTTATTGCGAAACATACAGATCGAAGGTGTTCATAAACCAACCCTCCTGGGAAATCTAATGTTATTTCTGCCTTTTGCGTGAAGAGTTGCCCATGATTTGGTATTTTCGGGGTTGCCTTTAATTATGTTATTGTATTATTGATAGCTTCTATCAATAGTTTGCTCATAATTTAATTTTTGGTGTTTAAGGATTTAGTTCATACAAATATTGTACTTTGTAAGCTGCTGTTTTTTTTTTGGTTAAATAGGGACTTGGAGAGGAGGCAGCAATTTAATGAACGGTTTGTCTTATTCCCTTGAAACTCGAATCAACCATGTTTCTTTATTTTTCCTAATTTTTCTTTATTGTTGCTTTTATGTATTAAGTGGATATATTTGGATGAAGCAATTATTTAATTTAAGAATTATGCCTTTGATGCTTCTAGTTGGTATGCTAGATTGAAAATTTTGTTTCACTTTTAATGTTTTGAATCTATTTGAAGACCTTTAGTTTTTTTTTTAAATATTTGAAACCTTATGGCCCAGTTAAATTTTTGCATAGTCACGCCGTTGAAATGCTGTATTTCATTAGCTGTGCATGTATTAGTTGAAGTTATGTATCAAGCTGCTCGGACTTTTCATCGTTCCAAATATAAACCTGCAATGAAAAACCTAAAAAAATAGAGACATTACTTGTTCAAAAAAAGAAAAATGAAAAAAGAAACAATTGAATAGGTCAAAAACGGGCCAGTCTGTTTTGCAAGACCCAATAAAGGCCAGTTTTTTACTCTTGTTATTTTTCTTTTAAAAAAATATTGTTAGATAATTTTATGAAAAAATAAAAATAGAGAAAATTAACCTATATAGGACTATTAATATCCTCCCAAAATCAAATTAAAAGGGTCTGAAATCTGAACTTCATCATCCGACCCATAAGCAGTCCTTTGCCGCCGGGATTTTTGAGTAACTCTCCTTACGGCCGTGTTTTGAGCCGAGGTTACTTATTTTTCTTTTTAAGTTGGATGTTTAGCTTTGCCTTTCTTAGTATTCCTTTTTGTTCTTCCTCCCAAATTTAGTGAATGAAGTAGGGAATACACTCCAACCAATCGGTGTACATAGGATAATTCTTCCTCCCTTCCATTAGTCCCATATCTTTTTGTTCTGAATTTTCTAGAATTCATGTCCATTTGAAAAGTCAATATATCTCACAAGGCATTTTTTAGTTGCTATAATTAGTTAACAAAATAAAACTTAAAATTTAAAGGGTTAGTTTTTGAATTTCAATTTGGGACAACACAGTTATTTCATGTTTTTTTGAAAGCGGAGGACACATAAAAGAACTATGGGAGAGAGTAGTACCAGTTCAGACATTTACATTTTAGTAAATAGATCATTTTCTATCGAACGATTTAATCTCGAAATCACAACCATCAATATCCTCAGTAACTCAATAAGAGTAGATAAATGAATTGTAAATCACTATAGAGTACTTCAAAAAGAATTCTTCTTATATAGGATTGCAACCAATCCTCACTGCAATATTCTATAAAAAGAAAGAAACTACTAAATGGCCTTGTTACTTATTTATATTCATTGCCTTGGCAATCTAATTACAAGAAATATCGAAATATCAAGGATTAGTTCACTGGGAATTAAAAATAATCAAACTTGTATTAAAAAAAAATGTACATGGAGTAAAAGTAAAGTGTTGAAAAGATTCTCTATAGAATAATAAATGTCATCAGTGGGTGTCATGTTTGGCAAATAGTTGGCCTGCATTTCTAGCTTAATATGTTCTAGCTTGACTGCCACATTACCACCTTCTCTAGTTGGCCTGCGTTTCTGGCCTCCCACTCTATACCTCTTCTTGGCAGTCAGGCATGCACATTTCTCATGCCAACAGGCTCATTTGTCATTTTTAAGCAGCCTATGCAGTTCGTGATGGGTTGCTTTACCACACTAGAAGCTTATGACACAGTTTTTTATCATCATTTATAACTTGATTTATCATGGAAAATAATTTTTTTTGTTTTGTGTGGAAAACTTTCACAGAGTGACATCAAATTAATGGATGCATGAGGTTGGTTGCATCGAGTAAGTCTCCGCCATAGCTTTCCTTTCTTTATCGTGCCTCAATTTTATTAAATACCAAAAGATATATTTTGCTAACATGTTCTGCCTCCATTTTATTAAATGCCAAAAGATATTGTTTGCGTAAATGTTCTGCCTCTTTTTTGCCTTACCAAGTTTTGGTGTCGTGCTTCCTGTTCTTGCATTGCATGCTGGTTTTACGACCTTTTCTCCTTTTTTTCGTAAGGTTTATTAACTTTATCAGTTTCATCAGTACATGCATAGTCCATTGAACAATGCATTATGTAGGGTGTTGACAATGTGCGACACTAGTCCTGCTGTTACCCTAATTGGTGGGAGACATTGATGTTCGCAATCAGCCATGAATAGTGGTGAAATATTATAGCTGGTATGCTCAAGTTTATAGCTTTGTTGCTAATGGGTGTAGGAATCTTTCCTTTTGTTTTTACTGTTTCCTTCTCTTGCATGGAGTTCGCTCAATCCCACTTCCTATGATTTATGTGTACTTTTGAAAATAGATAGAGCTAGGATCCTGATATGGAAGAGCGTTCTCCTTTTATATTGTGACACATACAGATCGAAGGTGTTCATAACCCGACCCTCCTGGGAAATCTAATGTTATTTCTGCCTTTTGCATGAAGGGTTGCCCATGATTTGGTATTTTCAGGGTTGCCTTTAATTTTGTTATTGTATTATTGATAGCTTCTATTAATAGTTTGCTCATAACTTAATTTTTGGTGTTTAAGGATTTAGTTAATAAAAATATTGTACTTTGTAAGGTGCTGCTTTTTTGTTTTTTTTTTTTTGGTTAATAGGAAATTGAAGAGGAAGCAGCAATTAAGTGAACGGTTTGTCTTATTCCCTTGAAACTCGGATCAACCATGTTTCTTTATTTTTCCTTATTTTTCTTTATTGTTGCTCCTATGTATTAAGTGGATATATTTGGATGAAGCAATTGTTTAATTTAAGAATTATGCCTTTGATGCTTCTAGTTGGTATGCTAGATTGAAAGTTTTGTTTCATTTTTAATGTTTTGAATCTATTTGAAGACCTTTAGTTTTTTTTAGCTTTGATTCAACCCCTCCATGTGTTCCAAGGTGGCAAGTTAGATGGTTTTTTTTGCATCCCAGTACATGGCGTTTGTATAAGAATCTGTGTGAATATGTTGACTCATCGTGGACATAAATCAATTATAGACCTAGAAGACGCGTTTGACAGGGTTGGTCTTTTAGCATGAGGCAGCTTTGAAACCATAAAGCTCCTTTCCCGTCAGGCCTGTACAAAGTTTAAGGACTAAATGGTTCCCCTTTACACAATTATCCTTGATTCTTTCTCCACCAAGATCAACTCTTTTAAACTGACATTTTGGAGCCAAAATCTAGGAATTTTGTAGATCAAGCCCATCATATAGTGAACAAGACCGTGGACTTTTGTGTCCTCTCTACTTCCTTTCCTCGAGTGTTGGACCTTGTTTGACCAATCTTGTCTGTTGGCTCCGTAAAGTATGGATAGTCACGCCATTTATTTGTTGTGTTTAGAGTACATGTATTAGTTGTGGGACATTTTATCGCCCTCTCGTCTTAGGCGTGTATAAAGTTTGAGGACTTTAAGGTTCCTCTCTACATATTTTTCCTCGATTCGGTCTCCACAAAGATCAGTTCTTTCAAAAATGGTTCAACCACTAATCTTATGATGTATGGACTCGGTTAAAATGCGTCAAAGCATGGATTTCTGGACCCATCCCGAGCATTAGACACAGAATATGTATGTCTTAGGGTCATTACTCATTACACAGTTTGTCCATATGATCTTCGCGTTACGTTGCTGTACTGAAAAGGTTGGTTCATATCGAATTCATCGTAGAGTGCCAAAAATTATTATTATTATTATTTTTATTATAAAACATTATATTATTGTATTAGTTTCATCTTCTACTACTTGTTCTAATTGGGTCTTTCTGATTACATGTCCCAATGATATCTTATTTCCCCTTTCAGCAACAGGCGTGGGAAAGACGATATATCCAGCCGCGGGATATAGCTTCAGAGCAATGGTTCTATTTCGCGAGCACAAGTAAATTATGCATATTCTTTGAGTTTCCGTGCTAGTAAATGGAATTTGAATATCATTTTGAGTTTCCGTGTTAGTAAATGGAATTTGAATATCATTTTGAGTTTGATCTGTTGCAGCACTGAATTTGTACAGATTTCCTTAATTTTTAAATGCCTACCTTTTCGTTCCAGATAGATTTCTTGTCTGTCCACGAAGCTTATGGTCATGACTTGATGTGGAGTTGTTTCTTTGTGAACATGGCCTAAAAGACTGGTCAACATCCACATTTTGTATGTTGTCATTTTTTGCTGCTTTTGAGCTTATTATGGCTATGCTCTGCTTCTTTGAAATAAATAAGAAAATAGCTGTTTTGGCAGATGAATTCTAATATAAATGCCAACCATCCAACCATATTTCTGGTGGGTGTGGGTGTGGGTGTGGGTGTGGGTACCCTTTTAAGATACTTATATAGTACTTATATGTTGTGAGAACTCCATTATGTGAGGCAATGCTTAGGCATGTAGCCCACTGATGACTGAATAGTGGAGGGTATGCATAAGAACACAAAATATAATAAATGTGTGAAGTAATATCATTGGTTAGGAAGTTTACATCTCTCTGGATTAAGAGTTGTGGATATGCAAGTTCGAGCAGCCTCGTTTGTAATTGCTGCATAATTGTAGCCAACAGTTGATAAATTAGGGGGATTATATGTTATAAACAAGGTGTGTGTAATTGATTGAAATATTAAACTTGAATCGTCCCCAATTCAGAATCAGACGCACGAACGCTATAGGTTCATTCGCTACTCTCTTTGAAGTCTGGCCCACCCAGAATTGCTGTACGATGATTTTGGCCTGAACTTTGGCCTATTCCAGGATTTCCAGCCCATTTGCTGAGTAGAAAAGAAAATTGTTGAGGGGTGGAAATGTTAATTTGAGCATGAAATTACTTTGGATTTGAGCATGCTATAGATGCTGTTACTGAAAACCTTCTATTAATATAATTATATTTGTAGTGGTTTCATCGCGTGAGATTTTTTTTTTCTGCTTCCAGTCGAAGAAATTAGATAAATTACATAGATCTTCTGTAAAGTTTGGGTAAACTACACACAGATCATTTGACGGTTATAATATTGACCTCCTCTAAACATGTTCGTCAAGTGACTTTGAGGGTGAAAAGTCAGTAATAACCCTTTTATACAAGGGAATAACAAAATTATCATTTTATAAAATTTAAAGAAAATATTAGGTATTGTTGAGCACACATAATAAATTCACATCACTTAATAAATGAATTTAGTATTTTATTTATTTATTTATTGGCTTCTAAGCATCGGATCCTAAATATATCATAAAATTTAGGTCGGAGTTGGAAGACTTCTGTGCACTCGTGTGGTTGGAAGTCTGACTAGGGTCATAGCAAGTCGTAGGGGACCATCGAGTCACAAATCATTCAAATGTTGGATCTCATTGTTTCTTGTTTGCATGAGGTGCTTTTTACTTTTGTGTCCTTTTGATTCTTAATTTGATGATGTTGCATTGGAGATGCGGTGTCACGTGATGTTGTTGTACGGTTTGATAAAAGAAAAAGTGAATGAATGAAATGGGAATGGGGATATGGAAATCAGATCTCGTGATCCAATGGTGTCGATTACAACAATTAGATAAAACCAACGAGTAATATCAAATCTAACTACCACTTCTACCCCCACAAGGGTCCACTTTTTCATTCACCCATGTGCAATGTATGTCCCTTTTCAATGCCTTACCTAACCATACATTTGCAGAACTACCCTGTCAGATTTGCTTACATATTTCTATAATATATATATATATATATACACACACACACAAAATACATATATTCCTTCCGTCCTAGTATAATGACTGTCCCAATATAAGTCTCACTTACGGGGAGCAGTAATTTTTAAAGGGACATGTGAGATCATGTTTTGTTTGTCTGAAAAATTACTATGTTGCCCGAAATTTAAACTCAAAGAACATTTTTGAAATGATGTGAAATATATTGTTTGAAAAAGGAAAGTGGACACTTATTTTGGGATGGACAAAAAAGAAAAGCATGACACTTATTTTGGGACGAAGAGAGTATAATATTACATAAAGTAATGCTACCCGATCAGTGCTGTTCCAATAATCAGTGTTCAACAAAAACTCTTGGTCATTATTTAGATAAAACTGTGCTACACTCACCTATATATGAATGGAGTCTTCAAAGAATATAAACAAGCACAGCCGAAACTGCACAACTTTGGGCTGAACATTGACGATGATTTCATAGAGCCGGCAATCTTTGGAAGAGATTGAAGTGCATGCCGGTGAAAGATGAACAAAGAGAGTCACGATGACATTTTGATTGATAATTATTTAAGTTAAATGAAACAAACAAGAAAAATACTATATCAATCCCGTAAATAGTTCGTGTCACTCAGACGGTTAATTATTTATTTATTTTAAAACAATATCTTCTTATACATTTCAAAACATTAATTAATCAATTAATCAAAATTGGAGGATTCAATCTGCTTGTAATTTTGATCCATACACAACTTGATGAACAGTCTTATGCATGCATATGAACAAGATTCTTTCAACCTTACCAAAGGACTAAGGGGACCAATGTTAATAGCCAAGCTAATTAAACTCGGCACGTTAATAAGGATGAATAGTTTGAAAATGTATATATTCAGACTGTTTTATGTGAGTGAAGAATTAAGTCATTACAATATCATTAAATATAATTATGTGAGTCTGACTTTTTCAAACTTTATATCATTATTCTTCATGATTGTATTACTAAAGAAAAGAAGAAAAAAAAAAAAAATGCATGCATGACTTAATATATCATTGAAAAGGTTAATTAATATAATGAAAAATTGTAATTAATTGTGGAGAGAGAAGAGGTATTGTACCAAAATAGATGTGTTCATGCATACATTACCAAAGAAAAAAAAAAATACATGCATGACTTAATGTATCATTCAAAAGGTTAATTAAAATAATGAAAAATTGTAATTAATTGTGGAGAGAGAAGAGGTATTGTACCAAAATAGATGTGTTCATGCATACATTACCAAAGGAAAAAAAAAAAAAAAAAAATCCATGCATGACTTATTATATCATTCAAAATGTTAATTAATATAATGAAAAATTGTAATTAAGTGTGGAGAGAGAAGAGGAATTGTACCAAAATGGATGTGTGACACCCTGGTTTTGTGGGTGGAAAATAAAGTTCCCTAAGTTGGCTAACTACCTGTCACCATTTCATACTACTACTACCTATTTTTATTTATTTATTTATTTTTTTTTCGGCTCACCTGTTGCCCTTACGGGAAGTTGAATTATTGACCTTCTATTTAAAAGGTGACGAGGGGATTCCGGATGTAAGGTAAGGGTGGGAAAAATGAATTTTGGGAGATAATAATGTATTTTTTTAGTAATTTTAGGGGGACCAAAGGTAATATTTCATGGATATATATATTATTGAAAATAAACAAATTATAAGAATATACTATTTTAAAAAATATTCAAGAGGGTAATCCATGGTGATAAAGTACTACTAAATTACAACTTTTTGTGTCGTCACCATTTTATAAAATCAGATAAACAGTTGCATTTGGATTGAGTGAACTAGATGGAAAAGAAAGCTAATAGCTCTTGTGTTTGGTTTTAGCACCTTATAAATAAATAATTAATAAGAAAATGAAAGGTATTTAGAGTTACTAATTACATGTTAAATGGAGAGAGAGAGAGAGAGAGAGAGAGAGAGAGGAGTATTGCATGCATGTTGTACTGGTGCAAACAGGTGCTTCACGAGACTGAAGCTGGGGGCTAACAATCAACCTCCCTCACATGGGAACAGTTAATGGTTGATATAAGTGTGAATAAAATAGATATATAAAACAAGATATGGTTCTTGAGTTTTCTATCGTGAAATAGATAATTAAACCGTTAACGTTTGTGAAGTTGTGAATAGCTCAAACTTGAATTGGTTATTTAATTGATTTTTAATGATTTTTTTTCTTTCCTTTCAGTAGACTTGGGATTTGGGTATAGGGATGCATGCAATTCAAAAAGATTGAATGGATTGAAGGGTTGTTGAAGAATTTAAATAATAACTTGAAATTTTATAATAAATAAATGTTAATATAATATATCATAACATGTAAAATCATGCTTTCAAATCTCTTTCTCACCTTAATAATTAAAATTAAAATAGTTGTTTAATCAAAAGATAGTACACCTCATAAAACGACTCACCTCTCCCTTTTTTGGTAATTATTTTATGTATGTGTGACGAAAAAGATATTATTTTAGAAATTTAAGCAGATTTGATAAGCTAGTTTGTAGCAGAAGTATATTCTCTGTCATCTTGGCACATATGAACGAGACAGTTAGAGAAGGTACCAACTACCAAGCAAGCATCAGATATTAAAAAATATTCAAAGCGAGTCGGTGAAGATGTTACAGATAATAAATTTATAATAATGTTCCAAATATTAATTCACTAATCATAGGGAGAAATCGCATCTTTTTCGTATATTTGAGTCTGCTCCACCAGTTAAAAAGACATACGGCTAGCCACACATTTCTTCCATTCAACTAAACTTTTGCAATATAACCATTCAAAAAATAAATAAATACTAAACTTTTGCAATACCGATTATACATACATACACACTTATATATAATGTATATGAGCTACTTGGTACTACTGGACTTTTACAAATTACAATCAACCTTAAACTAAATTTTATACAAAATGACATTTTAATTTGTTGTGAGTCACGATTTTTTAAAAGAGACATTTTTTTTAGAGACAAAGGAAATACATAACAAGAGTGCACAGATTTTATTTAGTTCACCTAAAAACTAGGGTTGCGTCTAAAAGTTAAAGGGATTTTACTATGATGATTAAAATCGTCACGGATACATAGAATTCAAAATGAGTAAATACTCTCATACTAAGGCAATATAGCAAGTGCAAAAATTATCAAAATACCTCCCAAACAACGAAATACTCTCGTACTGTATATATATATATATATATATAAAGGAGAAGTTGAGAGTTTGAGTCTGGTCAAAAAATATTATTAAACTGTGCAGGTTTGCTTAACCTTTGTCCCAAAAATAAAATAATAATAATAATAATAATAATAAGAGAAGCTATTGTAATCCATGGGCCATGAATTAACTTAGAAGCATGAGGTTAGGTTTTAACTTTGCAGTAGGAAAACCCCTTTCTTCTGAAAGTATGTCAAAAGCATATACATCACTTGCATAACACTGCAACATCACTACTTCAGCATTGGAGTCATTATTTACAATTCCTGCATGAAATTTCTTCACTATATGTCCACTTTCTTTATATACAAAATTACAAGGGTTTTGATAATAGAATTATAAAATTTTATGACTGAAAAATGACAATCACCCACAAGTCATTGTCAATAATATATATATATTTTAAATATATATGTCTGAACTTTGAGTTTACACCATGAAAAATAAACATTGTGGCAATTATACGCTTGCCTTTTTAGGCTTTGGATCGTCCACATTATCATTGACAAATTGAAAATAAGAAAAGGGCGTGAGACTGAAAATTAAAATACTTTTGAGGGGTTATTGCAAATACACTAAAACATAAGGAGTTATGTACACAAAGTTCACCAAACCTCTCAGCTGTTATCCTTTGTCTTTTTGTGTGTAATGCTAACATGTTCCATTAAAGTTGCCCAAATTGGAAAATAGCCTATCATAATATCATTCCATCTCTATCTCTCTTCCCCCACTTGGTGTTCACCGGCCTAATGGAATCCTAGATAATGTTTTGAGAAATTTCTTCTAAGTTTCCTATACCATTAAAAAAACCCACCAATAATCTACTCACATGTGGGCCTTCTAGTTTTTGTGTGTGTGTGTATATATATATAATTATATATTCATCACCAAACAAATAATGCCCATTTTTTGCCTCCTTTCATCCTCCTTGGTCTCCTACCACTTGTTATTGGCATAAACTTCAATGGGTTTTCTTCATATCTCCATTTCCTAATCTGTCTCTCTCTAAATGGGTGTTCCTTTTTCCTTTAAAGTAATTCCTTGTTTGTTCTTCTTTATGTTTGGTTCAACTCTTCAAAGACCCTTCTTTTGAATCTCCTATTTTGATTCTACAATTCCCTAACTTTTTTTTTTTTTTTTTTTTTTTGTGCATTTAATTGTTTAGAACTCTTTTTAGCTTCTCAAAACTTTGTCATCTGAAAAAACTAGTGTCTTTTGGCATTTCACTTTGTCTCTTTCAGTCTCACAAGCTAAAGGCACACTACCTTTCCTCTAATCTTCACAACCCAACCTTAAAAAGTTAATTCTCTGTTTTTTCTTACAAGACCTCAAATTGGGTATTGTATAAATTGCTCTGTAGTGAAGTTCATTCAATTTAGTTCAATCCTCTTATTTTGATTCTAAAATTCATCACTTTTTTGTGCATTTCATTGTTTAGAACTCTTTTTAGAGAACTTTGCCATCTTAAAAAAAAACTGGTCTTTGGCATTTCACTTTCAGTCTCAATCTTCAATCTTCACAATCCAACCTTGAAAAAGTGAATTCTCTGTGTTTTCTTACAAAACCTCAAGTGGGTATTGTATAAATATCTCCGTAGTGAAGTCCATTCAACAGAGTTCAATCTTGCTTTTCTTTGGGTTCGATGTCTGCTAAATACTTTCCTCTTAGGTGGGAAAGCACTGGAGACCAGTGGTGGTATGCATCTCCCATTGATTGGGCAGCTGCAAATGGCCACTATGATCTGGTCAGGGAGCTTCTTCACCTAGACACCAACCTCCTCATCAAGCTCACCTCCCTCCGCCGAATTCGCCGCCTCGAAACCGTGTGGGACGACGAGGCACAGTTCAATGATGTCGCCCAATGTCGCTCCCAAGTGGCCCAAAAACTCCTATCTGAGTGTGAAACAAAGAGGGGCCACAATTCTCTGATTCGAGCCGGCTACGGTGGGTGGCTTCTCTACACTGCTGCCTCAGCTGGGGATGTGGGATTTGTCAAAGAATTGCTAGAGAGGTACCCACTTCTTGTGTTTGGAGAAGGAGAGTATGGTGTAACGGATATATTTTATGCCGCGGCGAGGAGCAAGAACTCTCAGGTTTTTAGGCTCTTGCTTGATTTGTCTGTGTCACAGAAGTGTGTGAATGGGAATGGTAAGGAATTGGAGGGCCCATCAGAGGAGATTTTGCTGGTGTTTAGGTGGGAAATGATGAATAGGGCGGTTCATGCAGCGGCTAGAGGAGGGAATGTGGGGATTTTGAGAGAGCTTCTTGGGGATTGCTCTGATGTTTTGACTTACAGAGATGCTGAGGGATCTACTATATTGCATACTGCCTCTGGCAGAGGGCAAGTTGAGGTGAGATTTTCTCCTAATTATTACTTGTTAGATGCTTTAGCCATATTTCATACATTTTTAGCTTGTACTCTAACTATTAGTTTGCTTGCAATTAAGATTTTATACGTAATTGGGCACTCTTGGATGAAGTTATTAGAAATGACTTTAAAAAGTTAAACATAGTAGGTGATATGGCGGGTAATAATAAGGAATGGAGACACAGAATTCATGGGATGATGATGATGGTAACTATGTAGGAGCACAAGTATTATTACTCTCCTGACTCGTAAAAACGTTGAACTGATAGTTTGCCTCTTAAGCCATGGATTATCGGTGGTGCTAAAAAGAATGAATTAGTAAATGGTAGAGCTTGCTCAATCTAATTTGTTGTAAAGGCCCTTGTGCACTGAGGTTGTAAGACTTTGCTATTTTTCACCATTTTAAGTGTGGATTGGCATTACATGTCAATCAGTCATGCTGCTATTGAAGTTATCACATACTGTTAACGCTAAAACCGGCTCCTTAGATCCGATTCGGAATTGATGTAGTGCGGGCGTGCTAGAACCAATTATATGGTTCGAGTGTAAATAGTCCACTGTAGTCTCTTTGGGAAGGTTGACTTTCAGACGGCGAGGATGAAGAGAACAGTAAAACTTCTCTTTTGAGTTCAAGAATTGCCTTAATTAAAAGCACTTTTAATTGAATAAATTATAGTAACGTTTTGAGAATAGAAAGGGGAGAGAATTAGATATAGAAAGAAATATAAAGAGAGATTGAGAGAGAGAGATATTGAGAGAAAGACAAGAAATAACAAGGGTGCTATTTAGGGAAAGGGCTTGAGAAAGCAAACAAAATAATATAAGGATTCTGAGGGTGCTGGACCTTTATCTCAGCATGCCTCCTTGATTATTTATAGAATAGAATGATAACAAAATCCTACACCTAAGCATCTAGTTACACCCAAACTCTATCAACTAATAACTACTGTTTTCAAATAAAAACCTAATCCTCTAGATAAACATAAATATGCAATTAAATAAATACTTCATATCTATTTGTTACTCCCAGTTATCCAACTCTATCTATTATGTCTTCAAACACAATCCATGCAGATCCAATTCTGTTGGAAAATTGCAACATCGCTATCCCACTTGTGGTTCAGGCCTATGATCCAATTCTTCAACCCAATTTAAATGCCATGCGTCTTTAGCCCAGTCTCTTCTTGTGGCCCAAACCTCTACCACGTCACTATACTTCAAGCCTAATTACCAAAATGGGTGTCAACACATACATATTCTGTTGTTATAGTGGGCAAATTTGCAAAAAAAAAAAAAAAAAAAAAAAAAAAAAAAAAAAAAAAAATCATTTTTAAAGTATGGACAGTGCCTTCAAATGGCATAAAAAAGCAAGATCAATTGGTAACATTTTCATGGGCCAGCCTGATGCTCCCTGTGGGATTGCTTGCATTGTTTGGCCTAACCCGGTCAATTCATTCTGCTGAACTATTTAAATTGCATCTGCAGGCTCTAACTTACGTGGGTGCCTAGTGTGTGCATCAAACCTAACTCAATGTGCATCTTAAAAATTAATAATGGAAGACATCCAAGGCACAGTTGTATATATTGGAGGAAGCGCTTGCCTGATGAAGTTCAGCTCACATAAGGAGAAAGTTGTCTATTTTCTCCGCATTCATGTTTGTCTGCACATATGATTCAACTGAAATGGGAATTAACAAGGATCCAATAGGGCTTCTAAAACATTTGCTTTAGTTTTTATTTATTTTTTATTTATTATTATTAGGCCACCACACTACCATTTCTTGTCATGTGCAAAACCTGACTAAATTTTGCTGAAGTAGCTTTTATGTTTTTTGTTTTGACTACAAAGTAAGCATGGTGTAGGAGAGAATTATCCTGCCAGTGTGATTGATATTTAAGTAACAGCAAATTGTAGAAATTTCCCTTTATCTTTGATCTTGTGTCTTCTTGACTCATAGTTTTACCAGTTCTTCACAAAATTGTTCGAATCTGACATATTTGCATTTTCTTAATTGAGCGCAATTGTTAAAGCTCCTTGGGGACTCCTCTAATCAGAGGTGTTGGACTAACACATAAATGTTGACTGGAAGGGTTGGCTAGCTAAAACCAGTTGGTGTTCCTACCGAAATAAGGCTTCGGTACCTTTGCTTAGATTAGGGACCTATTACAACTATTCATTCTTAACATTGCTATGAGTCATCCTATATGGAAATATGCAATTTGTTCAATGGTCTTAGCTATTTTTCATTACCTACGTTATTTGCCATGCCATTCTAATTCATGGCTACAAAAAAACATATAACATCTTAAAAATTGTGGTGAGTTCTGTGTTTCTGTTAGTGCTGCAGGAGTTCTACTGAATGAATTTATGCATGTTTGATTCATTTCCCAAAGTAATCAGACTCCACCTTGTTATTCATGACTGCATCCTATGGAACTACAGAAAGATGTCTTTTCAATTGTTTCAATCAATCTTTCACTCATGCAGGTGGTTAAGGATTTACTAGCATCCTATGAGATCATCACCTCCAAAGATAGTCAGGGGAACACAGCATTACATGTAGCTGCTTACAGGGGTTATTTGGCTGTTGTAGAGGTTCTAATTTTTGCATCTCCATCATCCACCTCTTTAACAAACAATTATGGAGACACTTTTCTTCATATGGCGGTGGCTGGTTTTCGGACACCAGCTTTCCGAAGATTGGACCGTCAGATTGAGCTCATGAAGAAGTTGGTTTGTGGAAATATCGTAAATATGGAAGATATAATCAATGTCAGGAACAATGATGGCAGAACAGCTCTTCACATGGCTGTAACTGAGAACATCCATTCTGATCTAGTGGAACTCCTCATGACTGTACCTGCAATTAATTTGAACATCCGTGACGCAGATGGCATGACCCCTCTAGATCTCCTCAAACAAAGGCCAAGATCTGCGTCTTCAGAAATTTTAATCAAGCGGTTGATTTCAGCTGGAGGGATCTCCAACTGTCGGGACTATATGACAAGAAGCGCCCTTGTGTCCCATCTGAGAATGCAGGGTATTGGGTGCAGTCCCGGAACTTCTTTCAGAATCCCCGATGCAGAAATATTTTTGTACACAGGTATTGAGAATGCATCTGATGCTGCTGGTTATGAGCCTGCAAGTACAGAATACAGTACATGCTCGAGTGAACTTAGTAAATTTGACTCCACTGCTGAGTCTAACTCAATGGACTATAAAAAATCGAGCTCCGTAAATAATGCTGCAAGGCGCCTGAAGATTCTTCTGCAGTGGCCGAGGAGGAAAGAGAGAAAAGTTGATAGCTTGGGAGATGATGATTCTGTAGAACAACACAAGACATGTAGAAATTTGGATGACTGTCCCACTCCACTTCGACAGCAATTTTCGAAACCTTCATCCCTTCCAAACAACAAAAGGATACTTTCTATTAGGAGTTATCTTCCAAGCCCATCCACCAAAAAGAGATTTGCTGCAGGGCTAATGCATGGTGTTATTCAGGCAGGGCCACAGTTAGCTGTTCAATCGACTTCAAGTCCTTTTTCAGAATCTAACAGGTCTTCACCTATACCTTTTGATAAACAAAAGGGCGTGTACATTGAAAACGAGATTGGAGGATCTTCAGGCTTGAATCATTCCTTGAATGGTGAAAAATTGAACATAAACGATAAACAAACTTCTGTCAATAAGCGGCTGATGAACCAGTATTTCTGTTTTGGTGCACAAGGCATAGTTGTGGAAGATTCATATAGCTACACAAGATCACATCAAAGTTACGAAAGCCCGTGTTCTTCAACAGCTTGATCCAACTATCTGGACTAATTGGAGTATTGGATGAGATCCACTAATACAGTCTAATGTCGGTGAGCTCTGTAAATGTTTTTGGCTTTTTGCATTTGATTTACTTGTTTGCTTATGAAATATGTGTTAGTAAATGTCTCTGAACAATTAGTTATATAGTACAAATAATGTTTAAGGAATATCCTGTGACTAGCAGATGTTTGGTTTGTCAATCTGTAATGCTTCTTTATTAGAAATTTGGTCTGTTTAAAGTTTGTGTTTGTTGTATTTGTTTGGTCTCAGTTCATAAGCATTTGAACTTCCCAACACATAGGCATTCTTAAGACTTGCAATCTTTGACAATATGGAACCACAATGACTGAACAAGTCTTTGCAATGACCTTCTGATGAAATTGCAAACGAAAAACTGATTTGGGGTCTCACTCATGTCCGGGTTGAGGTCCATTAATGTCAATGATGATTGAGAACATCAAATTATCTTCTTTAGTAGGTTTCTTCCTATTCCCCTGAATATATCATCTCTCTTCAAAGGACCCTTGTATTAGCATGTATGGTCCATGCATTACATTGATCCAGCTTGTCTTGAACCAGATTTTTTTTTTCTTTTTTCCCCTCTAATGAACCAACTGTTGGAAAATTGTAAATGTTCTTGTGGGGCATAATTGACACATTCCTAAGATGAAACCAAATGATGCCTAGCAGAAATAATACCTGCTGGTGTGATCCATTTATGGCCAGTGGTTAATGTGACTATTAAATTTTATATTTCATTGAATACTTTTAATTATTGAAATTCTTACAGTTGCTACTTCAAAATTTTCAGCCAAATGCTGCAATCCAAATATTAAAATTTAATTTCCAAATTTAGATTTAATTTAGCTGAACTGCTATTAAATTTCATCAAATATAGTACAAGATTTTCTTGATCTGGATTATACAGTATAACAGTGTTTCTCTCCCACATTTCGGATCTGATATTTTCATGAAATTGTTCAGGTGTATTCCAACATTTTAGGCAATTTTTTCCAACCAAATTTTGTAGACCATGAATTCCACCAGGTCTTGCAAATATATGCCAAAACTTAAACTACGGAAGCAAGAAGTGGATAACGAATTAATATTTTTAGGGAAAAAATATATGTTGTTGGTGTCATGGTTTTAATTGTGATGTTTTAGAGAGAAAAGGTCAACGTAATTTCGTTCCCTTCAGGAGGTCCTGGGACTTTCAAATTAAGAAATCTACGGAGAGAGAATAAAATTTAATTTTCTTGACATTTGTTGCATAATTTTCTGTTGAGGTTGAGGATAGTAGAAATACTTGGAAAATTGGGTTTTGAAACCCTCAAAAGCAGCTGTTCCAAGGAATCTGGGATGCCAATTAGTGGTGAGTATCTTTGAACTTGCCAAATTACCAAATACACCCCTCTTAGACATTGTTTAACAGCATTGCTCAGAGAAGCAAAAGGGTCTTCTGGGAACTTTACATTGAGACACCAAAACCTTTTAATTTAGGCTGTCCAAAATTTGAGATAGAAAAAGAAAGGAAATAACAGGCTTTACCCGTCAACTGCCACATTACATCCTTAATATAACTAACATGCCAAATATGGCTTTACTATTTTTTGCGAAATTTGTGTTAGTTTATATATATTTGTTTCAAATGTAAGAAGTTCTTCTGTGGTTATAAGGAGGGTCATTTTGTTGTTTCAACAATTTTGCCCTCCTTGAAATCCTTGTTTCAAAAGGAGAAAAAAAATGTCTCATAATCAAGCAGAGATGGATGAACAAGCTGCAAGAGAGAAGGCCCTTGAAGAATGGCTTCCAATCACTTCGTCGAGAACTGCCAAATGGTGGTACTCTGCATTCCATAATGTCACGGCCATGGTAGGAGCCGGCGTCCTCAGCCTTCCATATGCCATGTCAGAGCTTGGATGGTATGTTTTTCTTTTCTTTCTTTCTTCCGCAAATCAAATGTTTATATTCAGTCACAATGATGGTTGAGACTGCTAATGTTCTAGGTATTGATCAATATTGGTGTTCCTATCTTTTTATATTAATAATTAATTGCACCGGGTTGTGTTGGTTTCTTTTTAACAACAATGCTTTAAAATGTTTTTCACGTTTTCAATTATTAATTTACAATTCTTTTAGAAGGTTTCCAAGTGATGTTTCTTTCCAACAAAAAATTTGTTTTTAGATAGGTTTTTTTAGGATATGATTTGAAGTGAATGAAATGTTCGGAAATTTCATAACCTTTAAACCCTCAATATGTAGGGGTCCTGGGGTGACCATGCTAGTCCTGTCATGGATCGTCACCCTGTACACACTCTGGCAAATGGTTGAGATGCACGAAATGGTTCCTGGTAAGCGGTTCGATAGATACCATGAATTAGGTCAGCATGCGTTTGGCGAAAAGCTTGGGCTCTATATTGTTGTACCCCAACAGCTTATTGTGGAAGTTGGCACTTGCATAGTCTATATGGTCACTGGAGGGAAATCATTGAAGAAATTCCAAGAATCAGTTTGCCCCAACTGTACACCAATCAAAACCACTTACTTCATCATGATTTTTGCTTCTGCTAACTTTGTTCTCTCTCATCTGCCCAACTTTAACTCCATTTCTATCGTCTCCTTGGCTGCAGCTGTAATGTCCTTGAGGTAAGTGCTCCATTAAAAATGCTTTAAATTAACTTCCTCATGGCATCTTCAAAGGAATTTCATGTTATCAAACTGGTCAATGTAATGTCGTTTTTCTTTCCCTCTTTTGGGCGTTACTGTTGCTTGCAGTTACTCTACCATTGCTTGGGCAGCTTCGCTTAAAAAGGGAGTTCAAGACGATGTGAGCTACGCTCCAATATCTAAAACCACATCCGGAAACGTTTTTCACTTCTTCAGCGCCTTGGGTGATGTAGCATTTGCCTTTGCCGGTCACAATGTGGTATTGGAGATCCAAGCAACAATACCTTCGACCCCCGAAAAACCTTCCAAGAAACCTATGTGGAAAGGAGTGATAGTGGCATATATCATTGTTGCCCTATGCTATTTTCCAGTTGCACTAATTGGATACTATATATTTGGAAACAAACTTGAGGACAACATCCTTATATCACTAGAGAAACCCAATTGGCTTATTGCAACAGCTAACATGTTTGTTGTTATCCATGTCATTGGAGGCTATCAGGTACATTTTCAATTTTTTTTTCCTTTTCATCGTCATCATTATCATCCTTGCCTTAATCCCATACAAACAGGGTCAGCCAGCCACATAGATTATCGTTATCACATCATTCCATGTTAGTTTTGGTCGACCTATTTGTCTCTTACCCTCTGTGTAAATCACTCTCTCTCTTCATGGGTGCATCTACAGATCGATATTGAATATGCCCTACCATCTAAGTCTACTTGCTCTTATTTTCTCCCTAATAGGTGCCACGCCTATTCTCTCTCTAATCCTTCGATTATTAATCATATCTTTCCTAGTTACTCCTAACATCCATCTTAACATCCACATTTCCGTCACATGGATGCATAGTTCGTGTTTCGTTTTAAGTGCCCAACATTCCGCACCATGTAGCATAGCCAGTCTAATCATTGTCCAATACTTTCCCTTTTAATTTTTTTTTTTCTTTATATTTTACTAATTATCTGTCCATGCTAACAGTTTATTTATCCATGTTTCTTTCTTTACTTTTGCCAAAATTTGCAGATATTTGCAATGCCAGTGTTCGACATGATAGAAACTTGGCTGGTATTAAAAATGAAATTTAATCCCACTTCTACCCTTCGCTTCATTACTCGAACATCATATGTTGGTAAGTGGTTCTACAAAATTTCAATAATTCAATTAGTTTAACATCAAAAATTTGATTTTTTTCCATGACAAATCTTCTTCTTTTCCTTTCCTTCTTTCGGGTTTTTTTCATTACAAATCTTTTCACCTTGCTTGATTGTAGGAATAACAATGTTCATTGGTATGACATTCCCTTTCTTTGGTGGTCTACTTGGATTTTTTGGAGGATTTGCTTTGGCACCTACCTCATATTATGTAAGTGAAAATCCTATCTTCTCCTTCAGATTAACCGTTTTATTTGTTATTATCATTTATTTATTATTATTATTTTTTTTTCTTGTTGCAGCTCCCATGCATCATATGGCTCATCATCTACAAACCAAAAAAATTCGGTGCATCTTGGTGTGCAAATTGGGTAATGCTGAATTGATATGGAATCAACTATTTTATATTTTTCTTCAATTTCTTTTTAAGCATGGCAGCTAATCTAATTTTTATTTTGATTCATGTGATTTCAGTTCTGCATAATATTTGGTGTGTCCTTGATGATTTTAGCACCCATCGGTGGGCTAAGGCAGATCATTCTTCAATCGAAGACCTACAAATTCTACTCGTAAATACTTACCCTACTCGCTCATTATCAATGTGTTTAGGAGTTCAATTTCAATTTCAATTTCAATTTATGATAAAATGATGAAAATGAAGAAGAAGAAGAAGATGACGATGGAAGTTGATGTTGTTGAATATACCCTGGTTGAACCTGTTTCAGACATCAATGGATGGGAAATGTTATTGTTTATGGAGTCTGTAGATAATGTTTATTTTCAAAAAATGGAATGTAGCCATGGGGCCCAATATTTAAAAGGGATCTCTTGCAAAATTTCATTTTATATTAGTCTTGTCAGTGTCTATTTTGTTGCTATATTTGCCAATAATACCATGGTTTGTTGAGCCAAAAGTGTGATTTACTTTGTTGTGGTCGAAGTTGGTGGTTCCTAGGAGTTTGATTTTTTTCGGTGGTCTTGTATAACGGGTGGGCGTTTGCCTATTTACTCAAAAATTCAAGTTGTTGGGTAGTATTATATACTCTCTCATTTATACCCAATTATTTTTCCATCCGCCGGATCCGATGTGGGATAAATGTTCTTTATTAAATTCTTCCCCATCCGAACTCACACAACGCCCTCATTGCGATCGGATCACCCTGCCTACTCGAGGTGAAAAACTCGGACGCTCTTCGGGCCGGGTGCTTAGTGTGACAACGGATCAAGGATTAGGTCTGGCTCTGATACTAACTGTAACGGGTGACACATGCCCATTTACTCAAAAACTCAAGTTGTTGAGTAGTGTTGCATACCCACCTATTTATACCCAATTATTTTTCCATCCAGATTCGATGTGAAACAAATAATCCTTGTTACATCGAGTTATCACCTACGATTAATTAGAGCCATCAAAGTAATTTAGCATTCCTACGAGTCTCTTCTTGTGTTCGCTCTCCCTAAAACTTGTGATAATGTATAGAAAGTTTATGCCAGTGACCACACGTAGTGTGTCAGAAGCATTTGTTATATCCCAATCCATGGTTAATTTTCCTTTAATTCAATGAAGCGTATGTTTTTCACATCTTGGAGGTTGATAGTACCATTAAGGAAATTTTTCGATAATTGTTTGATTCATTGAAACGGGGAGATTGCATGTGCTCAATAGTGAATTATCAGGTGCTCCAATGCTCTTATTCAGAGTTTGCATCTTTAAGAAGACAATCAAGAAAGGGGTTGGTGTTTTGGAATTGAAATCTGATTTAAATTGCAATTTTAAAATTTTACTTGATTGACATGAAGTGTCCGATCTAGAGGCACCAGTTTATAATAATTGTTTTCAGAAAACTTAGTTAAAATAATAATAATAAAACCTATTTTCATATTTGTTTTTTATAGTGCTTGAAAATAATTTTTAATTTTTGGAATTCTTGAAAATTATATTCTAAGTGACAAACCAAGAAGTCTTTAATTATGTGAATATCAATCCAAACACCATAATTTAAAAATTAAAAAAAATAAAGAAAAAGAAAAAAGGAGAGAGTTCTACCTTTTATTCACAAAACGTAGGACGGAATGAAAAGAAAATTAGGGAAATTCGAAGCAAAAAAAAATTAAAAATGTTTAATTAATACTCATTTGGTCCTATTTTTGAAACAAAACAATTTAATTCCAATTCTGCCCTTTCTATACTCTTAATTAAACATAAACAAGACAAGAAAATTAGCACTCTCCCACTTTTACGTTAACTAGGTAGATGCACGTCATGCGTTAAATGTTATATTTGGAGTAAATGTGAATATTAAACACGTCTAAGTCAATTAATTTGATGGTGCACTAATTATATTATTATTTAATTTAATTATAATTCTTTTGATAATTTGTGAATTTATAGATAACTTTGAAATAAATCATATTATTTTTGTGAAAAAAAAGATAATCATATTATTTTAAATGATTTTACACCATAGTTGTGCTCTTTGTGGTTTAAAATTTTAATTCTATTAAATGAAATTATTTTTTCGTTTTTGGATAAAATAAAAAATTAATTTGAAATATTTAACGAAACTATTTGTTTATTAGTAGTATTTATTTAAAAATAATAATTTTGAAGAGTTTGTTTTTAATGAAAACTTCTTTTATATTTTTTGCTGAAATAAAATAACAGTAGAATAAAAAATTTAAAATTTATTATCTTATGGTTTAAAATTTAAACTCTATTAAACGATTTTGTTTTGGATAAAATAAAAATTGAAGAGTTTGTGTTCAATGAAAAGAAGAGTTCTATATATAGTTTGTGTGGAGGAGAGAGAGAAAAAAAAAAAAATGGCGCGTGGTGAAGTACAGATGGATGAAGAAGGTGGAAGACGGGAGAGGCTTGAAGAATGGCTTCCAATCACTTCGTCGAGAACCGCCAAATGGTGGTACTCCGCCTTTCATAATGTCACCGCCATGGTGGGTGCCGGTGTCCTCAGCCTTCCATATGCCATGTCAGAGCTTGGATGGTACTTTTTCTTTTCTTTTTTTTTTTTTTTTATTCAAATCAGATGTTTTATATTCAGTCATAATGATGCTTGAGATTGCTAATCTTCTGGGTATTGATCAATGTTAGTGCTCTTATTTTTTTTTTTAAATTAATAACTAATTACCCCAAATTGAAAGCAATGTAATCTAAGGATATTTTCTTCCTTTACACAGTAGAAAGTTAGGAGTTCAAGCTTCGTAGAGGCAAAGTGTACGTGTGATGTCTTGATTTATTTTTTTAAAACAATTTTTAATCATTAATTAACAATTCTTATAAGGGTTAAATGCTCAAAAAAAAAAATAATAAATAAATAAAATAAAAACTCCTATGAAAAAATGATAGGGATACAGAATTTCCGAATAGGTTAAGACTCTTTAAATTGAATGTATAAAACATTCTCTTTCGTACATTACATGATAATGTGTGACAAAATTCAAGGGTAAAACCTTAAGACTCTTTAAATTAAATGTATAAAATATTGTTTCTTACATTACATGATAATGTGTGACAAAATTCAAGGGTAAAACCTTAAGACTCTTTAAATTAAATGTATAAAATATTGTTTCTTACATTACATGATAATGTGTGACAAAATTCAAGGGAAAAAAATATTGGTTGAATAACGTGGAAAGAGAAGGTTGGGTTTCTGTACGGTTACACATGTATATACATATTATACTTTTATATACGGCCGTCCTCCATCTCCATGACTTTATTAGGGCCAATTTCGAAATCCTAATTTAATCCACTTTTACTTAGTTTAAGTTCAAGATATATTACTTCGATTTACATTATGCAGAGCTTAATTTTAAATTAGTAGGCACCAATTTGACTCTAAAACTTTATTGTGAATAATCTTTTCACAAATAGAGGTCGAACAAATTTTAAGGGAGAGAAAATGAATAAAATTTAAGTCTTGAAGAGAATTTGAAAGAGATAGGTAAATTTCTAAAGAGAGTGAATTTCAAATCGACCCAATTTTATATAGAGAAAATAAAGAAATTTTAGGGAAGAAAGAGAAAAAGTTAAGGGTGGGTCTTGGATTGAAGATAAGGTTGAATATCGAGGGTACATATAACTTTATATTTATTGAAGATAAGTTAGGGAAGAAAGAGAGAAGAAAGAGAGAAAGTTAAGAGTCTTGGATTGAAGATAAGGTTGAATATTGAAGGTATATATATCTTTATATATATTGAACAAATTTTCCTTTTTTGTGAATCGCGATGCCCATTCAAGAATTTTTGTTCAATTTCCTTATCACGACTCTTTAATGTGCCTATATAAATTCTTATAATTTGAAAATTTATAGCCAATTGTCCCCCAATATTAGTGTTCCTGTCTTTTTACGTTAATAATTAATTGTGTGGGATTCTTTTCAAAGTAGAAGCAAGTCTCCTAAAGGCAAAGTGAATTTGTGAGATATTTTTTTAACAACAATGTTTAAGAACAATTTTCAATTATAAATTAGCAATTCTTTTAAGGGTAAAGTGTTTAAAAATAATATTAAAAAATAAAAACAAAAACTCCCATACTATTTAGTATGTATATATAAATTCTTATAATTTAAAATTTTATAGCAAATTGTCCCTCAATATTATTGTTCCTGTCTTTTTATATTAATAATTAATTGCACCTGGTTGTGTTGGTTTCTTTTTAACAACTATGCTTTAAAACGTTTTTCACTTTTTTAATTATTAATTTTCAGTTCTTTTAAATGTAAGAAATCAGCTTCGTCAATGCCCTCACGCTGTCACGCAAGCTTATACAAGTTCTTATGTGTACAATTGATGGAAACAACCTAAACTCGGACTTTCAAAAACACTTAAAATTACTCATGTTATACTTGGGAGAATTAGTGCTTTGAATTTGAGATTGGAAAAAATTTAAAATTTAACACTTTTTTCAATCCCAAATCTAAGACACCGATACAATACCATCAAACATAACATCATAATTTTGTAAAGTATGTCAATGTGATAATATTAAGGATGGCAAAGTTTGACACGACTTGCTAACACAACTCGAATACGATACAAGTTAAACGGGTTTGACAAATTTCTATTTAAATTTTAAAATAAGTATCTAAACTTGTATCTTATAATTTATTCTTTTGAAATTTATATTTTTTTAGTATTTAATGTTTGATCGAGAGTATTATTAATAATTTAAATAATAAAATATTTAATTTTATTAAATAAGTTATTAAACGGATTAACTTGTTTAATAAACAGGTCAGGTTATGTTAAAGGTTCCTGGCACAATTATTAATGTTTAGTAGAATACCCTTAAATCGACACGACACGATTACGACCCATTAACACAAATTGCCACCTCTAGACAATATCATGGCCAAATCATGTTCAAAAAACAAACTTTCTCTAGCATTAAAAGTTTTCCAAGCGATGTTTCTTTTGGTTTTGGTTAGAAATTTTTAGGATATGATTGCATGTGAATGAAATGTCATGAAATTTCATAATCTTTAAACCTTCAATATGTAGGGGTCCTGGGGTTACCATGCTAGTCCTGTCATGGATCGTCACCCTCTACACATTATGGCAAATGGTCGAGATGCACGAAATGGTTCCCGGTAAGCGGTTCGATAGGTACCATGAATTAGGTCAACATGCTTTCGGCAAAAAGCTCGGGCTCTATATCATCGTTCCCCAACAGCTTACTGTGGAAGTTGGCACATGCATAGTCTATATGGTCACCGGAGGGAAATCATTGAAGAAATTCCAAGAATCAGTCTTCCCCAACAGTCCACCAATCAAGACCACTTACTTCATCATGATTTTCGCCTCCGTCAACTTTGTTCTCTCTCATCTCCCCAACTTTAACTCCATTTCTATCGTCTCCTTGGCAGCAGCTGTTATGTCCTTGTGGTACGTGTAAGAGAACGTAACAACTACGATATGTTGTTAATATTCCTTTCGTCCCATAATAAGGGTCATGTTAACGTTTCCCAAAACATGACGGTAGGAATATATAGATATTCTCTGATAAAATCACTGTTGCTTGCAGTTACTCTACCATAGCTTGGGGAGCTTCGATTAAAAAGGGAGTTCAAGAGGATGTGAGCTACGCTCCGATATCCAAAACCACTCCCGGAAACGTTTTTCACTTCTTCAGTGCCTTGGGTGATGTAGCGTTCGCCTTTGCCGGTCACAATGTGGTGCTGGAGATCCAAGCAACGATTCCTTCGACCCCGGAAAAACCTTCCAAGAAACCTATGTGGAAAGGAGTGATAGTGGCATACATTGTTGTTGCCCTATGCTATCTTCCCGTTGCAGTAGTTGGATACTACATATTTGGTAACAAAATTCAGGACAACATCCTCCTATCGCTCGAAAAACCAAATTGGCTCATTGCAACGGCTAACATGTTCGTTGTTGTCCACGTCATTGGAGGCTATCAGGTCCATTTTCGAATTTGTCTTTTGAAATTGCACTAATTTTCTGTCCATGTTTAACAGTTTATTTTGCCAAAATTTGCAGATATATGCAATGCCAGTGTTTGACATGTTAGAATCTTGGCTGGTATTAAAGATGAAATTTAATCCCAGTTCTACCCTTCGTTTCATAACTCGAACAACATATGTTGGTGAGTGGTTCTACAAAATTTCAACTGGTTTAACATCAAACTATAGCTTATTTCCATGACAAATCTTTTTTTCTTTTCTTTTTTCGTGTTTTTTTCCTGACAAATCTTTTCACCTTGCTTGGTTGTAGGAATAACAATGTTCATTGGTATGACACTCCCTTTCTTTGGTGGTTTGCTTGGATTTTTTGGCGGATTTGCTTTGGCGCCTACCTCATATTATGTAAGTGAAAATTCCGTCTTCTATTACATATAAGAATAACGATAAGTAATTTGAAAATCGGATGTATCTCACTAATTTATGTTAATAGAGAATGATATGTCATCATTTTCACATAATAAATTTACTGACTTTTTATCATTACTCTTCGTACAATTATAAACTCTGACCAATTTGGAATAATTAATTTTCGTTATATTTGCAGATCCCCTGCATCATATGGCTCATCATCTACAAACCCAAAAGATACGGTTTATCTTGGTGTGCAAATTGGGTATGTGATGATTTGATATGGAATCAAAAGTATTTTATTTGTTTCTTTAATTTCTTTTAAAGCATGGCTAATATGTTTTTATTTTGATTCTTGTATCTCAGTTCTGCATAATCTTTGGTGTTTGCTTGATGATTTTAGCACCCATCGGTGCACTGAGGCAGATCATTCTTCAAGCGAAGACCTACACATTCTACTCGTAAATACTTACTCTACTCACTGGTTTCCAATGTTCGATTTCAATTTATGACAATTGATGAAAATGAAGAAGATGATGATGAAAGATGATGTTAATTGTAACCCTAGTTGAACTTCTTTTGATTTATCTATAGGTAGAAAGAGAAGGAGAAGAAATTAATAACAGTTTAGTTTGTTAAGTACTTTTTTGTCCCATAAAAAAATGTCATGTTTAAAAAACCGTAACACTTTTTATGAGTCACAGTTCTCCAAACAAGACACTTTTTATGAGACGGAAGGAATAAGAGAGAAGAGAAGTTTTAACTTAATTTTATCATTAAAATCATCACTTACTTTATTTGTGCGATTTATTTATGAAGCACGATTTATCTAATATTTATCTAATATTTCAATAGATTTGAAGTCTTATTGTTTATGCACTCAATGGATAAAGTTTATTCTCAAAAAATGGAATGTAGTTTTTTAATGTCAGTGTTAGTGTTGCTATATTTGTCAATAATACCATTGTTTGTTGATTTATATGTCCTGTGTGTTTATGTTGCGGGCTTACTTGATTCATGGTTTATGTTTCATCTTTCGTTTCCTTTTCGTTTGTTTTGATAAATATACCATCAATTTCAATTCCTTCTTTTTCTCTTGATTCTTTTCCGATCAAAATGTATGAATTCATGAATCTATGTGTCTATATAGATCATGTTCATGAATTAACAAAAATGTGCAAAAGTTCTATTTGTCTATGCCATTCTATAAGTCTCTTTCTTTTTTGCGTATGGCATCGCCACTCCCTTTGGCATCATCCACTAATTCAGAATATTATTTGAAAGCCATATTTTGACTAAAACGTTTTTAGGAAGCCGCTAATAACTTACAAGGTTACAAATAGCTAGTGCTTTTCCTTGTGTGGATCATCTTGTGTTTATGTTGTCTCCATCATTACTTTTGTTAGTATAATATAATTTTAGAATCAAAATGTCTCCATGTAAAGTTCACATAAATCTTTTATAGTACTAATGTTATTAGAACATTTTCAAGTGTAATTGTCGATGGACTCTATTTTAGATGGTATAAGTTCTTCTCTTTCTTTCTTAATCTTTAGAGAGGATAAGTGTTCGAGCCCCGATGGAATAAAAAATATATAGTGAGTGCGTGTATTTGTTTGAGCTTTCGGAATATATATATAGTGGTAAATAACAATTATATCACCTACCGTTAATTAGAACCATCAAAGTTAGTTCAGCATTCCTATCAATCTATGGTGTTATTTTATTAATGAGAACTTGTGATAATGTATTAAAATTTTATTGTTTTCAATAATTGGGGTGTTTGGGATTTTGCCTTGACTAATTTACGACACTTAATACGGATCGGGTAAAGTTCGAACTATGTTCGCGGTTTTACCCCTAAGAAATTGTTTGCCCTAAGAAAAAATGGAACCTGAGAGTTGAAACATAATGCTTCATAGGGCAGTAGGGCCCAAATCTTTTCTAAAATGTAGGATATCAAAAATAGTTATTATTTCACCACCATAGTTGATGTTGTTTTAATTTAATTAAGCTATTAGGACTTGTTTGATTCATTTTGCTGAGAATGGTTTTTCTTCCCACGATAGATGAAAATTAGCAAACAATTCAAACAATATTTTTATAATGTCATGATTTCATAAAACAGTCTTTAAATTTATTTATATATGAAAACAATTCAATTTTTTTTTAACTAAAATTGTGAATCTAAATGTAGTCATTAATATGTTTTAAATTTTATACTAAATCATGATATATATATATATATATATATATATATATTATTAAAATAAATTTTGAACTTTTCATTACAAGTATACTATGATAATATGGTTACATTTTCATGTTCAAAACTTATTAAAAATTTATTTTAAAGTATTTGAGAATGATATAATAAGTGCTAAAAATAAAAATATATATTTTAAAATCATAAATATGTTTAAGAATTATTAGACGCGTATTTGCAAGTATTTGAGAATTATCGATACGAACACGATACATATTCGTCACCTTTGGGTGCACAGGCTAGCATCTAGTCAATTTTTTTTTTTGGTGGAGGACCAATCATTTTTCATAAACAAATAATTAGAGATCCACTTAAAAGATGATATCAGTGGATCAGTAATAGTTTGGAATTAATTGGATTAGGCAGACCCCTCGTTTTTGAGGCTGAACTTTGTTTGAGATATGAGGATCTCTCGACTTGGATCACATGTTTGTTGTTTCGCAGTTAAAGCTTTGTTGCAAAAAAGAAGAATAAAACTTTTCCAATAGAATTTCTAGCATGTTAAAAAAATAAATAAATAAATAAAAAATAAAAATCGAATATCTAGCAACTTCACATCTCTAATGTCACATAGAGTTGTGCTAAGAAAATTGAGACAGTCGTAATTGTACAAGTTCAGCATTTAGATAACGTTACAATTATATTTAACATTTTTTATATCAGAAAATGGATAAATTACATGCTACTTTTACACATGTCAGCGCTTTCTTGGGTCAAGAAACATGCAAGTAGGGATCCATGGCAATAGGGCGGATATAAAATGGGTTTACCTATATTCATATTGGCCCTGTTTAATTATGAACAAACCTATACCCATACCGTAGCCACGAGGCCCAAGACAAGTTTAAATTTCACAATCCATACCCGTTTGTTAAGAGATGAATATACATGTGCTCATCCCGTTTACATTTTTTTTTTTTTGTTATCATTATAAATAACTTGATAAAATTTATAAATTCTACACCATGTGAATACATAGTAAATAACGTGCATACAATAACATACATACATCTATAACACATATATACATCTATCTATATATATATATATATATATATATATTAATAATAAAGTATAAAAGGCCGTCGGATTTTTAAAAAAAACACGTATCCGTCTGTAGCCCCCAATGAATTTAAAACTTAAATTCATACCTGCCTATCCAGTCCCCGTACATAAACAATTCCATACCCGTGCCATTAGGAGCGGACTCGTAGAACTATTATCAAATGTAAGTCGATATACATTGATTGTCATTACAAGAATGTCACGTCCCCAACATAATAAATCATGATATAAAAATTGACGAAAATTATTTATTTATAGCCAAGAAACTCTTCACATTTAATCCAATATGAAACTTCTCTAAACATATCATACAAAAGGTTATTTGTTTATAGCCAACAAACATTGTAAGAGTGATCACATCTAATCCAACATGAAACTTCTCTAAACATATCATATATGCACCCTCTCCAATGCCTCCATAGATGATCTACTATCTGCCAGTGGAGTGGACTGAATGAATCGACTTCCATTAATTCATTCAAATGTCCGTTTTGTCCTTAGGCGTGACAGCTAATCACCTCCAATCTGGGGATTGGATCTTCTCTCTATTCTCCTTTGGCCACGGTTAATGGGTACAGTGTGAAGACAGAATGTGCACCTCGCCTTATAGACCCTAATGATATTGGCAAGAGAGAGCACCGCATCACTCGTACGAAAGCTAGAGAGGTGTGAGGGTGCCTGAAGTTGGCTATAAGGCACCAACCGCCAAATACTGCGCACACATTTATGAAGGATGTCAAGTTATAGAATATATACGAGTGTGCCTTCAAACAAGAGCTTCAATTACGGGAACGTATAATGAAAGCAGAAAGAGAGAACTTCCTTAACGTACTTGGAAAATAACTGTTTTAATAGCTTAACCTTTCGAAAAATAAAAAAATAAATAACTGTATTAGTCATTTAAAGAATTGGCAGAGTTTCATAAATAATTTTTAAAATTTCGAGCTCATCTAACTTAAAAATATGGACAAGTATATATATTTTGCCTTATTAATCAACATGGAAACACAAAATTCTCTTTCAGATAAAAAAGCAACAAAAACAAAAACGGGTGGTACACAAAAGCAACCCAACAGTAGACATCTCAAAATTCGAAATTTAATTTATTTTCACAATCCTCGCAAAAATAAGATATTAGACAATTAAAAAGACATAGTAAATAAATAAAATTCATTTGAGACTACTGATTTATGCATGCGACCAAAGTAGTATGATGGATGTGATAAAATTAATAATAAAAAAAAAATAGAAAATTTAATCTCAGTTGTCATACACTACCAAAATAGATGAATTGATCACTTGTGTCTTCGAATTTCCAAGAATGCTTCGATGGCGATTCAACTATGGTATGTCTCGCTCGATCTTCCATCATTAATTCTAGAGGTAATATGAGAGAGGGGTTTCTTTTTCTATCTAATACAGTAGGGATGTAGTAGCATGGTCTCAGAAAGCTTTTTTTAATGACTCAACAAAAGTCGCAAAGGTACACACATGTCAAACACCTGTTGTGCATGGCGAACAGTTGTCACAACACTTGGTTGCATGCCAAACATATCTCACGCCGCTCATACTACTTTTTAATGACACAACTATCACAACGCTCGTAATGTGACTCGTTGCATGCCCAACACATTTCACGACACAGCTGTCACAGCGCTCGTAATGTCGCGATTGTATGCCAAACAAATACACAATTGTCTCGTAATGTCGCTGTATGCCAAACACATCTCACGACACAGCTGTTGGAATATCGCTGGTTGCATGCCAAACACATTTCACGACGCTTATTAATAAAATTTTTTATTAAACACACGGTTATGTATAAAAAATTAAATAGGTTCGGTGTATCATGTAACAGACAGAATAATTTATTTTCTCGTATAATACAAACATGAAAAAGACAAATCAATTATGTCACATAAATTGCTAAAAGCATTTTGTCACCCTTTATATCTTGATATTTCATGAAACACTTTGCTATGATTACCATATATACTCAGGAGATATATATAGTACCCAATCATCAAACAAAAAGAAATCTTCAATACTAATAAATTTAATTAGGTGAAATTCAAGTCTAAAATATTCTACTAGATTTTGTAATATGTTCTCCATATTTCTACAATTCTTGATATCAAATAAATTATTGTATATGCTAAAATATATACACATGGTGTACAAATACTATTCGCATCAATCAATCATGTGCTTCAATATACTAGAGAATTGGTAAAGTCATGTAACTGTCAACACATGAAACGTATGCTTAAAAGTTAATACAGTTTCATGTATCACAACTATCTCTTGGCCACGTCCATACTTAGAAAACAAACTAGTTTGAAGTGTCAAAAAATACCGGAGAAAATTACAAAATATGTCAGAGTGTAGATGATAGAATGAAAGGTGATGAAAACAAAGAGAGAGGTGTAAAACAGAAATATGATTCTAAAATCTCAAAACTATCTAGTTTTTTTTATAGAGTTATATAGTCTGGAATATTAAATATGCAGATTAAGTTAATGGCAATAAAAGCGTGTGATCGTGTGAGCTAAATTAAAGCCAACGAAAAGCAGATTTTATTATGTACGGGTCATGTGGGCTAGATTAAACTTTAATTAAACCTGATTTACATATGCCCAGAATAGAAGCCTGCACCTCAGATAATTGCCTGGAAAATTTTAAAATTGCCGAAATTGCGAGCTCTTGCAATATTGTTGGGTTAGAATGTACCAAGAATTTTAAAACAGTCGTATATCCTCAATTTTTAAGTTGTGTTTTTTTGGTGGACAAAGTAAATAAATAAGAGTTATGGACATGAGATGCGGGTAGGGCGATATGGAAAATTTTAAGAAATTAAAATATAGTACGGGATAAGGTAATAATATATATATATATATATAATTTATTTTTTATATATATAAAAAAAAAATTGATCTTTTTTATATATATATAATTGTGAATTTAAATGTAGTCATTAAATTATTACTTATCAAAACAAAAAAAAAAAGAATTTAAATGTAGTCATTAATATGTTCTAAACTTTTGTACTAAATTGTGATATATATATATATATATATATATATATATATATATATATATATATATATTTCAATACTTCTTTTTAAAATAAAATTTGAACTTTTCATAACCATTATACCATGACAATATGTTAGGAAAAGTTATATCTTAATGTTTAAAATTTATTCCAATGTATTTGAGAATTATGGAATATGTGCTAAAAATAAATATATATATATATATATTTTAAAATTATAAATATGTTTAAGAATTATCAGACGCAACCTGCAAGTATTGAGGAGTATCAATATTCGGTACAAACAAGAAAATGTTCGTCATTCTTGTAAAAATATATATGCTTATATAACATCAGAAAGTTAAATATGTCAGATGTATCATTTTCTAATAAATATATTTAAAAAAAAAAAAAAGAAAAAAAGAAAGAATAATAATGATATAGTTTCAGAAAGCAAAAGTGCTCAGGCTGCATCTAGTCATTCGTTTTCGAAGGACCAATCATTTTTCATAAACAAATAAATTGATTTAGAATCTAACAATTTGATAGTACTATCCTAACCCCCTTTTTTTCCGAGTAAATGAAATCATCCAAGGTCTTCTGCAAAGTTTGCATTTTGGCATATTACATTATTGGTATTTTCATCCAATGACATTTTCACATTTGTAAAAATACAAGTTGACATGTTACATTTTTATTACATATCAAAGATGTGATATACCCGGGGCTTTTAATATCTTCATTGAGTTGGAATTTTGAATTTGAAATTAGATTATAATTCCAAATATGTTGTATGATTTAACAATATCAAGACAATTAAAATTGATTTTGATAACCATGCATCACAATTTCACTAATACTTGATTCTCTTATAAATAAGTTAAGGAAACTAATCTCATTTCACTTTTTTTTTTTAAAAAAAAAAAGTGAACTGATTAACAAGAGAAATCCAAATATCATCTCTCAAAAAAGAAAAAGAAAAAGAAAAAAAAAGACTCAACTTTTTCACCACAAAAAAAAAAGAAAAAAAAAAACGAAGAATTATATCATCAATCAAAACATTACAATTAAAAGAAAAGGAAAAGAAATTCAGAAGGAGGGAAAGGTTATTATCCCTTTTATTGAAAAATAGTAGGATAGAATGAAAAGAAACTTGGGAAATTCCGAGCAAAATAATAAATTTTATTATTACTCATCCTTCTTCTTTTTTTCAAACAAAAGAATTTACTTTATTTTGTTTTCTCTATTAAATAACTTTATCAATTATTTTCCTTTTCATTTTTTTTTTTTTTTCCCCTACTTCCTTTCCTTCTTATTTGTTGAAACAAAACCCAGTATTATAGAGCAACATATTCTATGATGGTCCAATTAACAACCCTATTCTATAATGGCCCAATTAACAAAGGCCCACATAAACCTCCCAAGGGGGACCAAGAGGAAGAGGGTATAATGGGACTATAACATAAAGATACACAAATAAGTGTCACCCGAAGCTCAATTTTCCCGCCATTTATTCATTCCCATTCTCTGCGAGTCTCATCGAAACCCTAGATCGCCATGGAAGGGGAAATCAAAGCAGCGTTCAAGAAGATCGGGTTCACTCTCGACGACGAAGAAGAAATTCTGAAGAAATGTGAAATTCTCTCCCCTTTTCTCTTTCAATAGCAGTCTGAATTTGCCCCAACTGATTCAATTCTGGTCTTTGTCTTTTAATTCTTTAGGTCTCACTTTCTGTATACAGTACAAACTCAGTCCTTCAGACCTTGTTTCGAGCTGGGATGCTTACTCTTTCAACAGGTAGAATCACTTCATCTACATCTGTTCTTTGATCGATAGTGAAATGTTTAATTTTTTACGTTTTCTATCATCTGTTTGGTTACCAAGTAAAACCGAGGAAAAGAAAAGGAAATTGAAGGCCTTAGCATTTTTTTTCTTTGACTTCTGGGAAGAGGAAAAGCCCAATTTGCTTGGCCAAATGCTATTATGAGATTTAGTTGAATTGATTAATGTTGTGTGTGTGTGTGTGTGTGTGTGTGTGAAATCCATAGTGTCAGTTTCATTTTTCCTTTTATTTTTCTCGACTCAACTTCCTCTGCAGCCAAACAGGGCAGGGAATTATTTTACCCGTGAGGAAAGAATAAAAAAAACACATTTTGACAGTAATTGAGGTGTTCTTTTGTTACAGGCAGCTAGAACTACTGGTGCAAGATGCTCATATGGATGCGTTCCTGTTGCAACTACAAAACGAGCAGAAAGAAGCAATTATTAAAAAAGAGCCCGGTTTGCATTTGTACTCTAACGATGTCGCCATGTGAGCACCATTTAAAATTTGTTCAGTTCTTACTTGTTTGTTTATATTTGTTGCTTAATTTGTTTCATGGGGTGCATGGATGAGAGCACCGCACTGATGTAGAAAGGTGGGATTGAATCCATGAATAATGTGGTTTTTGGACCAAGATCTTGACTCAATGAAATGAATTGCTGTGTCATGATTCAATATGTCAGACCTTTTTTACTCTGTTTGGTTTTTTAGGCAGTGATTTGTGAAATTTAGAATATCTCCAACTGTCAATAGACTGTCACACCCCACCCCCTCCCATATGTGATTTTACCCAGGTAGTTATACTGCTCGGGTAATCATGGAAGTATGAACTTAAAAAATTACATTGTAACAAATGGAGTTTATAATGTCGTTGAGTTGGTTGAACCAAGCTCCACATTTCCCCTAAAACAAGTGTAGGTGGAGGAATTTGTAACAGTAATTTCTCATTTTTTTCGCGTGGATCAATGATGGAAAAACTTTTTATGTAGGATATTGAGTGATGAACATGAAGATACAAAAGAAGGTATTATTGGAACTCCAACAGACAAATTTAAAATGCTACATGAAGAGCCATTTGATTCAACACACAAAACAAATGGGAACACCTTTCCTTCTGGGAAACCTCTAGAATCAGTGACACCTTTTGGGCAACGAAAGAACAAGTTTGTGGTGCAGTCTACTCTCAATGGCCTACCCAGTATAGATGACACAAAAAAATATCATGATCATGAGAACTCCGAGGATGACATCATAAAAAGGGTGCAACCCAGCACAAGGTGTTCCTTGGTAATCAACGGTTCCAAGCCTGAACCAGGTTGCAGGTTTATGTATGATAGAATTGAAGACAAGGTATTTGATGTTTCTAGTAGCATGAAGTAGATACAGTTTCCTTGGTTTGTAAAACACTAAGTTTTTTTCTTTTCTTTATTTCTTGATTAAGCTCAATTTCCTTGAAAATCGCATCAGAAAGCATGCAACTGCACTTGTTGCTTCTGGGCTTTATGAGGAACCAATCGACCCTACTGTTGCTTCACAGGTAATATACATGTGCCATTAGTATCCCCTCCCCCTCCTCTTTCTCCAACACATTCAGATACTTGCAAGACTATTTAGTTGGAAAATTTTACACTTGCGGATAAAATCTTTCAAAAATTTACAGTTAAATGGAACTCGAGGTGAATATATGGGACCTTATAAAAGGTTAAACCTTCCCCGTTAATTATATCCACTTTGTCTACCTAAACTAAAATAACCTTTTTCTTTCTCTCCATTTTTTTTCCCTAAGTTCTCTCCTTCAATATCTGCTCTCTACTCTACAGTGAACTAAAGACCATTACCCTCAGCTTACTTGATAGCAATGCCAATTTTTCCACGACCTTATGTTTATCTATAAATCCGTATTCTCACGCCAAACATCTGAGTGTTTCCCCATTACAACAAGCAGTTAATCTTTGATTCTTCTGTATTGGAGGCATTGGATGTCAATTACTCATTTTTTATTTCCATAAATATATCAATTACTCCTTTTACCCCTTTCCATGAAGCAAACTTCTAACGGATCTCTTCGCAGTCTTCACAACTTCCTGTCTGCTCCTTTTCTATTAAGAATTTCAATGTAAGTTTAAGTTACATATCCATGCATCTGATGGAATTGTTGCTCCAGAAAAGTGTATTTGCTGTTGGCATGATTTGTTGTGATGAGGAAGGTCGTCTGAAGGAGAAGCCTATATTGCTACAAAGCAGGTAAATGTTCCTCTTTTTTTCCCCTTCATATAAATCATATGCATTAAATGTGGCTTCAGTCTTCTTCTAAGTTTCTTGACAGTGTTGAGCATTCTGGAGGGCAACGCGTGCGTCTTGACTTACAAAAATTGAACGAATTTTCCGTTTTTCCTGGCCAGGTAACAAAATATAGGGAAAATGGATAGAGAAAAAAAAAAAAAAATGTCATCTCTTGACCACCATTGTCTTTTCAGGATTATAAAGTAACATCTGATGTTTGCATGTCTACAGGTGGTAGGTATTGAAGGGCACAATCCTAGTGGACATTGTCTGATTGCATCAAAAATTATTGATTGTATTCCTTTGTCAGTTTCTGCTGATGAGAATTCTCATCCTGCAAAGAAACAAGCTGTAGATCAAGAATTTCAGTTAACTGATTCTCATATGCTGGGAGAGCTATCATTGGTGCGTAAGCTTGTACTCTACCTAAATCTTTTAAATTCTACTTTGTTCAAATGACTAAAATCCTTGACACCAAGTGTGATTGCTTGCATTTGTTACTGGTTTCTACAATTTATATGCATTTTATTTTTCTTGAAGGATATTGATCTCTTAAATAATCCCCAAAATTATGTGTTTGTGTGTCTACCTAGCATAATTTTAATGCATAAGAAATGTGAGTTGTGGAGGATCTGTGAGTATCCAGTAAGTGATTGAATAAGGGCATGGAATGCTTGAAGGCCCTAAAAGGGGATGGGAAGCTTCAACAAAACAGCCCAGGAGTCATCATTAATTAATAAATCACAAACTTATAGCTGATTGGGGAATGTTTTAACCACTGGATAGCGAGTATGGTATTGCCACAGACACTATGCATAAGGCTAATTTTCTAAATTTCATAATATGAAAATGGAACCTTTCGCTTATATTTCCAATGTGCAGCCAAATTTGTCTGAGTAGAAGATGCACGATCTAATAGCATTATCTTTTATTTGAAATCATAGCTGTTGTTGGAATACTGTGTTTGATGTAGGTCCTGTTCAAAAATCTTCCATGTCCTTTGTTCACATAGGTGCATTTTCTCATATTATTGCAATCTTAAACAGATTGTTGCAGCAGGTCCTTTTACCACTACTGACAACTTATTCTTTGAGCCCCTAACTGAACTACTAGCATATGCACGCAGAAAGCAGCCCCAATTGCTTATTTTGGTGAGATCTCCACGTTGCTTATATCAGTAATCTCTTAATATTATTATAGTTTTTGATAAATGACTGGAAAGATTGCATTTTAAACCACTGAAGCTTTTGGCAGCTGGGACCTTTTATTGATTCTGAACATCCAGAGATTAGAAGGGGTACTGTAAACAGGACCTTTGATGAAATATTTCATGTCGAAATTCTTGGAAGGGTATTTCCTTTAAATATTGTTTACCTGTTGAAGTCAATCTTTTCCCCTATTTTGCTTAATCCATAATTTTTATAAATTCTTTTTCCAGCTTCAAGATTATGTTGAATATATGGGTTCTACTGCACGTGTGATTCTTGTACCATCTATACGGGATGCTAGCCACGACTTTGTTTTCCCTCAGGTGATTTTATCACTAAATTAAATAAACATGGTACCTCCATTAACTCATTCTGATGACACTATATTAGTATAATAGATAATTATTTGGTATTGAGATTTAATATTTTGTAAAGGACAAAAATAAAAAATAAAAAAAAATTGACCTGTTTGTTTCTGCAGCCTGCTTTTGACATTCATCCACCTGATATTAAGCATCAGGTACATGTAACTGTGAAAGATTTGAGGAAGCCCTTTTAACTTTTCATTAGTTCCCGATTAAATTTTTTTTTACGGTTAAGTCACAATTTTAATAAATTCATATGCTTTTACACAGATAACCAGCCTCACTAATCCAGGGACTTTCAGTGCAAATGAGGTGAACACTGGTGACTTTTAAAATCAAATTATTGGTATCATACTTATTATACCTGTGTTTCATATTTGTATTCTTATGACTCCTTCAAGATGCACTCTTGATATTAGAATTTTTATCTGCATTCTAGAATCTCTTGCTTTGCAAAAGCCTGAAATTGTACGTTTGGGACCTTTACTCGTCTATACCTGTTCGAGTTCGGTGCAGTAAATGTGAGTTGAATTCAACTTGGAGGAATGGTTTGGAATAAAAAGGAATCAAATTAAGGCCGCCGTTAGAATTGAACTTAGTTGGAGTTGGCTGTTGTTTACAGTAGTTAAATACACAGCAGTACTTTCTTGACATTGCCCATACCTAATTCATCAACCTTCTCATCATATTTGCCATTATTTATCATATTATTACCAATCCTATGCACTTCACGTAAGCCTGGCATTGTGGTAATTTTTGCCTTTGCATGCATACATTATGCCATGGATTACTTGTTGGTATACTAACCTGATAGTCCCTTGTGAGTGGTCTTTGGCTATTATCAGTAAAGAAATCACATGCAGAAGAATGGCTTGAATGAATGTCAGTCTTAGTGATCGTCTCTCTGCATGTTGATGGATCCACATGTGGCCTTGGCTGTGGTGGAGTAAAGTCAATTGCGATGAGTTTACTCGAGGTTTTGACGATAACACCAGTGAGACTAACAATGCAAATATTGGGCGAAATATTGTGCAGGGTTGGTCTTTTATGCAATCAAGAGAGTTGTTTCTTTATTCATCGGGAAAAAAAGAAAGAAAGAAAGTTTTTTCTTTAGATATAAAACTATATAGTGATTTCACTGATTTGGCATGGTTTTTGGCCTATACTTGAGAGAATATGTTGGATTTTGTTATTTCTGACCTAGATAGTAATTATTACAGCATTTCTTGTAGTTATGCAATATTTATTGGTAAAATGCATGGATTCTATATTGTAAATGACTTGTGTGTGTGTGTGTGAGAGAGAGAGGAAGAGAGAGAGAGAGAGAGAGAGAAGGAGAGGAATGTCTTCATTCACAATTTTGGATTTCAGGTCAAGATAGGTTGCAGCACAGTGGATTTTCTCAAACAACTTAGTGGAGAGGAGATCTCGCGAAATCCACCGGGGGGATCCAAGCACCGTTTGAGTAGACTTGCAAACCATATTCTCAGCCAACGCAGGTGTGTTGTAACCATTCTCTGTGATTTTTTTTTTTACCCGGTTGGTAATTCTTGTAGAAATATTTATGATTAATAAAAAAAAAAAATAAGGATCAGAGAAGCAATTTATTTTTAATATGCATTCCTTTTCAATTTTTTCCATAACAGCTTTTATCCTATATATCCACCAATCGAAGGCACTCCAGTAGATTTTTCACTTGCTCCAGAAGCTCTTCAGATATCTTCTATTCCAGATATCCTCATCCTACCTTCGGATTTAGCTCATTTTGTGAGGGTAAAGTATTGCACATCTTCTAGGCTTCAGTTTCAGTACTAGAGAAACTTCAACAGACGATATGCAGTATAGTTGCATGTACTACACTGATTGAGGGATTTTAACTTCACATACTCGTGTCATTTCCCGCATGCAGGTGCTGTCACTTGGGGAAAGTAGCGAAGGAGAAGAGCAAGTGAAGTGCATTTGTGTGAATCCGGGAAGACTGGCCAGGGGCGAAGGAGGGGGTTTCTTTGTGGAGCTCGACTACCATGGGAGTCTCGACTCAACAAGTGCTTCAGTCATCAGCATATAGAACAGAACCTGGAACAATATGAATGAACCAAACTCTTCTTGTGTCTGAGATATGAAGGCATCAACTGTTTAATGGGAATCAGTTATACAGGCTACAAGAGATCATATCTATTTGTCTGAAAGCAAACTTCGAAACAAGGACAGAGGGCATTAACGTGCTAATGGAGCAACGAAGCAATAAGGAACATTTAAGGGCCTTGGGACCCACTCTCTTCTTGTTAGTTTCAGCATCGTGTGTTAGTCCAATGTATAATTAGAATTATGCGTAAATTCTTATTAAATTATATTTACATTATGAAATCAGAATCGAACTGTGTCTACTTCTGGGATCTTGAAACCCATCCTTAATCTCTCCCCTACTTCCAAATGCTGAAACTACATTACCATGCCACAAGATCAGTGTAGTTTGCCTGTCTGTGTTCATAAGGCACTTGCGTAAATATTAGGGCAAAATTTTTTCACCACAGGGTAAATGAAAAATGAGTGTATGAATGCTGCAAATATGACAGAAATGTGTCACTTTAGAAACTATTTAATGTTTGCCAAAAGGAGCTTTGAAAAAGACTGCTACACAACCATGGTCTGGTTTCATTAAACATGACTATAATACTATCAAAACTTTCTGGACTGTTACTTTTATTTCATAGCTATATCTTAAGCTAGAAAAGTGTCTACTTCAGCTTCCACCGATTTAGTAATACCCAGTTGAATTGTGATTTCGCTGCCTCTCATCGAACAAGGAAATGTAGTTTGGCAGAAAAACCAAGTAGAATGGGTTGCTGATCTCTTTACATCACCATTCCTCCATCAATGGTGAGCACCTGCATAAGCAGCCACTGTGATCAAAACGAGCACTGGTACACGAAAAAAGGAAGGAAAAACAAAGGGAAGGCCATCACACAATCTTTGCTTTGTCAAAGGAAGCAGTAAACTCCATATGTTGCAGCAATCTGTTGGTTAAAACAAAGAGTACAGGCCCTCCTTGTATGCTGGAACTTTTGACCGATAAAAACCAGCGACTTATGGAATTTAAAGCTCTATTGACAAAGCAAAGTCCATCACAGCACATCTTAAGGCGAGATGATATAAAATTGAGTAACCTGTCCAGTCATGTAATTGGATGCAGGGTTGAGGGCTAAGAATTCCACCAATCCAGCAACTTCTTCGGGTTGGCCGTACCTTCCTGCATTAAGAGTAACAAATATAAATCATCAACTTATCACAATTATGTAAACTGTTCCCCACCAAAAAGTAAAAATAATTACTATCTAAACCCTTTTTCTTCATACTGCTTTCAAAAATCAGATGCAGTTTAGCACTTAATTTTATGAATATAAGTAAACGAGAAGCAACAGTAAATCTAAAATCCATTACCTCCAATGACATCCCAAACTCAGTTTTGTATCAATGTAAAGCCTAACAAATAAATGCATAACTTTTTGAAGTACATGAAATAAATATTTCTAATGATTGCTAGGAGTTTGAAGTTTTAGGTCAATTGCAATGAAAAGCAAAGTTATGCATGTGTGTGTGTGTGTGTGTGTGTACAGCACAAGATACGGAAAGAGAAGAAAAGATGTCAAGTGAGAAAAGAAAGATTATATGAAAAGTGTTTATCACACTATTTGAGGGCAATGGAAGGGGAAGTCATCTATTATGATGATTTATCATGTGATTATGATGATTTGTCATGTGCAACAAAACCAATGATTACAACATTTAAAAGGGCATATTTGGATTGAAGGAGATGGAAGGAAAAGAAAAAAAGAAAGGGGGAAAAAATAAAAGGAAAGGTTATATATCATGTTTATTTTTAAAGTGAGGAAAAGAAAGAGATGTTAATCCCTCAAATAGTGAGCTCAGTTTTCCTCCCAAATGTAGGAGAGAGATTATGAAATGGATAAGGAGTTGGTGGTTGATGAGTTTGCCCAGTTTCTAATATCAAATGACTCCTTTTGCCCCCCATACTCGTGTAAAATAACATTCTTTTCTTTTCTTTTCTTTTTACTGTCTTTCCTAACCAAAATGAGGACATTACCACAATCCTTTCCTTTGTTTTCCTTTCCTGGTCATCCAAACAAGAGGGTGAGTTAACACTACCCTGTCCTTTTCTTCTCTCCATCTAATGCTATCCTACCCTTTCCTTCCTTTCTAGTTACCTAGAAGCACTGCACATAAAAGTGTTCTAATTCAAGTTGAAAGTATTACAAGGAAAAAGAGGAAGCAGAAAAGGATAAGAGGTAGCAAGAAAAAGGCACGAGGCCTGACATCTAACGGAGAATATATAGTGCTAATTGGCAAGGTTCAGTCAGTAGTGAAATACAGCTTTGCTCGAGAATGCTCTTTAATGTTTCCACATATCTATCTCACCTAATGGGATGGTCTCCAAGATTTTCTTCTCAATGTTATCCCCAAGCTTAGCAGTCATATCGGATGCAATGAAACCTGGGGCGACAGCATTAACCTGTCGGATGAACAGCGTTGATTAATATAAATTTTCAGTACCAATACAAGCTGAATAATGGCATACATCTAATAGCTAGAATAAAAGGAAAAAGTTTCTGGAAAACTCACATTAATATTTCTGCTTGCATATTCTTTTGCCACAGTTTTTGTCAGGCCAATTACTCCTGCTTTTGCAGCACTATAATTGGCCTGCCCAACATTACCAACAAGACCGACAACCGATGCTATATTGATTATCTTTCCCTGTGAAATCAGAATTTGACAGAGATGGGAAATTGGAAAGAAAATAGATATAAAATAATGCCCAAAATAATTACAAGAATCTTTCTCAAAGGTACTTAAAGATATTCTGTTTTTCTTTTGCATGTCTAAGCTTTTAACTGGAGGAAGGTTGGAGTTTGATGACATGGCTTTAGTAACAACTCTATGTTTTCCAATACTGACAAACTTAACAAGTTCCGTGCAGGAATGCTGCAGGAAAGAACAGGATATTTGCTATGTGCATGAGGCTGGTCAGCAAAATCGATTATTTCCCTACTTTATAGTGCAATAAACAATAAGTCTTTCTTTCAACCTTTCCTAGAAATACAATCAAAAGACAAGTTCAATACAAGATTTGAGACATCATTATTCAAACTCAATCCTTCACCAATTAATCCATTTTAAATCTTTAACACAAAAGGAAACCATAGATGGCTAATTCCATGAGTTAATAGTAAATTGAACTCGATTTTTCAATTATAATTCTGCAGTTATTTCTAAAAATGAATTTTTAAGTGAAAAGAAGAGAGGGGGAGAGAGGGAGAGTAATGGCAAATGGAAACACGGGCTGGTAGCGTACGTTGTTCTATCCTGGCCAGCTAATTGGCATAGCAAGTACAGTAAATATAGAAAACTAAAACTGAAAAGGGGAATACCTTTCTCTTTTTCATCATAATCTTAGCTGCTGCCTGCAAAGAGTGCAAAACCTCATATCCAGTTAAGAAAATCAAGCATCCATGTCGATGAATGGTCAGATTTTGAACATACACACCTGTGTACACAGGTATACACCCGTGAGATTCAGATCAATGACCTCCTGCCACTGAGTTGTCTTCATCCTCATAAACAAACCATCCCTAGTAATACCTGAAACAATCAGAAATCAGTTACCGGACTAAATTTTAAACTAAAATAGAACGGAAGTGAACTTTTGATAACCTGCATTGTTTATCAATACATCAACAGTTCCCCATGCATCAACCGCCTGTAGATGAAATAATCATGAAGCATACCAAAATCAGCAACATTTGTTAATCGAAAAGATCAGCAGAGGGAACATTTGCTCACAGTTTTAATCATTGATTCCACATCTGCTTCTTTCGAAACATCTCCCCCAAAAGTAAGAGCCTGTCCGCCACACGCCTCAATCTACAAGAAACATGTGAAGACAATCACCAACAATTTTCTATTCTACAGAATGACAAGCAACAGCATCATTGTTTATATGATAGGAAAAACAATGATAGACAACAGTATTAAAATGAATCGAGCACCCTATATAGGCAAGACCAACTTTGTGTAAAACATATCATGTGCATCGGATACATAACACTATTAACATGAATCTAGCAGAAGCTATAACAGATTTATAATTCATGAAAAATCAAAGAATTCATTTCTAGGATGACAGGAAAAACAGTAGTAAGTAGCATGAACACTTTACAGAAAATTAAAACCTGAAAAGGATGTTTGCATATCAACCCTCCCAAAGAACAAGAGGAAAAAATGACTGGACAATACACACACACACACACACATATATATATATATATATATTTGATAAATAAAAAAATGACTAGACAATATCATAGATATTTATACAGTTGAAATCGTTCACCTCTTTACAAACTTCTTCTGCTTCCTTTGATGACCTAGCATAATTAACCAGAACCTGTAACAGAAAGTCTACAAATCAACATTGGCAATAAAGAGACATAAATTAAAAACCATTCCGCTACTCATTAAGACATTCACTGAAACAATGAAAAGGAAGCAATTGCAGTACAAAAGCTTCATATCCACGAATCAAGTTTGCCAAAGTACCACAAGGGCGCTGCAGTCATTTCTTTCATGTGCCATGTAACAAACAAATTTCAAGAAAAACAGTCGAATCTTCAAGTTGAACCCCAAAACACGAAATTATTTCCATCAAAATACCACATTGTCCACTAATCATGAAAATTATAGTATTATCAGATGGAGACGTTAGGTTGCATTATATGACATTTGAATAAAAAAGAAAAAACAATAACTAGATTTTTTTTAAGAGTCCATGGAAACCATTTCCCTATCATGACCTTTGCAGCCATTTACCATTCCATTGCAAAGAGCCAAATTATTTACAACTAAGGACAATTTCTAACAACCAAGACACGTTCTTCTTTATCTGCATTGACCAAGCACTACAATCCAACATTATTGATAAATTACTAGTCTTAAGAATCACATTATGGGTTTTAAGATCGATGTTTCCTGCCTTTTCTTCTCTTGGGGGAAGGAAAAGGGGGATCTTGATCCCAAAACATGAAGAATGAATATGAAACAAACTCAGCACATCTGATTTCTTGTTCTAAATACTAGCCACCTTACAGATTGGTAGACAACCATTAGCAACTCTCAAATTCCCAAAATTCTTGTTCTGTTAGTTTTGCCTAAAAGCACCATATCATTTGCAAGGCAACCACAAACATTTATCTTTGCTAATTGCACAGGATATATTGCTGAAAGACAGTCTAATCAATGATGAACGCAACAAAAATAAGCCCTTCTACTATGACGCATTCATAACTTAAAACATGTATAGGTACATCGTAGATTTGTAGTATGGACCATCTGAGATGATTATTTCTGATGAGCGGTGAAAGAAATCCTCTGACCTTACACCCTGCTTTCCCCAAAGCCAATGCAATGGCTTTGCCAATTCCTCTAGAGGCGCCAGTCACAATAGCAACAGGAGCTTCCACATTTAGAGTTGAATCAACGCTTGCTTGTTCAATAGTGGCAACCTGTGCTTTTACACCTGCATATGTCATAATCATCAATATGATCACATAAGCATATTGTGTTGTTAGAGAGGGTGTAATTAAATGTTTAAAACCTCTACGACGTCAACCCAAGGAGTTGGCTCAAGTAGGTAAGTCACTTGGCCCTAGTGCCTCAGGAAGTATCAAGTCTAACGTTCAACACCAAACATAGTGTGTTTCAATTTTAATTATCAATGTGACTGTAAGGTTTGGACTCATGACTTTGCCTACGTCTTTAATGATCAAGGTGACGGTGAGGTTTGAACTCATGATACCATGTTAATCACTATATACTCTAAAAGCTTAAATCTGTTAGAGAGGAAGTAACTTAAATATTGGGCTCACGTCTGACCTTTTGGTCCATCGTGTGTTTCAATTGTAATTATCAATGTGACGGTGAGGTTTAAACTTTAAATTCGTGACTTTGCCTATTATGATACCATGTTGATTACTATATACACTAAACCCTCGAACTGATAGAGAGGACGTGACTTAAATATAGGGTAAAGTGCCAAAAAAAACAAACATGTGATGAAAAAATTCCACTGAAATACCTAAAATGCCCTCAAGGCAAATTTTAAAACAAAATAAAATAAAAAGTGAAAATTAACAATTAACCATTATTAAAGTGCAATTTGCACATATTTTCAAATGTCAGGGGATTTATATGCACATGCTAAATAGTAGAGGTATTTTTTTTTTTTTTTTCACGTTTTTATATAGAAGCATTTTTTGCACTGAAACCCTTAAATATTCAAATCCTTATCACAAAATTTAAATTCTAATTTTTAAAAAACTGTGTGGAAAGCACAAAGAACAGATTTAAATTCCATGGAATATCCAACTCAAATTGTTCATGCTTTCACATTTGTAAACATGCACATTCATATAAATATACATAAACACGTCACAAATTTAGATGCGATCATGTGAGCATCAAAAGCTTAAAAAAGGAAACAAAAGTTATACCGGAGGAAGCAAACGATCTCCTCGATCTGCAATCCAAGTTGATGCGATTTGGGAGCTTAATCGACCCAGCGTGTCCTGAAATGAAAGAGCATTGCCGGAAATGAGCACCGGAAAGTCCAGATTTCTCTGCAACTCCGGCGGATTTGAAGACGACGGCGGCCGATCCTGCAACTGAAGCAGCCATGAGATTCCCGACGAGGATTGAAGAGAGAGAGAGAGAGAAACGTGAAGTTGTGAAGGTCGCCACAGAGAAATCAGAGCAAAATGGTTTTTATAGAGCGAGAAAGCCAAGAGCAAAGAGAAAAGTCTTGGTTTTTGCTTTGGAAGCTCAGAAGACTGGTTTAGAGTGGCGATGTGTTCGATGTCTTATTAAAGTATGGTAAGACTTTGGTGCGTTTTTTTAGTTGAGACCGTTCGGTTCGTGTTGTAAATTGTAGCATATTACAACTGTCCATATCAAATAAATAAATAAATAAATTTGTAAAAAACTAATAATAAATAGATAAGGAGCGCCTTTTTTTTTTTTTTTTTCTCATTTGGAAGGAAATTAAAAAGAAAGTGAGGCATAAGATGAATAAATCGATTTAATTTGAAACTTGATTCAATCTCAATCAAAATAATTTAGGATTATTATGATAAAATTAAATATGTTAAATTTATAAATACTCCGTCTTAAAAAAATTTATTTATCTTTTTTTTTTTTGGTGTGTCCCAAAATATATATCTCATTCTAGAAATGAATGTACTTTTTTTATAATATACCTAAACTATCTTTTGGCATTGAGTTTTGTATTAATTACAGTATTCTTTTGTCTTTTAATAAAAATAACTTCAAAATTTACTTTTATTTATGGAATAAATAAATATTAAAACTTACCATAAAAAGTTGGATTCTCCAAATGCCCCAATTTTTTTTAAATGGAGGGAGTGCAATTGAGGATGTAATGAAATTTGAGAAATAAGTAAAAAAAAAAAAAAAAAAAAAAAATTATTATTTATTTATGATCCATTACTCATAATAAAACACCTCTATCTCAAAATGTTAGACGCTTGAAAATAACATACATTGAGTGTGACGAAATATTGAGGTAGATGTCTCAGAATGGGTAAAATAAAAAATGATTATATACGAGAGATATTTATTTTTTTCCTAAAATACAATAGATATTTGAAATAGCATAATTTGAAAGAAAATTGGATAATATGGTTTGAACATATGCAAATAAAATATTTAATTATACCCATTATGTAAGAAAAGATAATTAGAAAGGTCAATATAACATGTGTTTTGATTTGATAGCACCATTACACATGCCATCAAAATAGGGTTGTTCTTAATTGGCCTCACACCAAAGCGACCTAGGTGGTGTGTAGGTCCAAGTCGTTATTAAGTTATCCTGCCATTAGAAAGGAAGGTATGCAGGGTCATTCATTTCTAATGAAAGCGTTTGCGAGTTTAAGTAAAAGAATATTAGGTGTTATTGTTATGGGAGTGCCTTGAACTTAAAAAGACACCAAAGTGGCCCTAGGTGGTGTGTAGGTCCAAGTCGTTATTGAGTTATCCTGCCATTAGAAAGGAAGGTATGCAGGGTCATTCATTTCTAATGAGAGCGTTTGCGAGTTTAACTAAAATAATATTAGGTGTTATTGTTATGGGAGTGCTTTGAACTTAAAAGGACCCATAGATTTTGCCACTTAATAATAAAGGCCAAATTTGACCGACATGAAATATTTTTACAATTAGTTAGAGTTGGCCTTAAAAATAAAAAAAAATAAAAAAAAATAAAAAATTCTCAGAACTAGGTTAAGGTGCCAATAACTCCTAGCTGAATTTTAATTTTATTTTAAATATCCTTATATAATCTTTAAGAAATTGTTATTCATCTTTTAATATTTACATTAGATTTTGTGCATTTCAACGCATAAAAAAAATGAGAAAGAATGCACAAGTTATACGATAATTCAAAATTTCGGTTAAGATTAAACAATTTATACACTAGATTGAGCATGAATTGTATTCTATCACGTTTGACTTGTAACTCTACCTACAAATTTAAGTTTTTGAGTCGATTGCCAAAGCCTGTCGGTGCATAGAAATTCCGGCGACATTAATCCAAAATTCTCACTCACATTTCCCTCCAAGGGAAAAGGGCGGGAAAAATGAGGAAAACAAAATTTTAACCTCGGGTATTATTATTATGCACAGTTTCACAACGCAAAGATATGCAAAACACACAGATTTTTCTGTCACAATTCTGCATACATTTCCGCAAAGCATTAGCTCATGGATTCCGATTCCGACTCCGACGGCTCTCACATATCTGCAACACCGCCGCGAGATCTCCAACCACCTCCGCCTCCGCCGCCGCCGACTCTGCCACCAATTCTTCTCTCTTCCACCAAAACCAGAACTAAGGTTAAAGCAGCTCCGAAACCAATACGATTCACAAATCGAGCAAAACCACCAGCAAAATCTAAACCCAAACCTCTTCCACAAGACCCCTCACCTAAACCTAACCCTAACCCTAATCCTAATCCTAATCCTAATCCTAATCCTTTACCTACCCTCTCCGATTTACCATTTCCGATTCGCCTTCATTCAGATCCAAATCACACAGCTTTTGATAATCACAGCACGAACAATTTTCGTGCTTGTCACTTATTCTTACCGAAATTGTCTTTTTCAAAGTCGCAGAGGCCTTATCTGAACTTTGAATCTACAGAAACTGATTATACACAACCCAAAACTGAGGTAATCGGAGGTGAAGCTAGTAATTTTGGGAATTCAGCTAAAACCCTAAAGAGACACCCTAATTCGATAAGTGGGAATGTCAATATAAGTGTGCCTGCTGTAAAGCGGAAATTTGTTAGCGAAGGGAACTTTGTGAAGCTAAACATCAATGGCCATGGAAGCAAGTTCAAATACAAAGGCAGAAACAAGAATTACAGTTCATCTAGTGGTCGAAGGCCTTTCAGGAGGAGAAGTAAGGGAAAATTGAAAGGCGAGGGCAAAGGCGAAGCGGAAATGGATGTGTTGTCTGATGAAGATGGTTTGGTTTCCGAATGTGCACAGAGGCAGGACGTGAAAGAGAGAGGTGGGTTGGGTTCTGGTTGTGAGTTGATTGAAGAGGCAGTTTCGGAGGTTCGAAAAGAGGCGTCCGATGAGAATTTGCTGAAGCTGTTGAAGCTTACACATGGTTATGATTCGTTCAGGGATGGGCAATTGGAGGCAATCAAGATGGTGCTTGCTGGGAAATCGACCATGCTGGTTTTGCCAACCGGGGCGGGAAAGTCCCTGTGTTATCAGTTATCTGCGATGGTTTTACCGGGGATTACACTGGTTGTGAGTCCATTAGTGGCTTTGATGATTGATCAGCTAAAACACCTACCACCAATGATCCAGGGTGGTCTTCTCTGCAGCACTCAGGTGATCTCTCTCTATATATATATGTATATGTATTGGCTGTATGCTTGGTACCTGTTTGACATTTCTTATTGTCATAGTCACCTGAAGAATTTTCTGAAACCCTGAGGCGGCTACAAGAAGGAGTTATTAAGGTGAATTTACTAAACTTCACATTTTATCGTTGCTCCTTCATTTGTTTCTCCTTTTATGTGTTTGTGCAAGAGCACACTATCAAAATAGTATATTACTTTGATATCTATCAAGTATCAACTAAAGTTTTTGGAGTACATGATTGTTAATATATATGCAACCTTCTTAATAAAACACATTAGAATAATAATAATATAAAAAACACATTAGGACTAAAATATATATGTAACACCACACAGTTGAGGGGGAGTATTAAAACATGTTGCACCTCTCTCCATTAGTTCAGCCTGTTGGAATATTTGGTTGCTAACATGGTATAAGGACCTTATTATTGCATAAAATATGTTTTCATGGATGGCCTATCAAGAGGATCAGATACGAGAGGGAGTATTGAAATAAATAATATGTTGCACACTTGCACTCATCCGGGTGAGGGAGTAAGTTCAAATAAAAAATCTTATTAAAAATAACATCAGTATTAAATTAAGTATTTGAAACACGACATTTGAGGGTGAGGATGAGTAGCGTATGACCTACCCAAGAGAGGCCACACGGATGGTCAAGGTAAATATGTTATATTAGGGTAAGCTTTTGGAGTAGATGGTTACAAACAAACATGATAATAGACTCAAAAGGTCTTGTTAAGTTACACAATATATTCACATGGATGGCTTCCTTGAGAGGCCCCTTAGGGAATTTCCAGGTATTTACCTGGTGCATGTGGGATAGGGGACTGCATGTGCCAAATGGTGGATTATGGGGTGCTCTAGAGGCCCGGCACCACCATCTTCGTCCCGAAAGAAAGAAAAAGAGAAGAAAAGACAAAAGAAATAACACGATACCCATCTCTCTTCATCTTAAGCTTATAGAGTTGTTCGTCGTTAATAAGTGATATTTGATTCAGAAGTGTTGTCTTTCATGGAAGCTAAGGATACATGGGTTATATTTCAGGTCTTGTTTGTTTCACCAGAAAGGTTCTTAAATGCCGAATTTATATCTATATTTTCTGCCACTCCACTTATATCACTTGTGGTGGTGGATGAAGCCCACTGTATTTCTGAGTGGTGAGTAGTTGCATCGATCCTTTTCCTCATTATATTTGATCACCCTTTTCCTTTTATTAGCTATTTTTCGATGCATTTCCTTCTAGCTGAACTCATTGTTCTTTGGTCTTCACATTTATGCATATCTTGAACATTTTGACAGGTCACATAATTTTCGGCCTTCATATATGAGGCTCAGGGCATCTTTACTTAATGATATGCTTAATGTTCAATGCATTCTTGCAATGACTGCAACAGCGACCACCAAAACTTTGAATGATGTAATGTGTGCTCTAGAGATTCCACTGATAAATCTCATCCAGAGAGCTCAATTGAGGGACAACTTACGATTGTCAGTATCTTTGAGTAAAAATAGGCAAGTACAAATACATATTATCATCTACTGTTATCTTGCGTCCTTGCATTTTTTGTTGGTGTTTAACTGCATATGATGGGTAATATTTCTTAATCTGTTGATTATTATAATAGAATGAAAGATCTGATGATGTTGCTCAAATCTTCTCCCTTTGTGGACATTCAAAGCATTATTATTTACTGTAAATTCCAGGTATGCATGTATAATATCCTGGCATATATAGTTTCTTCAATGCTCTAGATTGTTTCACTGAGGATATCCTGTAACACAATGGAATTAATTCAGATTGACATTTAATTTTCATTGCAATGTTGATGAGCATTTAATTTTTTCATGTTTATTTTGCAGTCTGAAACTGACTCAATAAGCAAATATCTATGTGATAACAATATCTCAGCAAAGGTGGGGGTCTCGTTTATTTTCTTAGTTCAGTTGTATGATGCACAATTTCTTGCTTCAAGCAACAGTAAATATGTGCTTAATGCTAAAATGGATTTTTTTTTTTTTTTAATTGCTTTCTAGAGTTACCACAGTGGTATACCGGCAAAGGATCGGAGCCGCACTCAGGAATTGTTTTGTTCCAACAAGATAAGAGTGGTAAGGAAATTATTCTGGTTCAATATGGTTTCTTGAATGTATATGCATGTTTTTCTTTATCATAAATATATTATCTCTTAAGGGAAAAATAATTTTTGCTTCTCAGATGCATTTTCTTGCATTTTGTTTTTTGTAAGGTTGTTGCAACGGTGGCGTTTGGCATGGGGCTTGATAAGAGGGATGTAGGAGCTGTAAGAAGAAATACTATACTTCTGATGCTAGTGTGATTTACTGATTTTTGTACTTATCTGCTTCATTTTCACTTGAACTGTTGCTCAAGGTTTAGTGTGTTCCATGCGGTTTGGCGGACCAACAGTAGATCAATTCATATAGTGTAAGGTTGGGATATCATAGCAATCAGGTGGTTTTGGGCTCTGAGCTTCCAACCGATATGGATTGGCCTTCCTTATGGACTGCTTTAAATTCATGGGCACACTAAATTGATGGTGACATCAACCCAATAAGACATTAAATTATTTAATTGTTGTTCTCGACATATCTTTGTCCCATGATATATATGCATCTTATGCAAAATCATTTTGTGAAAATTCATACTGAAATTTCCTCATTACTTTTTTTTCAGGTTATCCATTACAGCTTGCCAGAAAGTTTGGAAGAGTATGTTCAGGTGTATACTTGTTCTTCACAAACTGGTAGTTTGAGAAGATATTCTTTACATTAAGATTTTCTAAAGGAAAGGAATCATACTTTTCTGCAGGAGATTGGACGTGCTGGACGGGATGGGAGATTGTCTTATTGCCATTTCCTTTTCGATGATGTTACTTATTTTAAGCTTCGTAGTCTTATGCACAGGTGACTAAATGTAATATCAATGTCTATCAAGTTCTAATTTATAGGTTTAAAAGATCTGGAATTCACTAATACTGTTGTCTTTCTCAGTGATGGGGTGGATGAATATGCAGTAAACAGATTTCTCTGTCAAGTTTTCAGTACTGAAATGGGTTCACCTGGGAAAATTTGTTCATTAGTCAAAGAATCCGCGTCTCGTAAATTTGATATGAAAGAAGAGGTGCTTTCCATATACTATTCCTTAATCAATTCTTTACTGCTCTTGATTTCTGAAATCCTCAATTTGACATATACCTTGATTTATAAAACGATGGTGATTTTTGGGGGTACTCAGTACTGTATGTTGTATTACATTGTCCTTGATTCTTTTCATATCTTTGTGGTGTGATTATTAGGCTGATTATGAGGAAGAATAAGAAAAGCAAAAGGAGAAATTGAATTTTCCCTGGTGTATTTATTTCCCAAGATTCTAATTGCTGGTTTTGACTGACAGGTGATGCTGACCATTTTAACACACTTGGAGTTGCAAGAAACACAATATTTGCGTTTGCTTCCACAGATTAATGTAACATGCACTTTAAATTTCCATCAGGTGGGTTATAAATTATTGGCGAATCTGTAATATTTTACACCTTTATTAGTTCTCTTACATTTGTTGATGGCCTTTGAGGATATGCCAGGAAGGCTATTCAAACCTCTATAGTTGTTTTCCTTTTCCATATAAAGGTGCAGACATGATAAAGGACTTAATCTGATTTATTTTTGCTTATTGTTTATGTTACTGTCATGGAGTTTACCAACAGAATAATACTGCCTCGAATAACTTAAGCCTCAAATTCTGTAATTGTTACTTTGCTGTTTAAAGGTTATAGACAGCTTTCTTAGAACTTAATCTGTCTTTTATTATGTTTAAAAATTCATTTATTGATGCTTGAAGATTGTGTAATTTGCATGACTGCAGACTCCTCCAGCAATGCTTGCTGCCAAAGATACTTTGATTGCAGCAGTTCTGAAGAAGTGAGTGTCATCTTTACTTCTTATCACATGCAGCAATTAAATGCTTTTTAGTTTGTAAAACTCAAAATGGACAGGTTGTGCATGAAATTTGCAGGTCTGAGATGAAGCATGGGCAACATGTGTTTGACATACCCACTGTGGCAAATAGTATTGGTGTTTCGGCTATTGACATATCAAATCAATTGTTGAATCTAAAGGTTTGAATATGCATGAAAATTATGTTGCACAAGATTTTAATATTTGTTCTTTTTCCCGAAAATTTACTCCTTGCAGTCTCCACCTTTCCAACTTATTATTGTATCTTTGTTTGATTAAAGACCAAAAATTATTGGTGCTATCAAGTCAAAGTTATAAGAAATTCACTTGAACAAATCTTTTCCTGATAAGATTTCCCCATTCTATGACTAAACAACTACAAGATGTCGCATACTTTTTAGTAAAATCACCCTTGCTTTGGAGTTCAGATGGCTTCCACTTTTTTTTAGTTGTGTTACTAAGTTCTAATGGAATTTAGAAGGCAGGAGTTCCTTACTAAAAAAATAGATCTTGAAGGAATCAGCATGAATAATTTAATTAATTTTTAGTAGTGGTTCTTAAATGCTAAGACTAATCAATGATATTCAACTTCTGCAATACTGCCTTGGTATATTTATCATGAAGTTGTGTGTACCTATAGCAAATTTTGCTGTGTGCGCACTTCTAGAGCATCAAAATATATTGTGGCTTGAAATGATTTGTTCTATTGACTTCCATGAATACAAATTAGACATATCTATGATCAGTTTAGGATAAAACAGCAAGGCGGTATTACTTGGTTTTGCAATATATAGGAAAGATTAATTTTGGGGAGCATTTTAATGTTGCTATTTTTTTTTTTTTTTCCTCTGGGTATTTTAATGTTGCTTTTTCTTAAATTTATTTTTGCAGAGCTGAAGAAATGGAAAGTGACCAGAATGTGGCAGCTTAAGTAATTTAGAAAAAACATATTTTCAGAAATTATTAGCAACAATCACTTAATGTTAAACTTTTTGAAAATAATAAATTTCTAAGTATATCATATTTTATAAATTTTAATAATCTGCGGTTTGGACTTTAGAAATATTTATTTTTTATTTTATGCTTATCACTAAACTGCTAGTTAATTTTCATGAAATTATCTAACTTTTTCCTTATTTTAGTTAAAGAGAGAAATAACATATGAGATGAAGGATCCAGCCTACTGCTACACAATTGTGGATCTCCCAAAAGATTTTTGTTCCCTTGCGACACAACTTACAAAGTGGTTATCAGACGTTGAAAGTTGTAAGGTGATTAATTTGGATGGTATTAATTTGAAGCTATCTCTCAATTTCAGTTTGTAAATAAATGTAATGTTACCCCATATATCTGTGTGTATGTGTGTGATAGGATCCAGTGGACATTTGACTAACTTGTAAGAATGGGGGGAAATTATCAACTGAATGATATGAATATATGGTGGCTTTTGAACTATGTTGCATGCTTTTTTCTGTTCATATGATTTCTCATTCATTTCCTATATATAAATCAATCTGCTTTGTATGACATTTCTTGGAGCTCCTTATCCTACAAAACAGTCCAAAAGCAAGCATCCAAGGTCCATTTATTGGTTAATAAAAAGCATTTGTTTTGTTTTCTATAAAGTCAAAGGTGAAGGTATATGTGCATAGCAGCAAAGTCATCTTTCGGTCTTCTTTGTCCTAGAGGTTAAACAGTATGGACTGATGCATAAATGGGCCTAACCATACACACAGGCACATTGACAAAAATTTCTGGTCTTCATGAGTGTTAAAAGGCGAAACCTTGTCTTTGGGCTCTTATAATTTATAATATGTTTCTCTCTCTTACAAAGGAAATGTGTTTTTTTTTTGACGCAGGTCCGAAAAATAGATGCAATGTTTAATGCTGCAATTTTTGCGGTAAAAGTGTGTGAGAAGATGCACGGTTGCTACGATGCCCAACATACGTCATGCTTGCAGAGGAATATTTTGCAATACTTCAGTGGAGATGGTGATTGTGATGGTGATGTCCCTAATAAGATGGCTCAAAGCAGGTTAACAAGTTTCTAGTGCTTTATATATTGTACATGGAATGATAACAAAAAGGAGCTTGACCGCATCATAGCATTACACAATTTTGGATGCCTTATTTTATTAATACTTATAGATACTATCTAATTTAATTACATAGTAAAGTTCCTGTGTTGTCAACATTTACTGAGATGCATGATCATGCTGAAACCTATTATTATGTGATGGGCGATCCCTTGCAGTTTCGTATAGGATAAAATATCAAAGTTTGTCAGGTTTAGCTATAAGTGTTCACGTGTATAAATTTTGGTAAAGCTCGTCCATATATTTTGCCATACATATTTTTTTCTTACTAGCATATGTTATTTTTCATAGTACTGATAGAAATATCATATGTGTGCAGCCCATTTTTGCGAGCAGATATAAAGGTAAGGGTTTCCGCAGATCCACAGTTTTTCTAATCAAGGAAAGAGCTTAGGGGTGTTGAAATGTTTGCTTCTCTTTGGTGTAATAGGTGTTTCTGCAGAGTAATTCGCAGGCTAAATTCACCCCCAGAGCCGTTGCAAGGGTAATGCATGGCATCGCAAGCCCAGCCTATCCTTCTGCAACTTGGTCTAAGACCCATTTCTGGTATCCTGAACAAATTTTTATTTATGTTTAAATATCTGACATTAATTACCGTGTCTATGTCATTGTGAAGGTTTAACTTTATTCATCATTTGGTATGAAAGTGATGAGTGGTGCAAGTTGAAAACCTGGAAGAATGATTGATTTGCATATGATACGTTTTCTTTTAGTTCAGGATACTGTTGATGTATTAAGAAAAAGTGATGTCACTGATCTTAATAAATAGTTAAATACCACTGTGGATAAGCTATGGTGAAATGATGCCTTGCTTCTGTCATTATGCGTAAGGTTGGACCTGTCTTTTTACAGATTCCTCCTCGAAGTTCTTTTAGACTAATTAATGAATCAACCATCCAAAGAAATCAAATGAATATTCAATCTTTACTAGTTCCCATAATTACAAAAGCCATGGATTGTTATTCCTGGTTTGATGAGAAACAGTGGAGCTGAACAGGAATTATATAATTTCCGCGTGTTCTGTGATGGCTGCCCAGTAATTGTCTGAGTTTATGTCGTCATTATGATGGTCATAATCCCACCTATATGTATTAGATCTATGTATAGGTGGGATTGTGACCATCATAAGGATGACACTGGCCAGGTAAGGTTGCTCCATTTTGACCTAAAGGTCACCGATTCAAAACAAAAAATAACCTATTCATATGCGAAGGTAAGGTTTTGTACATCTGACCCTCCCCGGGTCCCATAGTGGCAGGAATCTCGTGCCCTGGGCTAGCTCTTTTTTAAGTATTAGATCTCATACATAGTAGTCTAAAAATTTAACAGTGTAGAAATTCTTCCATCGTAAGGCATCTGGTTGATTTGCTCGGTGTTCTTGATTGCAGGGGAAGATATATGCAGATAGACTTCCAAGTGGTAATGGAAGCAGCAAAGGTAGAGCTCATGAATTTTGTCGGGAAGGATGTTATCTAGCTGTTTGCATTTGTGGCATAATTCACTCAGCTACAAGTAATTTGGACAGCCATTTAAAGGTATGACAAATGGTCGGAATTACTACTAACCTAATAAGGTTGATTCTTAATTCTTCAGACTTTTTTTTTTAAGAATTGAGAGAAAGGCATTCCTTATTTTATAACACTACTACTATTACTGCTAGTAATACTACTTCACGTTTGCAGGTTGTGTGATTTAAAATTGGCAAATAGTATCTTTGACCCAAAATTGTCCCGTTATTGTTTATTTGATCAGATACATTATATTTGCAGGTTACGTGGTTCAGAATTGGCAAATAGCATCTTTGACCCAAAATGTGCAGTTGTTGATTTTATAAGGAACATCATTTCAGGTGCTAAGTTATGACAGGTAAGCTGCTCTCGAGTCTTGAGTGTCGATTACACCCTTCATGAAAAAACCTGTAACCTGAATCTTGCCACATTTGATCTCATATCTGCCTAGAAACAATCAGGATTCACCAACTGGCCTCCATATTATACCGTAACGAGCAAATATTACATAGACTTAACATATGAATACTACACACCGAAACATTGTCAGAAGTAAATATGCTTTCAGATTGTTGGTAGCCATGGACAGAAGTGATTCGATTAGAGACTAACTCCGTTCTGCATCATTTTAGTTAAGTCGAGACTTCTGCTTTTTGGGGGTTTTCCTTACTTCCTCAACCATAATGCATTAGTTGGCAGTATATAATATGTATGTTCCAGGGTGGTGCATGTGCACCGTGCACATCTGCATGCTAATGGAAAATGCGTTTTTATCATAAAGTAGTTGACGTTAACTATGCATGATGAAATGGCATGCGTTAAGTACAGGTTCTTACATTTATACAACTGTATTGCAGCAAAAAGTATGTCATGATGCACATGCACATACCGGCTTGTACGAAGGCCATGCCAGGTTGAGGTCTATCATCAACTGTGATTCAGTTCAACTCCACAGTATGACGAGTACTGGCCGAGCTCTGTTATATTGATAAAGAAAACGTGTCCGGCTCACAGGAATGAATCAACCTTTCAAGTTACCATCAGCTGCCAGTGGAATTTGAAGAAAACGGGTATGAGAAAAATACCATAATGAAAACTTTGCTGGTTGCTGTATTGGTTGCCACTCAGGTGACTGATATTATTTAAAAGATGAAGTGCGGAAATGGGATTATGGGCAGATGAAGTTTATCATGAAGGTGCTCTTGACATGAGCTCATGCCCCTGTAATAGTTTTTGTTTTTGTTTAATGAGAGTACGCAAACATAAAAATTATTCTTTGTAAATTGGGAAATTTTGTTTATGCTTTTGAGAAGACTATTGAATGTGTTGTGCACGCAAAAGGAAGTCAAGCGTGCCAGAATTGTTTAGAAATCTTTTATGGTGTAAATTAGACTAGAAGTAATTAAGATCCAAGGTTTCCACATGGGTTATTCTTTTATGATTCTTTGTTAGTGCCAAAGGTAACTTGGGATGTCACAATCATCCCCTTTTGGAACTTTGCGCCACATTTGTCAGCTAGTTCACTCTTTCCATTTTCGGACAGGGATTATTTGTGATGTCATTTGTCATGACCTGTTTCGTTGTGTAGATATTATCTGTCTTGTACACTTTTCGTGATCATAATTTTTAAAATGCGTGTCAAATATATAATTATTTCAAATTTTATTTTGCTTCCAAGTAGATTATAACCGTTTAAGAACTCATGTTGGATATTTGCTTGTTTGAACTCTTTAAAAATTACATTGTAAGATTATTGAAAATGAATTGGTTAACGTATTATATAACATAATAATTTCTCGTTTAAGAACCCCTTCTTTTTTTTTCCTCAACTTTGGAAAAAAAAAAATAAATAATAATAATTTTCTTTAAATAAAACATTCTCATTTTGTTTTGAAAAGACTTTTATAGTGTCAAAAATGGAAAAGAAAAAACAAAATAATATAGAATGGGTTGGTTGTTGGTACCCAAAACAAGAAACCCAAAAGAATAATGAAAGGAGGATTCCAATTAACTTGGGTATATTCTAGACAATATTTGAACAATGGAAGCATATTCAGTTGAACGTCCTCAAAAATTCCCCCATACGCGTCTAGAGAGAGAAATACACAAGCAAAGACCGTTAGTTTAGAGAGAACCATTTTCTCTCTCTACTCACTCTCTCTCCAACTCTCCGACGAATCATCAAACTCACCACCTCTTACGCTCCACAATTATTACCTACTGAATCAGTCTTCTCCTCTCTCTCTACATTTCTTGAATCCATCAGGTGCTATAAAGTGAAAATTTCTGTGATCAGAATCAAGAATTATTTATATATATATATTTGGAGAGAGAGGGATTTGGTAAATTTAGGGTTCAGAGAGAGAGAGGGGAAAGATAGAGAGACGATGAAAGACTTGGCGGCTTCATCTGGATCGTCGATCCAGGAAACAGCCACAACAACATCTACCCTCTCTTCATCGGCTTCGATTTTCACCAATTATCCTCTCCTTTCAGCTCTCGTTGCCTTCGCTCTCGCTCAATCCATCAAGGTCTTCACCTCCTGGTAATCCCCTCTCTATACGTTACATGTATAATACCATATGGTGTATGTAAAACTGTTTGTTTGATTGAAATTGGATCTAATTGTGGTCTGTTCTGTGTTCCAGTGAAAACAAGCTTGAATTCTTGAATGCTTACATGTATATATGTACGGTTGTATGTCAAACTGTTTGATTTCAATATTCTTGAAATTTGATTTGATTGTGTTCTATTCTATGTTCCAATGAAAATGAGCACGAAGTTGTATGTAAAACTGTTTGATTTCAATATTCTTCAAAATTTGATCTGATTCTGTTATCTTCTATGTCCAAAAGAAAATGAGCTTGACTTGTTGAATATGATGTACCTGTGATTTTGTTGATTTTTTTCATGTTTCTGGGTTTTTTTTATTTTATTTTATTTAAAATTTTTTTTATTTATTTATATATTTCTAATTAGCTGTTGAGCCGTTCAAGTTAATTCCATGTATGAGATGTTGATACATTAGTTAATTTCGGCCTATGGTTGTGTATTTTGAACTTCTTTTTTGTGGCTATGATAAATTAGGTCGAATTTGATCTGAATGCATTTTGAACTTCTTTTTTTGTGGCTATGATAAATTAAGTCGAATTTGATCTGAATATCTGAAACATTTGTCAATACAATTGTATCACCATACAGTTGTACAGTTTTCCGGCAAGTTTGTGTTAAGTCAACTTAGAGGTTTTTGAAGTTTTTCATGATCTTGATATAAACATGAATTCTCAGCCTAAACACATGATTATTTTTTTGGTTTTTGATTGTCGTTCTTCATTTGGACTCTTTCCATTGCATCTTCTTTTTTCTTTCAGATTTAGCTTTAGGTGTTTCCAATTTTCACCCACTATTACTTAATGGTACTATATTCAAATGTCTAAATTATTGGTCTAAAAGAAGAACCAGTTGACGAAACACTAAATAGAAATGCAAATGTAGCTAACCTCTTTATTGCCCAACATTCTACACGTTTCTTTGGAAAGATATGCAGAAAAATATCTCTGCAAAGGAAAATCTATATGATAAGTTCTATAATTATTAACATTATGTGTTAACTCATGTAATAAGCTTGTGTAACACCTTCTTTAACTTGGTAGATTTAATTCTAGCTAATTTTCACCTGGAATGCTTGTAATTGTGAATGGTCTTGCTGGACATTTTAATTAGTTCATTAAGAATCTTAAGCTTTGATAGATTTGCAGGTATAAGGAAGGGCATTGGGATCTCAAGAAACTTGTTGCATCAGGTGGGATGCCATCATCTCATTCTGCAACCGTCACTGCTCTAGCTGTGGCCATTGGTTTTCAAGAAGGCTTTGGAGGTTCACTGTTTGCGGTTGCATTGGTCTTAGCATGTGTTGTATGGTTCTTCTCTTAATCTTGCTACAACGTTCTTCTAGAAAGCTGTATATAGTTCAGTACATATTTATTTTAAGAAGTTTATTTAGTCATATCATCACCTCAAAGGTATATTTGTAAAGATCATATTATTTTTTATTTTCTATGTGATTTTTTTTTTTTTGTATAATGTGACCTCTTTTTGTAGTTGGTCATATGATACCAATTAGGATGTCTAATGTTGATTATAGCAATTCAGCAGATCACATATTATAGAGTTTAGCTTTATCCTTTCTGATTGTAGATTTATGATTTACCTAATTTATCTTTCCTTGTTGAACATAGCAAAATAGGTATTATACAAGACTTGGTCGAGCTGATTTCCCTTTATGCTGAAAGGTTAAATAACCCCCCCTCAAAAAAAAAAAAAAAAAAAAAATCTCTGTAAAGCAGTTGAACAATGAAACAATTGAAAAGAAGAGAAACTTATTAGAAAAAGGATGGGGAAAAGGGAAAGAAGAGAGATTTATGTGCCGATGCTTCTTACTTAATTAACCAATATCCTCAGCGATAAAGGACAGTTGACGTTATAGCTGTCTTTTATGTTTTTCCCTTCAATTTTATGGCATATACTAATCACACAATACTGTAAATCATTGCACTTCATTCATCTGGGTCTATTTCTATTGACAGCATGTTCTTCAACTTCTCCCTATAGATCATTGAACTCAGGAGTTTGCTAATGGTTTCTAATGATGCCTTCCTAACCTATAAAAACAATTCGCAGCTTGATATTATAATTATTTCATGAACTTTAATTTTTGAGAGAATGCGGGTTAACTTTTCATGAGTTGACATCTCTGAATTTGATATGATGTTGTGTTGCTTCTTTCTCTCTATAATCAGCCATTTCACAACCTTCAAAGTTTTGAATAAGGTGATATAGGTATTTTGTTATCGTTTTATCTGTCAGTATCATCTTTATGTGGGTGGTTTGTTGTTTCAAATGAAGAAGAGAGAAGATGCTCAAGTTGAGATTTCTTACATGAAGAATTTTGTGGCAGGTGATGTATGATGCATTTGGTGTAAGATTGCAGGCTGGACGCCAAGCAGAGGTTTGCTGCTCATTCTCCTCTCTCTCTCTCTCTCTCTCTCTGTGTATGTGTATTTAAAAACACATGTATAGATGGAAACTTGACAATCTTTTTATGCATATGCATGTTGTGAACTTTTAATACTAAATAGCTGCAGGAAATCTTCTATAGATTTCAACTGATCAGTTTTATGTTTTTAAACTGGACTTTTGTAGGTTCTAAATCAAATTGTATTTGAACTTCCTGCTGAACATCCTCTAGCTGAGAGCAGACCATTACGCGAACTTCTTGGCCACACTCCTCCTCAGGTTTGGTTTAATGCATTAAATTACTATCTGTTAAACTGATGAACCTTCATTGTATATTTTTGTTATTGAAACCGTTGGTCTTATAATTGATCTTTCATTTGTCATAATAAATTTATAAGATGATGTTCAGTTTGCACTATTTCCTATGAATCTATGATAGTACATTAGTTTCCTTTACTTTCCCCTTTATCCTTTAAAATTGACAAAATAGGAAATAACTTGTGTCTTACTGAATGTCAGCAAGTGTCTAATGGAAGTAAGATACATTACAATAAAATGTCAAAGTACTACTAATTATCTCTACTTTTTTTTTTTCTTTTCTTTTCTTTCCTTTTTTTTTCTTCTTTTTGACAAAATATCAATTACCTTAAACTTAATTCAATATAACTCTTTCTCATGCATGCATTCCCCCCGCCCCCCAAAAAATCGGCCATTTGCTAGTGCAGGACTCGAAAGTGAATCAAATAATCCCTCCTTGATATTGTGATGGTTTTATAGATGATTGAAACATCTTACAATGACTTCTCCTCATTTTGTCAATTGGTGCCTCTACCTTCTCAAGGTCTCATACTGCTTTTGTTTCTTTTTATCTTTTCTTGTACTACTACTCGTCCACGCCAATATCTTCTTGCCCATGCTCATTTTTGAATATGTAATTGCTCAGTACCCCCTAGTACATGGTGAACTATTTTCTAAAGCATGTTTCAGTTCTCTGAAAAGTGAAAACAAAAATGACAATTATTAGATACAAGAGAGTATGATAAAATTGACCTCACAACATTGCTGTATAGATTGTCGGGAAGTGTGTTTTAGCTATTAAGTGTTACTGTGTGTTACTAAGAGTGCACTTAGTATACTATACTGCAGCAAAATTAAGATTAAATAGAATGAAAAATGTTACTTCTTGAAATAACACTCAGAAAAGGTTTGTATCTCAATACTTGGGTTCAGCTCCATAAAAAATTCTTGACATTACAGCATCTCAGGTTGCCCTTCCATTGATTAATTGGTTATCGTATCATTAATGGCTTATTTTTTATTTAAACAAGGATTAATTCTTGTTTGTCATTGTTTAAGGGTTTTAAGTCCTATAGTTTGCTTTAATATCCCTTTGATCACAATTTCACCTCTGATAATAAAATGTTTCACAGCTTGTCGGTTGGAATTCCCTTAATGCCAATTATGTATCTCGAAATATTTCTTCTTGTATTTTTATTTATATAATGAATGTTGTTTCCCGTCTGAGTTCTCCCATCACATTACAGGTTATTGCTGGTGGATTGCTTGGATTTGTCACCGCAACAATTGGACATTTTATCGCTGGGCCTCTTAGTCAAACTTAACGTTCAGGTTGATGTCGCGTGTTAGAATCTGTGGCCAATGAGTCTTCCCGGTAATGCTGTGGGTCAGGAGTGCAACTCACACTCTTGTCACCCAAAGTGTTCAAACCCGAATATCAAGATGGTGTTGCCTCCAATCCAGTTAGCATATACCTGTAAACTACAACCATCTTTACATTTGCACAACAGTACACTAAAGGTGCATTTTAATTGATTCATTGTTTGATACAATCAAATTTGTATTTTGATCAAGCGGTAGCAAAAATCCCCATGCACGTAGCGTGGTCTGATACCACCTATATCAGTAATGAAACATTACAGTGGGAAAATTCTGCTTTTAACAGTGCATAAGTCCTTTTGTTTTGAAGACTTTGGAGTGTTGACCTAGATTGAGTCTAATTAGGGTTTTAGATTAAGCGAATAGGTTCTATTGATTCTGGTTTTAATTTAGTTTGAAGATTTGAGTGTAGAATTATATGTTTTGGCTTTGTGAAATTAGGGTTTTTTAGCAAGTGATTAGAGCTTGATTTGGTTTGAAGACTTGCAGATCAGAGAATTTGTCTGTTTGATAAGGGTTAGCAAAAGTTACATTCAACTGAACGCTGGGTGGGTAAGGCAAGCCCAAACTCGATTCACTATGTTTAATACCCAATAATATTTTAAAAGATTGAGGTACCCAAAAGTCTAAACCAATCCAACCAGTGTTCACTTTGTTCAAGTTGGGTTTAGGCCGAACCTAACATAACATTCACCACAAAATATATATACAAATTGAGGTGATAAATTGGTATATATATATATATATATATATATATACAAATTGAGGTGATAAATTGGTATGATATGCTTTTCAAGTCATTTTCATTATTAATTTCCAACCTAATTAAGATTTTTATTTTGCACAATTTGATAAAAAGAGTAACCCAATTAAGAGTTAGTATACTTTAAGAGTTATGTTACAAATGCTCGCTAGTCACAAACGACTGGGTGAATTAAAATGGTTTTTATTTGTGAGCTGTGACATTATTATTGTTATAGTGAAAGTTGAGGATATTAGTCCCTCTGGGGACAAATGGCTGTGATTTTTTTCGCCAAGAAAAAAATATATATGTTCTTACCAATTTCAAAAACAATGAATAATGTGCAATTTTCCCACATCTCAGTATATAGATGAGTAAAATCAACCAAATATATATATATATATATATTTATATATACACACAAAACATTAAATCAAAAGTATGACAGAATAATTTAGGTAAGGCGCACAGATGTTCTTTGTGCTTGGAGTGGTATTCGCCCATTAGCTATGGATCTTAGAGCAAAGAACACTCGGAGCATTTCCAGAGATCATGTTGTATGTGAAAACTGCAGATCACCCGATATCAAATTTACTTCTATATTATTGAATTTCTCTGGTCTATATTAATTGATTGAAGTTTTTCAAGGTGTTTGATATTTTTGTGCTTGCTTAATTCACGTGTATAAAGGACTGACTCATCATTATAAAGAAGATAATTTTAATTTTAATTGATATTTTAATTAAAAGTTGTTCATTCCTCCATTTCAATTATTATTATTATTTATTTTATCACACTAACGTAATAAAAAATACATATATATTATACAAATGAAAAAAAGAAGAAGATATATTATATAAATGACAATTTAGTGGGGACAATTATATATTTTTTATAAAAAATTTAGTAAGTCATTATTACAATTGAAATTCTGATGAAGAATTCTTTAAAACAATTTTTTTTAAAAAAAAAATCAGTAAGCATTGTTGAATTTGAAGTAATCAACTACTGCCTTCAAATTACTAATTAAAGTATCAAATTTATGATGGAAAAGAAAAATCTGTTGAAAAAAAGTAGTTGATAGGTTGGAGCATTTCATTCCATTGGGTCAGAATCTATTAGATGAGGTCTACTTGCAAAATTGTAAAATATGATTGTATTAATGCTGCAAAATTGGTTGGACGCTGAAGAGAAACACTCTTATGTTACTAGTAGCTTGACATGGATAACAATCCTATTGTATGTCTATATATATAGAAGAAGAGCTCTCCAAATAGAAGAACAGGAAATAAATCTTCTATAATTTGTCAGTAAGAAATATACAAATATTCCAAAAACTATTAGAGTACTCTAAAGAAATATGCACAATAATTGTTACAGAATGAGAGATTCTTTCGTAAATCTCAAAAGACTGCTACTATGTTAACCAATTGACGAATAGACCTTGATGAGATGATGTCGTGTGGACCGAGCTATTAAAGATTGAAAACAACATGTTGAAACAAATTTTAGAAGTTGTGTATCAAGTGATCATGAGGTGCATTAACTTGAATATCGATTGTTAATGTGCCGGTTATTTTGGAATTATCAGCAGAGTGAAAATTAAGGGGGGAAAGAATCGAACACAAATTGCAAAGGGATTATTTTTGTTCATTTATTTCACCCAAATCAGGGCCATGTCTAAGGACCAAGATATTCTACAGCTTCCACTAAAAAAAATTGAAGTACATGGAAGTCAACCGTAAAGAAAACTCTGCAAAAAAGTGTCTACACAAAAACTTAAAATGAAGGTAGAAATCCATGTTAAAAAATATATATATATATATCTATATAGAGAGAGAGAGTAGAAAAAAAAGACAAAAAACCAGAAAGAGCACCAAAGCATGGTACCTAGTGGTATCTCCGTACTTTTCAAAGCAAAAGGTAAAGAGTACGAGTCTCCCAAAAACCCCAAAACATCGTGGGAATTCTTTGCGGGGAGAAAGATTCTGTTTTTCAGGCCACCGTACCACTAACCAGAATATCTTGTAGGTTTCTTCATGAGATGCAACCAATAAAGTTCTCCCTCTTAAAATACCTTTATCACCAATAGTATGAATATAATTCCTCATATGTGAATTGAATACAATCCTAGCACAGCAGAAAAAACATTTTTCATCTCCAAATTAAGATCACCAGTAACTCTGGAATTCGCACGCCAAGCAATGTGCTCATCAGGCCTAACTAGAATAGCTCCTCTGTCTGTCATCTGACAGGTATCCCACCACGACAATGAAGTCGATGCCTGCTTAACTTCCTTGACATCTATGTAATTCTCCCAAGGTATCAATTCTGTCTTACTTCCTACAACCCCACAATCGGTACCATCTGGCCACATTATACACACCCTGACAGAGACTTTGAATTTCTCCGCCGCGTTGAATGCAGCATGAGCTAGATGATATGACTCCTCCAATGGTGCTACGATAAGAAGAAACTCAATTTTATCTCCACATACAAGATCCAGCGTAGAAAATGTCTCCTACAAGAATAATTTTTTTACGGTAAATCAAACAAAAACAAAATAATCCATCATTAAGAAGTTCCCATGCCTTCTTGATGGACAAGATGGCGTTTGGGATCATAAAACCAGTAATCCCAAGTTAACAGTGGCTGCATGAGCAACTGTACAAAGGTTCCCTGTATTCCATAGTCACAGCTCATAAGCATACACATGCATGGCTGACGTTTAGGGGTGTGAAAGCACCATATCTAATTACCACCCTCCCACATAAAACACAATGTGCACATGCCACAAAACAAATACAAAAACCATACACAGGCTTACCTCACTTGATGGTTTTGATAATACCCTAACATTCATATGAGGCAGCCTTGATCCTGGATCTGCACGGGGAACATAGTCCCGCCTGCGACCAGTAGGTGTTTCTGGTGCATTTGAGACACTTTCACTGTCAGGAACGATTGCCCCTTGAATGTACCTAACATACATGGCTAACAGTTAAATAGGTATTCAGAACTCCCTGAATTGGATTAATAATTTCTCATAATTAAATCATTTCTCCTGAACCCCAAACTGACTGTATAATTTAAAGCAAATAGCGTAAGAAATCTACAAATCATTACTTTAGATAAATTTATCATAGAAAATGGCTAAGTTGAATAACAGATAAGCCATGATCAAATCTTCAAGTTTGTCACACTTAACAATCAGCATGAGTTGATGTTTTGTTTTCCAATTTGTCAATAATATCGACATGTTGCATAAGGCTCCAACATTAACTATGCCACAATAGGCTGAGAATTTCATTGACTCAACCAACTTTGAAATTCGCAGAAGGTCAAGAAATGAGTCAAAAGAACAATTCTAGAGCTGTAGTTAACAAATAACATAATGGCAATACCTGAAACCAAGATCCTCAGCAGGGAACTGGAGTTGAAGGCTCTGTCCTCCTTCAAATATACGCCTCAGTCTAGCAAGTCTCAAAGATCCAAGTGGATTCTTTTCATTCAGAACAGAATCTGAGAGCTGTGCACGACCTAGGGTGAAAATTCCATCTAAAATTGCCCTCTGCAGTTCAGATGGCAATATGGAACCAACCCCACTATTAATAACCCGATGTACTGCCAAATTTAAAAAACAAAATAATGGATCGTGTCACTAACAAGTAAGCCATATAAATGCTTGTGAAATGATAAAATCATAAGATTTGTAAATGTTAAAAAGGGAAGCATAGAATTGTGTTAGTTAACCTGAGTTTGCAACGGATGGATCAAGACCAAGTGCTGCTGGAACCGCCATGGCTGCTCTGAAATTCTCAACACTAAGTGCCGTATTAAAAATAGCAATCTGGTTGGTCATAAATGGGAGGTTTAAGGATTCATCGGACTTGAAAATAAAAGTGCAAGGGGACAATACAGAGAATACAAATTATCTTAACAAAAACTAGTACCGGCTTACGCTCCATTTCGTAAGTGCGGAGAATCGAATATGGAGCAATACCCTTTACTACAGCAGCCAATTTCCAGGCAAGATTATGAGCATCCTGGATGCCAGTATTCATTCCTGCATAAATTATGTTAGGATTTTAAGATGATCACTTCTCCTTCATATTGGCACAGAAGTAAGAAGCATCCTTTATTGACCCACATTATTGAATGCCAAGAACCAGGCTATGGACCCCTTTTTGTGTCCCACCTACAAGGTTTCCCGTAAAAAAGTCCTCCCGATTCAGTAGTTTGAAAATCAAATCTAGAGATACTTCCCCATGCTGTATGCCCTAATGTACGGCTTGTATAAAGATTGTCTGAGGCAATTTCAATCTACCGGGTTCTCTAAGTGAGGGACATATACATACATCCAGAACAACGCAAGGGTGACAGATGTGCCAGACAACAGGGGAAGAACTCTTCCCATCCCAATCATTGTCAGAAAAAGTTAAATTTTATGATGAAGTGGCACTGATTCAAGTTTCAACCACCCATCCCTCTGTGTACCTATAAAGTACCATCATCCACAAAATTGCCAAAAGTTTCTGTGCATGTAACAAATTTTCATCACAAAGCAAATTTCTTCTGATTTCACAAACAAATTACATACCAAAACCACCAGCTGGAGGAAAACGATGAGCGGCATCACCAGCAAGAATTATCCTGTTGTCAAAGGACACAAATTTCTCAGCGACTTCGGCATGCATCACCCATTGCTTTATATCAATCACATCTATGTCTGCAAGCTCTCGGCCAACCAATTTGATGATTAGCCTCTCACACATCTACAACAATATGAACCGTCTAAGAGAACAATTACAAAGCATTACAAATTCTAAGTTCTCTATATCTCATGTGTTTTTTTCCGTTGAAGAGCACAAATAGCATTAATGAAATCTCATTCTCTCAACTTAAATCTAGCAGGAAACCTCAAGCTATCTCCACCATTCTGAAGAAAGGAATATACCTGAGAGTTGAAATCCTCAAGCTTCTGCTGAGGTGGATAGTATGGTATCTGCAAGATGACAAATAGTTATCGGATTGTAATTCTACGGTGCATCTGATAGTCATGTCAGATATCCAAAGGTTGTATTACCTGAAATACAAATTCTCCTTCCTTGAGATCATGAGCAACTAGAACCCCTATAGCTTCAGTATTAAAAATAAAAAATAGCATTCCAGGTCTCTCAGTGAGTAGGTACCACCCAAGGTCTCGGCTCACAAAATGGACACTGACAAGCTTTTGCAAGTCCTTTTCACCTGTCAAATCAATTCCAGCAAGCTTTCTCACTGTACTTCCAGCACCATCACAACCAACAAGGATACCACACTCGATGTTTTTCTCCACATACTTTCCTTCCTTCAGAAAAGATGCAGTCACAGTAACACTACGATCAGTGGCATCAATAGATACACAATCATGCCCAATTAATATCTCCCTTTCTCTGATGGGCCCATGATTGAAACCTTTGGACCCTTCATAAGTATGAACATGGAAGTTGAGGTTTTCAAGCTGCTTTAGTAGTAACCTGGTTAGTTTGTACTGTGAGAAGTGCGCAACAGAGACTGGGCTAACAACTTTCTCAAAATCTGTAGTTGATGAAATATGAGGCTGATTAATTTTGAATCAAGATATCACAATCACAAGTAAGCAAATTAGGAAATATCTTTTGCTGTCTTACAAGTCAGGCTACAAGTAAATTAAACACACCTAAAACTTGGTTACAGTTAAAGAAATATCCCCATTTACACAAAATAATAAAATTGCTCAATCATCTAGTCTCTTCATTCCTACTTATAAAAAAATCTAGTCTCTTTAGTCCTATGAGCAAGACTGAAGAGTGTCGAAGAACAAGCTTAAGAAAAGCTGCCTTCTAAGTGATTATTTTGGAACGTCAAAGAGATTAATCACACCTTGAGGTTGCATATGGTCTACTGACCCGAGGATAGAACCAGAGAGTGACGTGCAGTATATAAATTTTCTCCACAAATCTACTGGTGGTTGGGACTTTTGGATCTCCTCTGCCAGTCCATCCAATTTGCGGAACACCTGACAAGGAACTCTACGTTAAAACTACCGCAAGTGAATTTAGAATTTTATCAAGCAGCATTTTGCATCATCAGGAAAAACAACCTCCATAGACCGATTGTTGATAAAATGTGCTTGTGGATGATTAGAAAAGGTCTTGCTTTTCTCCAAAACTCCACATTTGATCCCTACAAAAGGGCATGAAGCAAAAGTGATACGAAACACTGACTCCAACTTCACCCAAATGATAGAAAATCCAAAACAACAAAATCAGAAAGAAGAAAAAGAAATTGACTGAAGTATGTGCATTGACATATCAGAGAGAAAGAAAGAGCTGAACACTATAAATTTGCAGCAGTTATAAACACAAGTCCTGAGTGTTGCAAGTTTCATTACCAATAAGATAAATCATGAAACCAGCTGTTAAATTGAATCTTGTTAGCAAGGAAAATAACAGGCAAGCTCAACTACACGAGGTCTTCTGAAACTCTAAGAGCAAACTAAAAACCACTATATATGTGTGTGTATGATATAGTTTACAAAACAGTGAAGCAGAGTAAACAATGAACCATAATAGGCTAATAGCTCACATGGATCTTCGAGAAAAATACAAGGAAAAAAAAAGATGGAAATTCCGGATCCAATATCAAGTACGGGTTGTAAATATAGTTTTATGCTTTGGAGCATTAATTTTCCTTTCCTACTCCTACATTTTCTCAGCAACCAAACAAAGTATACGAGTTTGGCCAAAAACGCAAAAAGGGGTTCGAAGAATACCTAATTTGGTGAGGAGTATAGAGAGAACGAGTCCAACAGGGCCAGCACCGACGATCAGAACCGGCAAGATCGAATCGTGGCCGTTGAAGTAGTTGGAGTCTGAATGTAAAGCCCTTTTTCGCGAGGACTCGAACAAGTGTGAATTGACTAGGGTTTTGATAGTGTAGTTTCCATCGAACCTCCTCGTAAACCCTAACAGCCTCATCGGAGAAGGAAGGACGTGTTCGGAGGTCGACCATTGAAGGTTACTTCAAGAAAATTGAAGCAAATTATACTGGTTATACTTCTCCATAACCAAAAAACATTAAAATAAAAAAATAAAATGTATTTTTCTGTTAGAGCGACGTCGTTCCGGGATTTTGCACTATGAACCTTTGGATTTCAATCTTTCATCCTAGCCGTCCATATAAAAAATAAGTAAAAAGTAATGGATATTTGGTTGAAATTATATCATTTTAGTTTTATGGATCAAACTAAAATGCATCATATTGATTAGTGAGTTGTGCTGATTTCCAATTGTAATTAGTGTTTTCAAAATATTGAAATTTTTTAACGCCTTGAAATTTGGATATTTTTTATCGCTGTAATACGTTACATTATAAAATTAAATTATAATATAATTTAATTATTATGTAAATGATATGAAATTATTATATAAATTATGTAAAGATACAACTATTAATGATTTAGAGCCCTGAAAAAAAAAAAAAAAAAAAAAAAAAAAAAAAAACTTACTTAAAAAAAATTAAAAAGAGGAAAAGGAAAATCAAAGTAATCCTTTGGCGCACACAGAAGTACAAAACAATTTAGAAGCGTATGCGGTCGCGACTTCGCTTTTCTGGTAGATACTGGCGGAGTTGGGGATAGCGGATTTGAGGACACTCGCTCTATCTCTGTCTCTATCTTTCTCTCTCTACAATCGCATCTTTTCAATCGGTAAGTCCTTTGAATCTCGCGTGACAGAGACACCAACAACTGTCAACAATTTTATAGGTTTTCCATTTCAGTTTCAATTCTTCGATTGTGTTCGATTATTAGGATTTCGATTTCGAGTCCCTCTGTAAAATTTGGATCATCTCCACCACGGAAAGTGAATATCTTTGAACAGGTATACGCAGTTTCACTTTTTAGTTTCATATAGTCCTCAGATCTGCGATTGATTCAATTTAGGGTGTTGGATTTTTTTTAGCTCTGAATATTGGGTTTGAAATTTTGATCTGAATTGGTGGAGTTGGATTGGTGATAATTTAGGGTTATTGTTTAATTTGATAAGCAAAGATTTTTTGTACGGGCAATTGGATTGTTAGGTTTTCATATTTATGGCGGCAGGAAGACGTGGGAATTTTAGCAATAACGAATCCAGAGTCCGTGAGTCCGAATTTGAGGTGTCAAGGCGGGTTTTTGCTTATTCTAGGGGAGAATATGATCGGATTAGGAACGGTGGACTTGATTATGAGAGGGATCAGATAGGTGACCGGGGTATGGGTGCCAGGGTTAGGGTTAGGGTTAGACAGAAGGATATTAAAGAGAGGGAAGTCATAAATGATGGGTACCACTTGTCTTCAAGTAGGAGTAATTCAGGGAGCAGTGGTGACGGTGCAGTTAGAGCTGAGGACCGAGAGCCTGGTGAATTGTCGAGTGAAAGTGGGTCTGATGAGGCCATTGATATAGAATCACATGTTGAAGATAATGAGGTTGATAAGTTAGAGAATGGGACTCGGTCACATATGGAGAGTAAGAAGAGGAAGTTTTCTCCAATTGTTTGGGACAGAGATGCTAAGGACACGAGCAATTCATCTGAGAGTAGAATTGCCCCGGTAGCTACTACCTTTCGTCCTCCGCCATCGCTGCCTAGGTCCTACCGGCAGTCATCAAATGTTATTCTGGACAAGGGTGTAGAATTTTCTTCCTTGGAAAATGGTAAGCTTCCATCCTCAGAAGCTTCACCGGTTGAGCCTACTTTGGCATTTGGATCACATGTATCTGCTCCATCTGAATCTCCACTAGGTTTATATTCTTCTTCGCCTGGGGAGCAGCGCTGGGGTAATTATCACAAAGCAGAAGAACTAGGAGATGAAGAATATCCACTGATGCGGAATATATCAGCCTCTCGTTGGGCAGATGATGTCAATTCACCTGCTGTTCGAGGTGAATTTTCAGATGATGAAAAAATGCCCAAGAAGAGGAAGAAGACGCCTCTTTCTGAGTTAGTTGAAACCAGGTTACAGAATAAATCACCGAGTCCTGAGCTTGGGGAGGTTAAGAGAGAAGGCTCTGAAGGAACTACAGTGAGGTCATCTGAATCTGAAGAAGGAGGTGTCCGTGTTAGGTCATCTAGAGGAGATGATTACCCTGACAATGATTTGGACACTGATGACTACATGGAGATAGACGAGGAACGCTATAACAATGGTACTAGTGTTAGCTACTCAGATGCAGATTCTGAGGATGAACGTGGTTCCCTTGATACGCCAGAGGCTGCTGCCCCCCTACAAAGAAGTGTAAACATGCTTCAGGGGTGTAGAAGTGTTGAAGAGTTTGAGAGACTGAACAGGATAAATGAAGGCACTTATGGGGTCGTGTACAGAGCAAGAGATAAGAAAACAGGAGAAATTGTTGCATTGAAGAAGGTAAAGATGGAGAAAGAAAGAGAAGGTTTTCCGATGACCTCTCTGAGGGAAATAAACATACTTCTTTCTTTTCATCATCCATCAGTTGTCGATGTTAAAGAAGTTGTAGTGGGGAGTAATCTTGATAGTATTTTTATGGTAATGGAATACATGGAACATGATCTCAAGGGACTCATGGATACGATGAAACAGCCATTTAGTCAGAGTGAAGTTAAATGCCTAATGCTTCAGCTATTGGAGGGTGTCAAGTATCTTCATGATAACTGGGTGCTTCACCGGGATTTGAAGACATCAAATCTGCTTTTAAATAATAGGGGTGAGTTGAAGATTTGTGACTTTGGTTTGGCTCGTCAATATGGAAGCCCATTGAAACCATATACTCATTTGGTTGTTACTCTTTGGTACAGGTCAGCTTCACTTTATTTGCGCATTTTCTTCACTTACGTTTTACATAATTATGCTTTCGTTTTGTTGTTTGTTTATTCCATGCTGTTTTTTGCAAGTTTCATCTCATCTCTCTCTCTCTCTTTCTCTCTCTCTCTATTTTAATTGATTTTGTGTATCTGGTTAACTGGAATTTTTGGTGCTTCTTCACAACATTGCTTTGTGAGTGCATTTACTTGTGTATGTTAGGGTTATTGGAAGTTAACTGTGTACTCTCAGTTGATGCATTCCACGTTCCAGTGCTGTTTTTGTTGTCAAGTTGTTAATCATGCAGGATAGGTTTTCTTTTTGAAATTCTTTTAGCTGTGCTGATGTTTGAAGCACACAACTTCGCAGGCAGATGTTGATTAGAATGGTTAAATTATGTAAATGATAATTTATAATCATGTAAATTCTAGTAGCATGGAGTGTTACTTCATCATCGCTATCATTGTTTGTCTGCTTACTTTACATTGGCTGTATTAGACTTCCTTAAGGCTTTGTTTGGATAAACATGAGAGAAAAGAAAAGAAAGGATAGCATTAGTTATAAAGAGAAAATAAAAGAAAATAAAGGATAGCAATAACCTTTATTCATGTTTGGATAAATTACGAGAGAAAAGAAATGGAATGATAGTATTCTTGTTTGGAAAAGATAGAGGAGAGAAAAGAAAAGAAAGGATAAGAATTAAATTACTATCATAACCTTTTTATAAAATGTTATGACAGTCAAATGTTATAAGAGGGTAGTTTCGGGATTATGAAAATACTACTTACTCACTATCCTTTCCCTCCAAATCTTCTCGTTTTTGGGAGGATAGCGCATGATGGATTTGGAGGGATAGCTATCCAAACACGATTTTCAGTATCCTTTATTTTCTTGTCTTTCCAAATCACTCAATCCAAACGAAGCCTAAGTATTTAATTCACTCTATTTTATATGTTCTCTTAATATGATATGTGATTATATTTTTCTCTGGGAAAAAATGATTTAGTTATTTTATTTCTTTTTTTACAGGGCACCCGAGCTTCTGTTGGGAGCAAAACAATATTCAATGGCAATCGATATGTGGTCACTGGGTTGTATTATGGCTGAACTGTTATCGAAGGAACCACTCTTCAACGGGAAAGCAGAGTTTGAACAGCTTGACAAGGTAAAATTAGTTAGTTGACTTGACCTCCCTTCAGTACCTATTGATACTCAAGTGCAAGTTCTGAATTAATGTTATTTATTTTACTTAATTTGGTCTAATTAGTTTCTTATCGGTTTTCCACAACTGCAGATATTCAGAACCCTTGGCACGCCAAATGAGACAATTTGGCCTGGGTTCTCTAAGCTTCCTGGAGTCAAGGTGAAGTTTTGCAAGCATCAGTAAGTATATGTTTTCTGTAAATCCAATTTTCAACTAAGTTGATTGTACATTCATGTTTTCTTATTTTTCGCACTGTTTTCCCAGGCTTCCAGCTTTGGGTGATTCTGGTCTGGCTTTCTGGCCTCCATTGGTGACAGTTTCAGTTATACAACAAATATATCATGTTTCTATTAACCAGTGACTTATTCGTGTCAGGTATAATCTATTGCGTAGAAAATTCCCTGCTACATCTTTTACCGGCTCTCCAGTTCTCTCTGATTCTGGATTTGACTTATTGAACAAGCTTCTAACTTATGACCCTGAGAAGGTAATTTATACTAATTGTTTATCATATATATTTTTGATAAGTCATACACAAATGTTATCATTGTTTTTATTTTTAAAAAATTTAGTAAAGCTAATTATGGGGGCCTGTGGCAAATGTGCAGCGGGTAACAGCTGAGGCTGCTCTTAACCATGAGTGGTTCCGCGAGATTCCTCTTCCCAAGTCTAAAGATTTTATGCCTACTTTTCCCGCTCAACATGCACAAGACAGGTATATTTAACTTTACAAATCAGGAGTTGCCGGAACGATGAATAAATTTTAGTTGTATATTTGGATTTGTGAAAAAAAACTGACATTTTGTTTACGTGATTGTTAGACGAATGCGAAGGATAGTGAAGAGTCCAGATCCTCTGGAAGAGCAACGTCGGAAGGAGTTGCAGCAAGCGGAATTAGGGACAGGTGGTTTGTTTGGCTAAGAGAATTTTATTGGTGCCTAGATGCATTTGATCTTTATGCTTCAGTTTCTACAGTACTCACAAACTGACATAGTGAGGTGAGGGCCGTGTGTTGAGAAGAAATTGTGAAATTTGTTTGCAAGACGATCATTCGTGCTGTTTTTTAGCAGGCACCCTTGATGATATGGTCGAGAAACGGATTTTTTTCCTTTCTTACTGCATGCCAGCCCGATTTCTTGCAGGTTGACTTTGTTCTCATCTTTGGCCATTATATAGAAATGCATAGTGACACTGAATGCATCACAAGGTGTGGCATAATGGCCTTTTTTTCAGAAACTGTTTAGTCGAAAATTGTGTAACATATTTCCATTGTCATATTGTAAACAATTACTTTAAAAGTTGGTTTTGAATACCAGAAGAGTATGAATTTACTGCATACTATCTGTTCTATCCTTTTTAATCTTCATATTGTGTTTGCAAGAGAAGGTTGGTGTAATGTGGAGAGGGCATTCTTAGCTTTTCATTGATGACGAATTTGACAGAAACTATTGCACTTTGAAGGTAATAATAAATTTGCCATATGTGGAATGTAATCTTGGATCAAGAATTTGCTTTTTATCCATGTAGAATATGTCTCCATTACATATATTATAATATAAGCATGCTTAGATACTTGTTAGAGGCTTAATTATGCTTTGCTCTGCGTCTTTTTCTGACGTCATACTACTTGTACAACATCTTGGCACCATGGGGGAGGAAATGAATGATGATACAAGAGATAATCTCGTCATTAGAGGAGCAATGCTGATTGTTGTGTTAAGATCAACTAATAGATAATAACATTGACTTAGAAAATAAGGCTAACTGCTCACTCTCTCTCTCATGCGCGCACACCTGCACACGGACACACTTCTCTCTCTCTTTAACTCGAGTTGGAGTCTCTTTAAAGATGTTCTCTGTGTTGCATAATTTATTAAAGATCCAAATGCCTCTTCAATTATTGATTTTGAGACTTTGTTATATGGACTTGGATATATGTATACAAGGTAAGGATTATTTGTTTGGCCTCCATTAAGTGTCAAACATTAGGGTAGAAAAACTCTACTAAACTTAATAAAGCCTTTCCTCAACTATTTGGTATCTCTACATGAAAACATAAGGATACATAGATGGCTAAATAAATATTCACAAATTTTTATTTAATATGTTTCTTTTATAATTTAGGGCAATTATTTATTTTTTATTTTTTTATTTTTAACATGTACTATTGAGTGTTCAATATGAGACTTCATTTGTTTCGAATATATACTTTTATAAATTATCGGATATACTTGTTAGGTGCATTGCCAATTAGACATCTTGGATCCGTCTTAGGTCCATGTTTCATGTGTTGTAGGGGTACTTAGCACTCTTTTAATATTTATTTTCGATGAGTATTAAGTGACCACTGAAAAGGCACCTTAAGTGATATAATATTATATATATATATATTGTTACTTGAACTACAGAGGCAATCATTTAATCAATCGAATGGAGAAGGCACTTTTTATAAAACAAAATAAAAGTTGGGTGGTGGTGGTTGGGGAACTTTTTGGAAATTGAGATTCTTAATGTGTTTTTCATTGTATATAGAAGTGTGAATTCTTTATTATTGACTGGGACTTGTAAAGAAAATGACGAAGCTCATACGACGGGATCAGTTTCTAGATTTTCCGAAATCATTTCTTTCATATGTGGCTATTAGCTTCCTTACCGGAAAATGTAAAATCAACTGAATGTAATGGCCCCTTTTAAGATGATGAACTTGTAAAGAATCACATATGCAAACTAAGATGAATAAGTTTATTTGATGGACATCTTAGGCTTGGCCACTGCTTGTTAGTTAATTAACTTGTCACAACCAAAGTTTCCTTTGTTTACACCAGATTATCCACAATGAGGCTGATTAACTTATAAGCTAGGGTTTTCAATCAGAAACACAGTCAATACATCCCTGTGGACAGACTCCTTAAAATGGTATTGATATCACTCCATGTTTGAAGTAGTACATATTTAACTGTATGAACACAGTAGTTCATTTATATTGTCCCTCTAATGTTGTGGCTTGGGTTCAGGTTTTTACATAATTGTATGAATTCGATTCTTACCAAATTAATTAAAAATAGTAATCAGTTATTGGCATCTTATTGACAATCTTCTTGTTAGTGAAAGAATGTCTTCATTCATGATATCTTTTATGTATATTTGAGCTGTTATGTTGGTCCGTTCAAACTTAAATATGTTAAATCTCCCAATCGAGTGTTATCACTCCTCATACAATAACCTTATAAGAATTCATGAGAAGAAAATATGATTCTGTTATTGTTGTCCTTCTGTTAGTTTGTTTTGTATTTGTGGTGTGAAAAGATTTAAGCTTTTAATAGTTACAGCCTGTGGAGCTTTTATGACATTTGTCTGCAAATGCCACTGCAGTATCAGAGCAAGCAGGTTGAGGAGGTTTCCTGCACATCCTGGAATATTTAGAATTTCCAATTGTGTTTTCAGTTCTTCAGAAACTGATTTTGTCCCTTCACGCTCAATAGAGGTACCATACAACCCTTGGTTTTGTTATAATGTACATTAATTAATATGATTTTCATTTGTTTCTCTTCTAACTTTCCTTTTTATTCTTCGGAACTCTGTCAGGGTATAATTGCATTTAATGTCTTGCATTAGTAATGCAACCATTTATATTCAAAAGAAAATTTTAATGCACTCGAATGTGTGGAAGGAATAAGAAATGGCTTATCAATTCCCCTCTTGACTGCACAATTTTAAGTTTCAAAATTTTACTATAGACCACTTTTTTGCCATTGATTTCTAATTGAAGATCGCAAAACATGCACGCCAAATGCTTTTACAATTTTATGTGAAATTGGTTGGAGGAGCAATGGAATAGGTTCTTTATTTTTATTTTTTTTATAATACATTTTTGAAATGATATCAAATTTATTAAATGTTACATGTGATTTAATAGCTTTGCTCTTAATATGATTTGACTTCACAAAATGCATTGTAGTGCATCCAGGTGGTACCAAGATCATCTCTTAACTTTACTGTTAGAGGGGCCTAGGGGCTCTAAGACCATTGCTTTTAGCGGGAAAAAGATAAAAGTGAAATGTTTTTCATGGGTGCAACTTGGGCTGGGCAGCTTGAACTCAAACCTAGCCCAAGCCCAAGCCGTTGTTTCATGGGCAACCATTTTTTGCTTAGATTGGGCTTGGTGTGAAAATTTCCAATTAAAACTTGATTTGGGTTAGCTAGGCTCAGGTTGAGGTGTCACCACCCTGAACCAAACCTGAATGGTACAAATGAGTTTAACCCCAATTCTGACTTGACTATTTATATATTTACAAATTTATTTATTATAATATATTTTCATAATCGTGAAGATCCTTTTTCTTAGTCATTTTTCCTCCTTGTTTATTATTCCTTTGGAAAATTAAAATTTTGAGTGTTCAGTTATAATCTTTATGTATTTAAATTCAGTTTTTAAACCCATCTCGAGGCTAACCTCAGATTAACCCAATTTTTAGTCTGATTCTTATAATCCAAGCTCAACCCATTTTTAAAAATTTAAACATGAGTTAGGCTTGGTTGGGATGCTTGGAGTGAAAATCAGGTTAGGCTGGGCTTGGGTTTTAGGTTTCATGCCTGGAATTGAGCTTGTCCACCAAACCTGGCCATTCTATTAATCCCTGATTCCCAATTTCAGATATGATGCAATGATATTCCAGATTGTAGTTATATTATGGGAGGGAGAGAGGGTGGGAGGGATGATTTTTTTTATTTTTTTCATCTAATCTTTATGTGAGATGGCTCATATATGACCAATGGTCGGACGGAGGGAGGGATTTTCATTTGACAACTAATCTATTTGTGGGAGGGCTCAAATGAGTGCTGCCTGAAGGGATGTATATTTTTTCATTTTTGAACGAGCCTATTCGTGGAAGGGCTCATATGACCTCTGGAATTTTCTATTCTTTTCTTTCTTCCTTTTTAATCTCACGAGTTCCAAGTATATGCAAAAGTCTTAGCTATTTAAGCTGTTATCTTTGGTTTGTTGGCGTGATAATGTTGTTATTTTTGTACTACTTACCATACCTTTTCATTGTGGTTCTGTGTCCTGCAAGTCCTAGTGTTTGTATGCAGCCCTTCCATGCAATTGGTTTTTCCCTCAACTCTGGAAGTGATGCACTGCTCTTAACCTTTCTTTTGTATTTATATGGCTTGCTTTAGTGTAAAAGCAGAATGGTGAAGGAGGCTTCATTGACACCAAATAGCTGATATCGCGGATTTTTATGTGAGAATTTGGATTAACTACTTGAAAAACTTTGTTCAGCATTGGTTTTATTTGATCTCCAACTTCACTCTGACATGCCCTTTGTGAGATACATAATAGCTTATTAGCTTTATCTAAGGGGTGCACTGTTTTGTCTGATCATGAAAGATGGTTTAAGTTCCCAACATCATTGATCCACACTATGGTGTGCCCTTGTGTCAAGAAATTTTAGGGGTGCTTCAAGTAGTATGAATTATTGAATTTCGTTATTTGGTTAAAATCGATTTCGAAATACTCATATTTGATGTACATCAAATTAAGCCCGTATATTATGCACAAAACCCACGAATTGTCCCTACGATTTTCATTGTGTTGAAGGCTAGGTCAACATAATGATACATATTTATACTGTTAAGTTCATGTGGTGCATAGTTAGACATACATTTTATTCGACTCAGAGTTATAGTCTATAAAAAATATTTAGTTGCATCCTCTGTACTGTATTATTATTATCTTTTGTCAAAAGTCTTGTCCTTATGCTGATTATTTAAAGCCATCTATATTGTAATTCGTGAAGTATAAGCAATTTTTTTCTCAATGCAACATTGACCTCCCTTGTGTTGAATATTGATTACTTCACATGTAAAATTGTTATTATTTTTTTAATTTCATAATTTGGAACTATTATTTTTTGCATATAAGATTGGATTTCCAATGTATGTGGTACATTTATGGTGGCTCCTAGTTGTCTTTGCAAATAAATATCTGTCAATTGCTGGATTAGCAAACAGTTACGCAAGGCTGCACCATGGGCTGGTTCTGTTAACCATAGGTTATTTGGGATTAAAAAATCCTGATCACACTCGCTTAATTCGGGACCTTTAGCTCATTGAGATCAATCCTCGAGTACTTGTGTGATGTTATTGTTTCATTTGGCTCTGTTCTGGCAATTTGGTTCTCTGTTTTCTCTTTTTGTTGTATTGTTCGGATCTGGTGGCAGAAACAATGAGGAAAAATGAATCAAATTGGAAGCCATTGCAAAGGACATCACCCAGTTTTGGTCCCGTCACTGCGGGGTTTTTAAGTAGGGAGCCTTTGGGATTTGATGAAGTGGTTGTCCGGAAGTTTGAACTTGGGCTAGTGGTACCGATGCTTAAGCGTTTTAACTGCTAAACGAGACAATGACCATCACATGGATATGAATCATGATAAGAAAAGAGCCTAACGCATTTTTTGAAGGAAGAAGGCCTTATAAAACAATGGGCTAGCCTGGCCTGCCTATTTCCCAAACGGTGGCTTCTCTATTTTTAGTACAATTCTTGTACATTTGGTTTACATGGTTCAACAGGGAGGACTAGCTGCAATATTTTGTTCTTTGTTTTTTAATTACATTAATAATCCTATCATATGCGATGCTATTACATTAATAATCCTATCATATGCGATGCTGTTACTCTAATTCTAAGTTGATATATATATAATATTTTAAAGTAAAATATACATTATAATGTGGTGGGGTTAGGTTATAATGAAAATTCAAAATTTATTTATCCAACTTAATTTTAAAGTACAAATAAAAATTAGCTAAATGAGAATTTTGTATTAGTGATGATATTCTTTCTATAGAATTTTCCATCCGTTCTACTGTAAATTTTTGTTTCTTTCCAAATTGTCTTGATTATGTGTGATGGTGAAGAAGATTGTTTGAGAACATATAATTAGTTGTTTATACAACTTTTTGAATTTTGGTCATTGTGTTCTTTCTTCTCTAAATCAATGGACTTTATATTTGTAGCCATCAACAAAAATGAAGATGACTTCAAATAAGAGCTCTAGCCCTATTGGCATATATACTGCTACTTATGGACGGGTACGTTGGATTCTATGGTTAAGATCTACTTCCTAGAACTCTACTAAAATATCTAAATTACTAAAATATTTAAATGGCAAAGTCTAGTGTTTTCTAATCTACAAATGAGGAAAGAGGAACTATTACAATACTTATTTATGGCGTCAATTTTGATTTATTTTCTTACATTTATTCTAAGGTTGGTTTTTTTCGATGAATCAATTCTTGCGCTTATTCAACACCACATTTTGATATGAATTACTACGTATAAACGAAACATATTGCTTTTGAAAGTTCTATAATATTTTTTTAATTTTTATATTATATATTTATTTTATTTTTATCAGTACTAGGTTCAAGAATAATCAAAATTAAAATAAAAAACAATGAATTTGTGAAGCCATCTTCACATATTTAATTTTTACATGGACCGACTTTTTTTACAGCAGCATCCCACACAATGCATCACATCAACTGAAGTGCCTTTCTTCCGTGCTTTCGGTCTGTATGAACATTTCCACAAGTACATCACACGAGCATACAATATGTGAACTTCCAATGGTGGATTACAGGACGCAGTCAGAAGATGGAAGTGGTATGTTTTTCGGTCTTATTGACGTTGTAAGTGATGATGACCTCTCACACACCACTTGAAAATGAACCGGAAGTGTGTAACGATTTCAACCAGTCACCCGAATTGATAGGTCCTGATGTGGTGGAGGGAAGATGTTTTGTGACAGCAGCAAGATCATGGAAAAAAATTCACTCAGAAGTGAAAACTACCGTCTTCCCGAGCACGAAGAGTACCAGCGAGAGTTGAATGAAGAAGATTGTGCTGATGAGACCCCGATCAACGGTCCATCCAAATATTGTGATCCCCCCCGGATTGGTCTGCAAATACAATACTGCATAGCCAATCAAAATGACCAAGCATTACATTCATATGAATATAGGATAGCACAAATTTATACCGGCAACTATCAAATGAAACGAACATGTTACCATTAATTTGGAAGTGACATCCTAATCACCACATAGGGCATTTATTTTCAAAACCAACAGCTCAAATAATTTGGGATGACAAATTAAGTTTGATTCATTGTATCATCATCTAGCATTTAACTGAGTCAACTCAACCGACTAATTAATCAGTGATGCATGAAATTTTTTTATATTGGATTCCACGCATTTTAGTAATGGAATATCCATTCAGCCATTGTTGAAAAGCATATAATACAAGGCCACCATTGTGTGTTCGTCTCCTTCAAGTGAAGATGCAGAGTGCAATGAGTGTCTGAATCGGCATCGAATTACCTATACCATTATTTGCAAAGTGGTTGCTCTCAAATTTGAACCATTGGCTCGAGCTTTTACCACTAAAAATATATTTCATACTTAGTAACCTGAATTCAATTGAGTATTATTATTATTATATTCTTTTGAAAAGGGGGGTTTAAGAAACAGAAATTAGGCATATCGTTTAATAAGACAGAGTTAAGAATTAACTACTTTAAAGGCACATTTGGAGTTGCATACTTCATATATAACATTTTACTGCATGAAATCTTACATATTATGGATAAGACGCATTCTTCATTTATTTGAAGATCAAGCGAAAAGGAAAATCATATATTCATGTTTTAGTCGACAAAGTTGCACACAATTTTAGTTTCTCTTTAGTGCCCTATAAATCAATAGTTGATTGTTTTATTAAGTACATTTGAGCCGATAAAATAGTAAAATTAGGATAATAGAATATTTTAGTTTCTATCCTCGTGCTCTATATAACCTCCTCTGTAACACGCCTGGTTGTAGAACAGGAGGGACGAGAGTAATAATAGTAATAATATATGAAATAAACCGCAATCATCCTCTGCGCCTAGCCTAAGTATGTAGACCATGTGGCTGCTCATCAGGATCTCCATCAATCCTTCTGCCACACATTTTTCAAAGTGTGTCGTGTTGGTTTCCAGCTTTTTATTTATTTATTATTTTTTATAGATAAAAGTTAATTCTCCATTTATTACTTTGAATTGTAATGCTACAATTATCACTTTTCTTTTACAATGCTACCAACTGTGTACTAGATTACAATGTCAGGGTAAGCATTCCAGATTGAGGGCAAGAAGTCACATTGTATAAATCCACTCTAAAAAGCTTGGAGTCCTAAAAGGATATGCAGACCAATGAGAGACATCGAAAAGTGTGTGGTAGGTTTTTGATGTGTTGTTATTATGAAAGGAAACACAATTGAGGTTTTTGATATTATAATCCATGGTTTAGGATTCAAAAACACCATATGCTTACTTTCAAGCTTGTGGGTTAAGCTGAACATGTTATATGATTATCATTTACGGAACGGAAAAGCTTTACCAAGGTCATATGTTGAATCCATATAAGAGAAGAAATTATGGAATTAAAGAACAAAATTCAAGAAACTGAAAGTAAGATCTGATTTACGTACCAAAGGCTTGTCTCTTGTGGTATGAGGACATATAAGAAGCCAACTGTGTATTTCTCGGCATTGCAATAGAATCCAGTGACTCCAAATCACTTTCTGAATTGTGTATATACAACGAGCCCAATGTACTTGCAGCTTCCAAGTTTCCCACGCTATTTGACAGTCTTAATTGAGATGCATTCGAAGAACTGCATGTTAATGAAGCATGCCAAATACTCGCGATTGATGCAATGCCTTGGGCTCTATGAGAGATTTTTGCAGCACCATTTAAGCAAAGAATTATTCCCACAACTTGAACAATGGAGGACACCTGAAACGCCAGATTTAAAAAAAAAAAAAAAAATTTCAAAGCTTAAATGAGAGGAGCAACTAGATTCTAGGAGAAAGATGCAACGAAGTATGACATCCAAAGGCTCATGTGCCCCACTTAATTACTATAAATGTTATTCGGTGACAACCGAATGTGTAAACAAAGGCATTAAGGTGGACTTTCACGTGGCAATGAGCAAACAAGCCGACTGTGATCATTTGAAAGTAGGGGCACTAGAGGTGAAATATCAACAAACGAAGAATATGAGAAGTTTATAGGTGGGTGATTGCAATAAGTGATAGGACTTATCCCAACATGTTCCCTGTTGTGAGTAGTAGCATCAACTTAACTAGTAGGAGGCAAATATAACTTCCAAGGGAATGCAGCTTTGTAGACCATTTTCGTAGCAAACCATACCGGAAGCCTTCTATTACCAACCACCAAATGGAGCTTAAATCAGGAAAAGAACCATACATGAATGATGAAGGCCATATAAAAGAAACATGTTGGAATGAACTTACTGCAAAGTCACCGCCATTTACGAAAGTTATTATTCCACTGTATCCCGTTGTTTGGAATAAAGTGACAAACTGGCTTGCTGTTACAACCAAGAATGCTAGAAGCAGATAGATTCGGAACCTATGGCTTATTTTGGAGAGATGATAACGCAGACGAGCGTGCTCCTCTATAAATACCAAAACATCAGATTCTCTTTCCAAGAGCTTCCCGTAATCTTCAAAGTGGACAATTTGCAAATTGCAGACCAAATGGAACAATATGCAGGCTGATAGAAAGATTGTGGCCAAATAAGTCCATGACATAACCAAAGCTAATAGAATAACAAAAGAATGCCACCATGATTCATGACGGACACATAAAATGCGGACAACTTCGCGTGCAGTCTTCAGAACAAAGCATGGCACTATCCACATTACAAGCAATCGAACAGAATCCTGCCCAAATAAAATAATCATACAACTTCAATATTGCAGGGAATGAAACCGTAAAAAATGGCATCATACAACTTCAATATTGCAGGGAATGTTGCGGTAAAAAATGTCAAGCCATACATCTAATCACACAGAACATTGTCCAAATTGCACAACAAACTTCATGATCATGGTAGATAAAATAAAATTTGTTGCTGATAAATTATAATACGAAGGTATGAAAAGCCAACAAAGATGCTGTGCAATTAATATCAACCAAGGAAAGATATTGAATTATATTAATCTTTATCACCATATGGACCTAATGACTTGAGGAGTGCACAGCATTGCGTATATAAATTTTAAATTATTCAGTTCTAATATGTGGTCTAGAGATGTTGAATCATTGTTGCAACCTAGCTTGGTAAACAAATAGGAGTAATGTGCAACCTGAGAGTTCCAATTTGCAAATGGGAAAATGATCAGAGACTTTAAGTTCGGTATTATACCGTTCTTGGTCTTAGTTTTGGAAAACAGACAACCATCTTACCATAAGATACACTTCCTTTCATAACCATTTAAACATTTTACCTATTTCACAGATATAATATGAAAAATTGAAAGCAAAATAAGACATATAACTTGATTCATATTCAAAATTCATAATAAAGACCATAAACTCCAATTACTGAAATAAGCTAAGAAGTTCTTTTTTTTAGTTCATCATTACCAATGTTTTCAAACAAGGGATCCAAATACAAGAACAAAAATAGTATTTGTGATTTCAACACCTACTCTCAATGTGTAATTAAAACATCCACGGACTAAAAACTAAGTTTTCTTTATCAGCTGTAAAAGAAGTTCCCAAGGAAAACCAATTAGTATATCCTTCAGCTAAACTAATTCAATCCCCTATCATCATCAACCCAACTCCACACACACAAAAACACACACACACACACACACATGACTAATACAATGAACAGGGCAATGCTTACCGAAATCTTCTGAATGTAAACGTCGCGAAACCGGGCCATTTGGCCACTGTAACGATCAACAAAGAGAAATTTCCTAATGCCATACTTTCTCAAATTGTGGGAAAGGCAAAGTAGAGACACAGCAGCCAAACAAGCCTGCAAAGCAACAATATTGAGCTCAAAATCTTTGATTTGGTACTTGTCACAACCAGAACAATTGGAGAGCTCTAGAACAGCAACCGGGAGTGAGACCCCAATCAGCAAAAACTTCACCCACGAGACTCCAAAGCTCAACACAGAGGATTGCTTGAATCCCAACAAAGTGAGAAACAATTCCAATCGTTGAAGGGTCCTATCAAGATGTGTATCAAAATCTTCTTCTTTTGGGCGTTCTTGGGTTTGTTCTATGTCAATGAGCAAAGGGGTTTGGTCCTGAGGTTTCGATTCCTCTGTTTCTACATGTGGATCAGCCATTGATGAGAGCTAAATTTGAAGTAGATTGAGACGATTAGTCAAATTTGAGGTTTTTGAAAAGAAGAGAAATGAAATCAAAATGTGTATATAAATATATATATAGTTTGATGCACGTTAGGTGATCGAGAGGTAGTCGTTGGGTTTGATTACGAAGGGTGATTATGCGAAATGAACGGTTTGATATACAAATAAGGAGGGTATGATATTGTTTGTTGCGTAGTATGTGATTATGGTCTCAGATTTTCCCTCGTGTCCTACCGAATGATAGCTGAAACAAACAATTATATGTATCTATAATAGGAGTCTAATATATGTATTAACATATATGTATCTATAATTCTATATACACACGCAGTCACAGAATATCAGCTTTTGCAGATAGTAGGCCTAACCCTAATTCTGTGATCGTTTGAGTTTTCTTACAGGGGACAAAGATTCGGAATCGGAGCTAAAAGCGAGACCGGGTTGAAGAGACAGCCCGGTTGGAGTTCCGGGCGTTGGGATCATTACATTTGGTGATTGTTCAATGGCAATGATGGGGGATAGGTGGTGTGATGATGGACGGCTGTGATTTCATTGTTTGTTGACCTGGCAATACGATGGGCTTTTCTGGTTCGGGAGGCTCCGAGTTTTAGTTGGCGAGCAATCTAGAAGCTTCTTTAAATTTCAATTTTTTATTGGAGGGAAGTGATGATGTAATCTATGTCGCGGTGGAGTCCAGCTATCTTAGACCTAGTCTATGAAAGAGACGATTCAGTCCTTTGCCAATGCACCATGGTAATGGTGAGGATTACCACACATGGAGTGTGGGCCATACATACAACATATACTCCACTGTCTTCCTTCCTTGTTAAAATTACGATTCCAATTCGATCTCATAAATAGAATATTTAATTTCATAATTTTTTAATTATTAAAATTGAATAACTTATTAAATTAACAAATTAAATATGAATTAGATTAATTATAATATAAAATATATTATTATTGGTCATTCAATTAGTATACAATTGATGAAAAGATTAATACTGTAAATTATTTTCTTCATAAAATTTTATTAAGTAAAATATTAGAAATTTTCAGTATATAATTTTTTTTTTCATTATTATTTTAAAATTCTTTTCTTCTTCCTATTGGGTTTCTTTTACTCTACATTGTTTTTATTTTTTTAAAAAATAAAGAATCAAATCTATAGATCTAAGCTGTTTTTAATTGTTTTCCTTTAGGCTTGAGGTAGGCCCGTGGGTTACCGTATATACTTTTTGGTAATTATATTTACCTCATATGAGAATTGTGCTAATCTCATATGAGTAGAACGTTTGAGATTTATTACTTTAACCTTTCTTAAGATTATAAAAAAGTAAATTATACCCTTATGTGTAATATATTTTTATAATACAAAATATATTATAAAATCTAAAAAAATTAATTTTATATCTCATCCCTCTTATTACTTTCTCTCTCCTCTCCACCACGGTTACCCCTTCATAAAAAATAATATTGTAAATAAATAAATAAATAATGAGTGTGAGGGCAACTTGGTCATTTTAAGAATTTTTTTTATAAGTTTTGATGGAGAGCGGAGGTTATTGAGCATACACTCAAACCTTAAGGGAGGTCAACGCAATAAATCTGAAACGTTTTACTTGTATGAGATTTAACCAAATCTCAAGAGAAGTCAGTGTAATTTATCTTATATTTTTTACCCTTTTTCTATTTTTGAATAATTTAATTACTAAAAAATAATTATTCCCACCACCTGAACGACAGAGGACGCCTGAAACATCATTAAAAAAATAAGAATAAATAAAATAAAATAAAATAAAATAAAAAAATCATCAACATCAAAGCTCATGCAAACGCTCATGTGCCCCACATAATTTCAAGCTTCCCGTCGTACAACTCATTCCACCAAATAACTCTGCCATCCTCACAACCATCTCACACCCATTCTCCATTCTCGGCGTTCTCCGAGCACAACCTAGCTCGCCGTTGGCCTTGTTGAATCATTGACCACCGATTGTCAGTTCTGTCCATTGCCGGCTTATCAAAGACTTTGCTTACTGCCATACATTTCTTTGTGCCCACCAGATTCAGTTTGTGATTTGGGGATTAAATTCTAGGACATTTTGGTCATTTTAAATGGGTGTATTGGTGTAATTAAGTAATTTTATATATGAAACAAAGTCAGTACAAACTTAAAAGGGTTCGTATAGTCATTTTACACCTAAAAGTACTCGAATATCACTAAAAACTAACATTTAAGATGTAAATAAAATACATAATCACTCTTTGAAATATGAGTGAAAGTTAAAATCAAAATGTTTAGATATGACCTAATATTAAGGAGTGTTAGAATAAATTACTCAAATAACTAACATGGAATTCCTAGCTCAGTAATAAATCCGTTTGCTCACTAAGTAAAAAAATTTAAATTATTAAGTAATTATTTACTCATTTATATATACTCAATACTCTCTCCATTCAAATGCGATGTGTGAAAAAAACACCTCTTACAATTCTCCATTTTTTCTTAGTAATTGGTCACGAGGGTAATGGGGTATATTAAATGGGTATTTTGTGCAATGATAGTATAAATTGAGTGGGTCAATTTGAGCATAATTTAAGTGCAATTTGATTTTTTACGGACTTAGACAATATTTTTTATAATGAGATTGGTTTGGGCAGAAAATTTTAACCTATCTTTAATGAGGATGGGTGAAGTTACTCAAACCCTAACATTAACCTAATTTTCATTTATTTATAATTTTGAATATGTTAGATATACTTGTAATAGTTTCTTTTTTGTCCATCCGATTTCTTATATAATGATCCTTTGAAAAGTGATTCCCTATATTTCATAATCTCACTTACTCCTTTACGGTATTCCAACTTGATAATAGTATGTTATTTTTAGAGTTGTAAATGAACCAAACGTTCGACAAATAGCTCGGGCTCAACTCATTAAGAGCTCAATTCGTGTTCGTTTATTTAATAAATGAGCCAATCCTGAACACAATTTCCAAGCTCAATTATTAACCGAACCAATCCCAAACACACATTCCAAGCTCGATTATTAAACGAGTAACTCTCAAACAACTCCTAGCTCGACTCGTTAGTTCACGAACACGTTCGTGAACAAGCTTGATAATGTACTCGTTTTGAGCTCAAATATATATATATATATATATATATATATATATATATTAATTATGTTTATTAATAATAGACAAGTAAGTTGGGCCCTTAAATTAGTTTAACATAGGGCCTAAAACAACCCAGACCAACTCATTGCTAAAGTAAAACGAACCCAACTCGTTACTCTAAAAACTAAATTAAACAGCCAAAGCCCACTATTTCCCCGCCCCCATTCTCATTTCTCATATCCTGTAAAAATCATATAACTTATCTTCTTTCTCATTTGGTGTAACCCTAGTCGCAAGAGAAGGAAAAGAAGAGAAATATCGACTAATGTGACGACCCCCAACCCCCCAGTCACGCATAAGCCGACAAATCACTCCGGCGAATTACACCGGCGACTACAGAGCTCTTAATTAATCACATATGCAACTACCTTTGCAAGTTCTCTCTTCTCATTTCTTTTCGATATCTCTCCCTTCTCCTCTCTCTCTTTCTTTCTTTCTATTGGATCAGATGAATTAGTGAAGATCTATCAATGATTGAGTCATTGAAGCATGTTATTGGGTATCAATGGTTGAAACATGTTATTGAACAACAATGGTTGAAGCGCGTTATCAATCTCATCGAGCCAAGCTCGAACCCTCTCAATTACAGTCGAGCTCGATCAGGGCTGGCTTAGGATTGATCGAGCTCGAGCCGAGTTCGAACAAATTTATGCATCTGGCGAGCCGAGCCCGAGCACTCCAATGCTCGGCTCGCCCTAGTTAATTTATTATTTTGCCTTAGAATGACAAAATTGATCTTCAGTGTATTTTATGTTGAAATTAGCAATTTCGTTCATATACCCAACGGTAGTGAAAATCTGTTACAAAAACAATAACCTCATGGGAAGTACTCAAATATATATAACTTGACCCAATTTTTATGAAATGTAGATGTGAGATATTAAGAAACAAGTTAAAAGTAATTTTTTTTTTTATCCTTTTTAATATATATACATTCATGTAATTTTTTTTTTTTTTTTTATCCTTTTTAATATATATACATTCGTTTTTTTTTTTTTTTTTTTTGCATGGGAGGGACCAAACATGACATCATTTTAATTTTTGTAACTTGAGTTCAACACTTCAACCTCATTTTTATAACTTGAGCTCAATTTTTATGAATAGTAAAGAGAGTTTAGGTACAATATTGCTAAATTTTTAGATACATAAATTTATCTTTTTAATTATATATACATTCACATTTTTTTTATATATACATCAATTATTGTCAAACATATTGCCCACCAAAAATATGCTATTTTAATCAAGAATAAAGATATTTGTCTACCAACAGAAAGATATTTTCCGACAAAAGCCAGTGGCTGTGTACTAACGCAGTCTTTAACTCTCTGCCTAGCCTGTTGTTAATCATTGTCTTGGTTCATTTCTCAAACTGAATTTGAAACTTCGACAATACATGCAGTGAGTGAGTCATAGCTCAAAAATGGCGAAAACAAACCCTAACCCTGCCCACACTTCTTTCATCGATCCCAAGAGTGGTTTCTGCGCTAAAACCAAAATCTACCACAGCCTCAGGCCCAATGCTCCACTCCCTCCCCAAACCGCTTCTCTCTCCGCCACCGACTACCTTTTCTCTCTCCTCCACCAAAACAATCCCTCGCCGGAAACCACCGCCGGACTCATCGACGCCGCCACAGGCAGTCGAATTACCTGTTCCGAAATCGAAGTCCGTGTCAAAACCCTAGCGTATTCTCTCCGATCCCGAATCGGACTCTCCAAAGGCGACTCGGCCTTCATTCTCTCTCCAAATTCAGTCCACATTCCGATTCTTTACCTATCTCTCTTCTCCATCGGCGTGATCGTATCTCCGTCCAATCCAACCAGCTCGGAATCGGAAGTCTCTCACCAAATCAATCTCTGCAAACCGGCCATCGCCTTCGCGACGGCCGCCACCGCTCACAAGCTACCCCAACTCCGCCACCGCACAATTCTACTCGACTCGGCCGAGTTCGACTCGTTACTCGCGAGTCAACCAGGTGAGTTTCATGATCGAGTCGAGGTTTTGCAATCGGATCCGGCGGCGATTCTCTACTCGTCCGGTACGACGGGGAGAGTGAAGGGCGTGGTGTTGACGCACCGGAACATTGTGTCATATATGGCGGCGGCGAATGCGGTTCGTCCGGTTAGACAATCGCCTCCGGTGATGTTGTGTACGGTCCCGTACTTTCACGCGTACGGGTTTCTGTGCTGCCTGAGGGTGGTGGCGATGGGGGATCGTATGGTGTGGATGGAGAGGTTTGATATGGGGTTGATGATGAAGGCTATTCAGGAGTTCCGAGTGACACACGTGGCGTTGGCTCCGCCGGTGGTGGTGGCGATGGTGAAAATTGCTAATGCCACCAACGGCTACGATTTGAGCTCCCTTGAAGTTGTCTCGTGCGGTGCAGCTCCGCTGCCCAAAGCAGTGTTTGAGAAGTTCAAGAAATTGTTTCCAACGGTGCAATTGGCGCAGGTTTGTGATAGCTTCTTAGATACGGATTGGTGGAATTCGATAATAACTTGATCCAAAATAGAGTTCAAAAAAAGCAAAACAAAAAACTAGTGTATGATAATAATATAATTTTATGATATTTATATATTATTAAAATATTATTATTATTTTTTTCTCATTTGTCTTATTTTATCTATGGAGTTTTTTTTTTTTTTTTTCCTTAACTGTGGTTATTTTTTAGAAAAATGATAGGTAACCAGATGATTTTTTAGAATAAGTCCCCAATTTTTGTCCACCTCATTTACTTAAATAATTTTTTAAAAATAATTATTCAACACAATAAAAATAACTAATCACAGCAATTTAATTCCGAGGTTCATTTTCGATTCTTTTTTAACATGAAATAAAAAATCTGATTTTTTATTTATCCAAAAAAATGATTATTTATATTTATTTTTTTACTTTTTATCATTTTTATTTTAATTATTGAACTACATTCGTATTGAATGGAATATTGTTTAATAACAAATTAAATATAAATTCATTCACAAAATATTTGTTAGTTTATCAAATCCAATTAAGGAATAACAATTATTGAATTCAAATCGCACTAGTCCTGATTCGATCCTAAAACAATTTGTTTACAAGTCTAATAATAATTTTCAAACTCGACAACTAGTGTTAAGCTACATAAATGATGAAATGTGAACCCCCTCTCTTGTTCTCTTCATGTTTGTGGGCTGCCTGCCCCGTCCCGAATAGACGAACAGGAAGAAGTTGAAGAAAGGAGAGAGAGAGAGAGATATATATAGTACTTTTCCTCGGAATTTATGAAGTGGACAATAATAATGGGACGGAGATAGTAACACAGAGTGAAGTCCATTTTGACTTATGTAAAATCTTTGCCTTTAATTCTCTAGTAAGATTTTGTTGATCAGATAAAATAACTGTATATTATAGGAAACATACACACGTACCAGGAATAATATACCAAATTAAGTTATGTAATGATTGCTATTGTGGAGTGGTAGATGCTAATGTGATTGATTTGCATAAATTTGTTATTAAAGGGATTTGGGATGACTGAAGCAACAGCTGGAGTGACTGGAACAATGGGTCCGAAAGAAAGCCAAGTAGTAGGTGCAACCGGGCGGCTTGCGTCCAACTGCCAAGCGAAGATTGTTGATCCCACCACTGCCATTGCTTTGCATCCTCTCAAGACGGGGGAACTTTGGCTTAGAGGGCCATGTATAATGAAGGGTAACAACATCATATGCCATTCTCATTCTTTTTTTCCTCTCCCGAACAACCTATGACTTGGCTTGCAAAAATGTTCATAAACTTTTGGGTGATTGGGAAGATCCAGACCCAAATTTGATCCGAAAGATGGCCTTAATTTGTGCGGGTTTCCTGCCAAAAACCACGGGTTTAGGGGCAGGTCTCCGGATTTTTTTTTTGACCCATTTCTCTCTTGTGGGTTGTGGATTTTGTTCTAGAACTCTTGTAACCTAGTATATATATAGGGGCATTGGGTTTGAAATGTGTAACGAGAGAACACTTATAGCCATACAAAAAAAGAGTTTAGGGTTTGAAGTGTGTAACGAGACAACACTAATAATCGTCGGAAAAGAGTGAGAGAATTGAAGATGATTTGAATCATGTTGCAACCCAATTTTAACCTGAAAGACGGGCTTTGTGTGGGTTTCCCACCAAAACCCACGGGCTTGGGCAGTGTCTTCGGGATTTTTTTTTGACCCATTTCTCTCTCGTGGGTCATGGATTCTGTTCTAGATCTTTTGTAACCTAATATATAAGGGCATTCAGGGTTTGAAGTGTGTAACGAGAGAACACTTGTAGCCATAGGAAAAAGAGCGAGAGAATTGAAGAGATGATTTGAGGGCTAAAACTTGCAATCACCTGTTTGTTCGTAAAGTGAAATCTTTCACGGAAATCTTTGTGTTCTCTATGTAGTGCGTATTTACTTTTCATTCAATTTCTTGATTGCGTTCTTGGTTTGTGGCATTTGTGGTAACAAATAGGTCAAGCTCGAGAATGAACTTGAGATCGAGGTCAAAATTAGCTAAACAACCCTGTTGAAGGATGGAAATGTTAAAAGTAGATGATGGTTCACATGTTATAAGAGCAAAAGATCTCAAATTGAAACTTCACCGTCACTCTAATTGAAAATTAAAAACACGTCTGAGGCGGAGTTTAAACACTAGTTCTATCTTTGCTCAAGCCCCCAAATGAGTTATTAATTTTTTTCTTTTTGGGGGTGGGGGTAGGAGCATTATTGGATTGTGATCATTATAGTGCCTATTGAGTTTTTTTAATGAACTTTATTTAAAAATTCAAAAAAAGAAAAAAAAAAAAAATAATAACATAATTAAAGTTATGATCCTACTGGGTAGGCTATGTTGATGATGAAGCAGCAACAGCTGCAGCTTTGGATTCGGAGGGATGGTTAAGAACCGGAGACCTTTGTTATTTTGACCATGAAGGCTTTCTATTCTTTGTGGACAGGATAAAAGAACTAATCAAATACAAAGGGTACCAGGTGAAGTCTCCACATTTTTTGTTCACTTTTGCAAAGAATTTTTTTATCTGCTTCAGACTTTCCTATTCTCCATGACTTCATCTTTGAATAATCATTTTGTGTATGCCATGTTTTTCGTAATATTAGGTTGCTCCAGCCGAGCTGGAACATCTACTTCACACCCATCCAGATATAGTTGATGCAGCTGTGATACCGTAAGTATTATCTACTCACATTAATTCAACAATATTTAAAAGGACTAGTCCAATGCATGAAACTACGTCTATGTTACTTGAAACATAAATGGACAGGTATCCTGATGAGGAAGCAGGTCAAGTACCCATGGCCTTTGTGGTGAGACGATCCGGGAGCACCATTGGCGAGTCACAAATTATGGATTTTGTTGCTAAACAGGTAATTTTCTCTCTCCGGACACTAATGATAGTGTAATGGCTATAATCAAACAGTTTTAAAATTATTTATTTATTTAATTCTGTGTATTTGATATTTTGGTAAAAACTGATTATAGGTTGCTCCATTCAAGAAAATAAGAAGAGTATCATTTGTTAATTCATTGCCTAAGAATGCTACTGGTAAGTTGTTGAGAAAGGAGTTGATCAAGCTTGCATTGTCCAGTGCTTCTTCTAAGTTATAGTTTTTATTGCAGTTTGTTGTATATATATAACTCTCAGAATAAAGAAGTTGTGCTTATCCGAAGAACAATCAAATATAATGATGCAATGGACCTTGACCATGAAAATAAATTCTGGTTTAGTGAATTGTGCAATCTTACAGAGGGTGAATCCAACCCTATTTTATTTAACTGTACAAAACAGAAGAGGTGACTACTGCTATCTACATCGGCGAAGCACAAAGAACAATAGTTGGGAGTGTGTTGCTTGACGATATACTTACAGGCTCTGCTATAGAGCAATGTAACTGAAAGCAATCCAAGCAACCAACACGCCAGTGGCTTAGCGATACCAAACTCTTACTTTCTAAAGGGAGGTCGTAGAATCAATACAATCTCTGGTGATAGGAATTTGCTCCCTAGTCCCCACACCATTGACAATATCTCTGAAGGATTGAGGTAATCTCCACTGGTTTCGCCTGATGAGGCAGTCCACTGTAGCCATATATCATTCCACTGTGAACTCAGAATAACCTCCTATCAATCCTCTGGTCAAGTGGACCTAAAGGAAGCTAATGATCGTGCCATTAGGATGTGTCCCTGCCGTTGCCCATCACATTTTTGATAAATGGTCTGGCAAGGCTTCGGAGATTGAGAATCATCTTCCGCTTCCACGAATTCAACTGAGATGGTTTGAGTGTCCAGAAAAGAAAATGAGACTTTTGGAATGATTTGGTGGTAGTCCGGAAAGAGTTGAAAATAGAGGCAGAGGACACGCAACCGAAGCTAAGGTTTTTGTAAAAACTTTATGCTTGATAACCCCTCATCATTATCATTTTCTTTATTCCGTAAGGACAAGAGTCGGATCGATCACATGCATTATTATTTATTGTACACCATGTATTTTCTTAAGTTTGAAATTTTAAAATCGTTTTTGATTACTTCATCTCACATAAGTTTTGGTTAATCTTTTTGTCATTTTCCTTCTAAGCAAACAACTCCTCCCGTACAATCTTCATAACAAAGCATGGTCCCAAGGCACGCCCTTAAAATATAACTTAGACAAATTGGCATTGGTTGGGAGTTGGGACACCTAAATTCGAGCCCAAATTAAATTAATTTGGGTTAGAATTGCCCAAATCTAAGTCACTCTCTCTCTCTCTCTCTCTCTCTCTCTATATATATATATATTTATATATATATATATAACCCATGAATGAATGCGCAAATTGCACCCCTATTCCTATATAATATAGGGGATTTGTAATAGTTGTGCGACTTGGTGAGAATTAAATGAGATGACACGTTAAAATAGCTTTTCTATTCATTGGCCATAAAAATCCCTTAAAATGACCAGCATTTTTTTTTTTTTTTCGAAAATTAAATGACCAGCATTTTCTAACAAAGATTTTACATTTGCTAGAAAAGAACAAAATGGAAAAGAAACGGCAGTGTTAAACCTCATCAGGTTTGAACAGTTAGGAAAAAAAAGGAAAGAAAATGATAATAGATACTAATTAATTAGGAAAAACATATTGATAATTATTTCAGTTTCATATTCCCTTAGGTTGAATATTATCTGAGACATACTTTTGTGGGCTTAGCTTGCAATCGTGACGAGTTCGGACTTAAACCTACTATTATTTTAAAATTTTGAATTCATGTTCAAGATCATTTTAACTTGTTCATAAATCAGTATAAGCTTACACAAGTTTATTTTTATGAACATATATTCATATATTCATGAACTTACACAAATTTATATTTACTAATGCGTTCTTGAGGTTATATTCATGAACATATACGAGTATACACCGTTTATGTTTACGAATCTAAACAAATCGAGTCTAATATTATTAAGGATTGGCTCTAAAAATCAAGCTCAAGCTTAGCTGATTTGGTTAGGTCTCGTTTGCCAACCACAGTTGTTTTGTGTTTTTGCTTTAATCCGAAGTAATGTTTTGACTTTGAAGTGTGATCAATATTATTATTTGAAAGTCTGTTTGGTAACATCTATTTGTTGAATGATTTTTTTGAAAGTAAAAACATGAAAACATATTACATAAAAAATGTTGCAAGTTTGACATGCATGCTGGATTGCGCTATGCTGGCGTGCACGCTGGGCTGCGTGGTGTGCATCTTGGACTGTGCCTCGGGGTTTGGTACACCTGTTTGTTTTAGAAGCGTTTTGTAACTATTTAAATGGCAACAAATGTTACCAATATTCTTCGTGCTTTAAATTTGCTACAATACACACTGATAATTAAAAAAACACGAAACAGAAGCAATTGCCAAACAAGCCTAAACCAACAGCTTAATTCTCGACCGTGTTTATCAGCAATGCAATGGGTCTTACTCCAATGTTTTCATCTTGCTTCAGAAAATTTTAATCTGCTTAAAAATAATTTAGACTTGATGTCAGTTTCGATTATATATATGTCGATCTATCTATCTGACAATACAAAAAGAAGTAAAGAACAAAGAGTCATCATTCCGCCGCCGTAGACTTGGTTGAGTTGGTAAGGTCTTAATCTGAACACCCATATATTCAAGGTTCAAACCTTGCCACCTCCATTATTACCCTCGACTTATCCTGCTGCTTACACTGTGGAATCGAGTAGTTGTGAGGGTTCCCATGTCAAAAAAACAAAAAAAAAAATTATCATTCGGTCACACCAACGTAGAAAATGCTTGGGCCGGCAAATCATTGAGGTGGGGGCTCCACACAAAATTTAAGTTCCATAATATTCTACGGAATTTAGCAGTTCCTCCCGCTGTATATGTAATCCCATATATCGAAGATAAGAGACTCGTAACATAATTATCAATACCCAACCACCAAAAATCTAGAATATTTTAATTACTGATGGAAATGGACAACTGATAGAATCTAGGGTTAAGTGTAAAAAAAAACCCCTGATGTATAAAGTTTATGCTGAATTAATTTTTATTTTTTGAAAATATGCTTGTTAATATATAAAATTAAAAAAAAAAAAGTACAAATAAGACCCTCTGAACACTTTTTGACAAAAACTAAATATGAAAATTCTATTTTACCTTTTGATTCCCATTTTGCCCCTCACCCATATATGTGCCCCTATACCCGTTCCCTGCAATCCATGCTTGGCCGGAAACCATATCTTCTTCGTCGACGAGAACTGAATATTTTACTGTGCATTCTATCTCTCCGACTTCTTCGATCGTGAATCTTCATTGTTTCAAGGTACAGACTCTCATATTCTCTCTCTACAACGAACTGTCAGTGGAAATTCAGCCGGGTCTTCGTCGAATTTGTCTAGAAGAAGCCTGGAAATTGCACCCGTAGGATGAAAGCCGAGATGGGTTGAGTTCTGGAGCGACGTCGCCGTTCCAGGCGGAGAAACTCAAACTCCTCGTCTTCTTCGTGTTCGTTACCGGAACGGTTCTTCGACATACCCAGGTCCGAAAATGCTGAATTGGGTTGAAGAATACATGCGATAGATCGGGTTAGTTCTCAGAGATGACAGATGGGAGGAATTGAACGTTGCCAAGATCGTACACGTGTCAGCATCCGGGTTCTTCAAAGACCAGATGGTTTTGTTAGACAATGAGGAGAGAGATGGTTGTGGGTAGTCGGCGGCCATAGTGGGGAGGAGGCGGTGGCCATTGTGGGGAGGAAGTGGGAGGAGGCGGCGGCGTGGGGAGGAATAGTGCTACAGTGTGTGTGTTTGGATTTCAGTTTTTATTATATCCAATTTTAGGTTTAGCTTATCCAAATTCGATACAAATTGAGGTTTATTTTATTTTTGTCTCAAACAAACACAATTTTACACAAATTGGACAAAAGGGTCATTTTACATGACCTGTATTTATAGTTATTAATTTATTCAACTGAAGTGATGGTATTATACTATTATCGTCATTTTGTACCACACATGGACCTATTTGCACCAAATTGATAATATAGGGGGGTTTTATACCACACATGGACTGTTTTGCACTATTTCGATAGTAGAGGGGGTTTTTTGCACTTAACCTTAGAATATAATATCGTAAGATACTTTCCAAATAAAACAGAGATTGTCGGCTACGTTTTCAAGGAAGCCAAAAATTTCTACGGTTTGAAAAAATTTCTACTAATTTATAATGGGAGTTAAATGTTATCATGATTCAATATCATAATCACGTTAGTTTCAATTTTTTTAAAAAATATACTACTTCTGTATTAAAAAAAAATTTACATAAATTTTTCATTTTTTTCAAAGCAAAAAGTGTTAAAACTTAGATTAGTAGATGTAGAGAGTTAAAGTCTGATATTTCAAATCTATCGAAAACAACCAACTAAATCATATAAATGGTGGAATGATGTGCTTTGATTTTGGAGTAATTGTTGTCTAATTTCAGGCCCATTGATACTGTATCAATTTAGATTGCTAATGTAATAAATATATTTACTAAATTACCGAGATGTAGTTATTGCAAAAATAATGTGAGTTGTTGAAATATAGAGGATAGGAGTTCACAGACAATATATGTGTACCAAGTTCATCGTATTTTTAGTATTTGTCTCCACCCGATACTCAATTAGTTCATAACTCAAAACAGAATGAAACTTGGAGAAATGGCAGAAACAAACCCTAAGCACACTTTTTTGATGGATCCTAATAGTGGTTTCTGCTCCACAACCCAAATCTACCACAGCCTCAGGCCATTGCTCCACTCCCTCCATAATCCGCTTCTCTCTTCGCCACCGACTACGTTCTTTTTCTCCTCCACCAAACCTGTCGGTCCCCGGAAACCACTGTCGGACTCCATCTGTCGCACAGCTCAACCCAACGCTTTTGCCAAGTGGTAGGAAACGCGCCACTAAAGTCAATACGAAAAGGACTCAATTTCCAGACCTTACAAGCAAACGGGCAAGTGCAAAGAAGATGATTTACGCTTTCATCATATTTCCCTCAATAAGCACAGCCAGAGAATTGAGACGCCCCACACTTAAAAAGCTGATTATTCATCGGAATCCATTCATGAAGGCTCTGCCAAATAATGATCTGAATTTTCTTATGAGCATGAAGGTGCCACACCCCCTTCCACATATCTCCACGAGATGTCTCAAAACCAAGAATAGATGGAGTAGAAGGAATGAGAATTGAAAGAGCCACTCCATAAGCGCATTTGACAGAGAAACCGCCATCAGAAAGTGCCGCCCTATATTTTACTATCAGCTCCACCCCTAACGCTCAAACGAATCTAAAGGACAGACTTGTAATCCCTCTCATTAAAATGTTGACGAACCAAAGGAGCATTTCAATAGTGAGACGAAGGAATAATAAGAGCCGATATTGAGGAAAAATGAGCATAGGTTGGTTTTGAAGTGAAATTAGGAGAATTCGGAATCCAATTATCGGTCCAGTAGTTAATCAAAGAGCCGTCGCCAATACGCCACTTCATACCTTTTTTGATGACCTTCTTAGAGCAACTTTAATGGCCTGCCAAATGGGTTGTCAATCTCAAAATATAGCAGGTGGGTTTACTGTTAAATAGGCTGCCAAAATATAGCTTTGCCTAATCTTGTACCAAATATAGCACAAACTATAGCTATTGCTATTGCTTTTGCCAAACTGAAATATATGGGTTTTGAACTTCTGATTCTTGTAAATTTTGTAGGTTGGTGTTATGCTTGTATATGTCAGTGTTGGTATATATGTCTGTATATATATGTCTATTAATCCAAAAATGGTCTAAATTTGAAGACTATGTTGGATTTGATGATTATTATTTTTTATCTATTTTTAATAAATCAAATAAGTTAAATAAAATACAAACACTCACACACACACACACACAAAATATGGTTGTTGAAAATTAGTCGTTAGAAATGGTAGTTGAAAAATAATAATAATTATGTCAAAAAATAGTATTTTGAATGAAATATATTATTAGAGTAGAATTGATAAAATATGACATTTTAATATTGTAATTTTTCTCAAAATATAATTTTAATATACAAAAATAATATTTTACATTGAAAATAGTCTTAACTGAAAGAATAGTTTTACACGCCCACAAAGCGTTAGATTTATTAGGCGCATCCACAGAGTCACAGCTCCTAAAATTTTTCTGCTTGAAGGAATTGACCAGTAAGGATCAATCTCCATTTTCCATCCTCCACGCTGTCATAGCTATATTTAACTGACAATACAAAAGAGATAAAGAACAAACGTCCCACCAACATAGAAAATGTTTAGGCCGGCAAATCAATGAGGTGGGCTCCACACAAAATTTATCCGATCACCATATCATAAGATCGTAACACTATTATCAATACCCAACCAAGAAAAATCTAATTTTTTTTATTTATTGATGGAAATGGACGACTGATAGAATCTAATATCATAATGTTGTAAGATACTTTCCAAAAAAAAATAAAAAAATACTTTCCAAAATTATTAAACAATCTCTCCATACCCATTAGTCCGATTAATTTATATGACCAAAAGTTAATAAGTGTTTAATGTTATGTGATTCTATATATATTAATTTTTATTTTTAATTATACTACATGTCTTAAAAAAATGTCCCCCATTCAAAAACTGTGACTAATATTTCTCCCGAGGGGGTAATTATATAAATGGTAGAATCACGTGCTTTGATTTTGGAGCAATTATTGTCTAATTTCAGGGCATTGATCCTATCAATTTAGATTGCTGATGTAATAAATATATTAAAAAAAAAAAATTACATATAAATGGAGTCAAAGTTCCATATTTACTTAGCGGCTGAGTTAAAGTTTCATATTTCTCTAAAATGGATTGCTGAAGTGGCACGTGATTTTTTACTGTTTAGAAATTGTGGTGCCTAAAATACCCTTCCGCGAAGGTACTACTTTTTTTTCGAAGGTATTACTTTTTTGAACTGAAGGTATTACTTTTTGGTATTCAGGTACCATGTTTTTTAAACACCCGCGAAGGTACTACTTTTTCTCCGAAGGTACTACTTTTTTAAACTGAAGGTACTATTTTTTTAAACTCAAGGTACTACTTTTTTGTTAGGGAAGGACATTTTAGGCACTATAATTTTCTAAATAGTAAAAAACTATGTGCCACCTCAGCAATCCATTTTAGAAAAATATGAAACTTTGACTCAGTGTCTAAATAAATATGAAAGTTTAACTCCATTTATATGTAATTTTCCCTTAAAAAAATTACTGAGATGAATTATTGCAAAAATAATGTGAATTGTTGACAAGTGTACCAGGTTCATTGTATTTCTGGTATTTGTCTCCCACACGACACTCCGACTAGTTCATAACTCAAAGAGAATCAAACTTCGAGAAATGACAGAAACAAACCCTAATCACACGTTTTTTGATGGATCCCAGGAGTGGTTTCTGCTCCACAACCCAAATCTACCACAGCCTCAGGCCCAATGTTCTACTCCCTCCACAATCCGCTTCCCTCTCCGCCACCGACTACGTTCTCTCTCTCCTCCACCAAACCTGTCGGTCGCCGGAAACCACCGTCGGACTCATTGACGCCGTTACTCGCAGTCGCATTACCTTTTCCGAAATCGAACTCCGTGTCAAAACCCTAGCGGACTCGCTCCGAACCCGTATCGGACTCTCCAAAGGCGACTCGGCCTTCATTCTGTCTCCAAACTCAGTCCACATTCCGATTCTTTACCTATCTCTCTTCTCGATCGGTGTCATTGTCTCTCCTTCTAATCCAACCAGTTCGGAATCGGAGGTCTCTTACCAAATCAAGCTCAGCAAACCGGTCATCGCCTTCGCCACCTCAGCCGCCGCTCGCAAGCTTCCCCAACTCCGGCACGGGACAATTCTCCTCGACTCGGCCGAGTTCGACTCTCTACTCACGAGTCAATCAGGTGAGTTTCGTGACCGAGTCGAGGTTTTGCAATCCGATCCCGCGGCGATTCTCTACTCGTCCGGGACGACGGGGAGAGTGAAAGGCGTGGTGTTGACTCACCGGAACACTGTGGCAATTGTGGCGGCGGCTAATGCTGTTCGTCCGGTGAGGCGATCGCCGCCGGTGACGCTGTGTACGGTGCCGTATTTCCACGTGTACGGTTTTTTTTACTGTGTGAGGGCGGTGGCGATGGGGGAGAGTTTGGTGTGGATGGAGAGGTTTGATCTGCGGTTGATGATGAGGACGATTCAGGAGTTCAGAGTGACGCACGTGGCGTTGGCTCCGCCGGTGGCGGTGGCGATGGTGAAGGATGCGAATGTGACGAAGGGCTACGATCTGAGCTCCCTTGAAGTGGTGGGCTGTGGTGGAGCTCCGCTGCCCAAAGCGGTGATAGAGAAGTTCAGGAAATGGTCTCCCAATGTACAAGTGGCGCAGGTTGGTCCCACACATTTATACTGATATACTCACTCTAGTACTCACTCTAGTAAAAATAGTTTTCCTGTTTTAGAAAATTAAAAATTTTAAAATTTTACCCCAAAAAAATCGATTAATTTCAATTTTCTGAAAATTATTTTTATAAAAGGTTTGGTTTATTTTTTTTAATTTTAAATATATATATTATAATTTTCGGAAAAACAGTATTCTATTTTGTGAAATCTTGATAATTGATAAAAAAAAATAATAATAATAAAAAAAAACTGAAGCAAACATCCAATATATATATATATTTTCCCTAATTATATTTACAGACACACCTCTATGGAGACTTAAAACCCCGCCTCTAGATACCTAGCATGTTGATAATACTTTTTGAATAAAACAAGTCTTTGACCCAAAAAAAAAAAAAAAACCCTAACCTTCTAACAAAATCATAAAATTAAGGAGTAATGATGAGAAAATCATAAAATTAAGGAGTAATGATGAGAAAATGTCATTATCACCGTTCTTGTTTTCTAGTCTTGTCTATTGTCGTATCCAATCTAATATTTAACATTTTAAAATTATTTTTAGGGTAAATTTTTCAAAACCCCCAAAACTATCAATAAGTGATCATAAAACCCCAACCTGTTTCTAAAAACCCTAACACTATTATAAAGTTATCACATTGCCTCAATATCCGAGTCCGACCCGTTAACCGGGCATGACAAATTTAACCTTATCATTTTTTAAATTAAAAATAAAAAATTATTATTTTTTAAATTTCAAAAATACCCTCTCCTATTCTTTTTCTTTTTCTTTTTTCTTTTTTCTTTTTTCTTTTTTCTTTTTTGTTTCTTCTCATCATCATCTTCGGCAGCAAGAATACTGCCGGCGATGAAGCAAATCGCTGCCGGCAGCGACCAAACCAGGTATCAATGAAGAAATCAAAACAAAGATAGCTCCAGTATTGTGTATAATAAACCAAACTGTGTGTCATACATTTGCACCAACACAAAATATAGAGAAAGAAAAAGTAAAGAGAGAGAGAGATGGAGAAGAAGCCGTGGTTCAGCTTCAAGAGACTGGGGAAGAAGAGTTCGTGGACATGGAGGTTTAGGAGTTTTGGGCTTCGATGGAAGAGGCTGACTTTTCAGATTGGGTTCATCAACGACTCTCTCTTCATAATCGTGTCTGTGTTTGAAGCCATTGTTCTGGTCTCAACACTCTGTTTCTTCTACCTATGTTGCGGTTGTAACTTCTGAGCCTTTAATTGGAAGAATTGGGTTCCCTGATATTCTAGAGAGAGAATGGGTACGTTGGAGTGAGAAATAGAGGAGGAAGATTGGGCTTGAGATGGAGGAATGGTCAAATCTTGCGTGTGATTGAATGTTCTGAAATTCAAATCTAATGGGCTTTTTTTTTTTTTTTTTTATTTTTTTATTTTTTATTTTTTACGAAGAGCATAAAGTTTCTCTCTCATTTAAATTAGGTTTCCTGAGAAAAAAGATAAAGACGATGAGGTAGTGGAAGAAGAGAAAGGTGGGTGAGTCGCCGTGTAGCATTTTTACTCGCTCTTCTCCATATCTCTCGATGGTTCCTTAATATCTGTGACTTCGAGATTCGGCGCTTCAATGGCGCCATCGTCAAATCTTCATGACGTTGATGCATACACTTTTCATTGGTGAATCATTCTTCTCTCAATTTTGAAAAGCTTCTGGTCGTCATCCATGGTGCTCACCAGGTCGCGCTCTGGCAACCTAGTTGATCGGTAGAAGAAGGACACAACCTTGGGCCGCCGATGAGGAATAAGCAATGGTAAGCAGTGACTAGTCCAGCGACCTTGCTGGAATAAGAGGAAGCCGGTAGCGACCTGGATTGGTCGCTGCCGACGGCGATTAGCTTCATCGCCTGCAATATTCTTGCTGCCGGAGATGATGATGAGAAGAAACAAAAAAGAAAAAGAAAAAGAAAAAAGGAGAGGGTATTTTTATAATTTAAAAAATAATAATTTTCTATTTTAATTTAACATTAAATAATAAGGTTAAATTTGTCATTTCACAGCCCGGTTAACGGGTCGGACTCGGATATTGAGGCAATGTGATAACTTTATAATAGTGTTGGGGTTTTTAGATACAGGTTAGGGTTTTATGATCACTTATTGATAGTTTTGGGGGTTTTGAGAAATTTGCCCTTATTTTTAAGAATTCATTGCATGTTTATTTTGGGCACTCTCATTACCTCTTATTCTCTATTCAAATTAACTTTTCTCCAGTGTGTCTAAGGTTCTTCTATATATATGTGTGTGTGTGTGTCCATACCGTAGGTTACATTTTCCAACCTATCACTAATAGGTGCCACACCTAATATCTCCCTCGCCATTTTGATATGTTACTCTCAGGGATGGAGCCAGGATTCAAAGTATGGGGGCGAAGTATTATCAGTTTTACCAATATAATATAATAATATTTTAAGCCAAAAATATTTCATTATCGATTAGATGCATATAAAAATATATCTAACCAAACTTTGGTTAATATTAGAGGCAAAAGCAGCATAAGGAACATCATTTTTTTTTAAAAAAATGAGTCAATAGTTCTTTTTGGCTTGACCTCGTATAACATTGTACCTAAATAGGGTAATTCAAATATAAACTTTTAATATCTAGGGTTTTGCATTGTAATTTAAACCATCCTAAATTCCTAATAAGCATAATTGAGTAGTAAATAACAGTGCGCCTTCATTGCGCATAAAACAACTAATTTTAAAAATAAAACAATTATCACCCACAAAAATTGTGCGCCTATGCAATGTCTAAAAATAAATTGTGCGCCTGTGCTGTGTTTAAACTCTTCATATCTTGACAATGTGCGCCTGTGCAATGTGCAGTGTGCATATGACAAGTAACTAATAATTATAAATTATTACCACCAACAAAAAATTGTGTGCCGGTGTAGTAGTGTGCATAAGACAACTAAATAATTAGATGGAGTTAGTGTACTGTAACGGTGAACTCTGTGAGCTTAGAATTTGTTTTCCAAGTTTTTCTTAGTTCCGTGAGCCTTGCTTTGACACATTCAAAATGATCACCTGAATTAAAAGAGAGTGAACAAATAATTAGATGGAGTTTGTGCTTGTTTATCATATTAGATTTTATTTTTTATTTCATTATTTCATGAGTCAAACCATTTCTATTTGTTAGTAAATTAGTAATATATGTGTAGGTGCAAAATTTCCCTCAACCAATAATGATTGAGAAAAATAGAACAACACACTCAAAAAACAATAAGAATAAATAAGAACAGTGTATAAAGAAGCGTAGAATTGCTTGATCCCTTTATTGGAGGTCTTAGCCTCTATTTATATACAAAAGATTGTAAAATTATGGTAGGACCCGCGTTGCTTGCCCTCCAATTCTTTCTATATAAACATTCTTTACTAATAGAGTTCTTTCCATTGTCTAATTTTCCATACATAGAACTTGCCTTGTACAGAACTTCCTATCTCAGAATTTTCCTTCTACAGTAAATCCTTGAACTGGTAGGACTTGTGCATTCTTGAATAACTGGGCTGAATATATTTTGATCCGGCTGGGCTTGAGTAACGGACCGGATGTTAAATATTAACAAGTTGGGCTGATGACCTCTCAATTCGGCCTTGATGGAGGTTGGAGGACAAATAACAATGGTCTTGGGCTGTAAATACCCTCAATTTGGGCTTGAGCCTGATGGACCTCATATGTCCTTGGAATGTAGATATGTGTAGTGGTGACGTGTGCGCTTTTTATTAGAGGGAGTTTTTTTTCCCTCCACACTTTGTCCCAAATTTCATTTTTAATTGAGTGACGGCTCCTATTAAAGAGGGAATTGAAACCGGTTTTTTACTTTGCTTCAGAAACGGTTCGAGGTTTTTCATTATTACTCCGTCATACAAGATTTTGCAAGAGTTACATTCGCCCTTGCTGCACTTCTACGTTCTTCATTCCATCGCTTTGTCAGGTTAGTTTCGCATCTTTCTCTTCAATCTTTCATTATGAGTACTTCATCTACTCCCGAACGTATAGACATTGGGGATTCTGAATCCACACCTTCATCTTCCCCCGTTCGCATTAGGGCTCCCCTTCGTAGGGTTTCTACAGATCGTCTTTCGTTGAATCCATTAGGTACTTCCCCCCTTCCAGCCGAGACATCCACCTCAGGCTCTGATTATGTTCTTACTCATGAAGAGAGGAAAGCAATCATCTCTATTCGCCGCATCAAGTTCTCTATTGCTTCGGTAATGGAAGAATTTGATATTCCTGAGGGAGTAGAAATTGCAGAATATCCCGAGGGTGCAGATTTTACCTCCGGCGAGGGAATTGAGGAGAATGAATTGCTTCTTTCGGTAGGGCATCTTAACGCCCTCCGATTCCCTCTTCATCCCTTCTATCATTTAGTTTTCAACAAGCTAGGTCTTGCCCCCCTTCAGGTAAATCCTAATTTCTTTCGCATCCTTTCGGCACTGTTGGTGCGCCGGAAATTAGAGGCTCTGGATTTGACCCTTGCCGACCTTCTGCTTACTTACAATATATCTAAGCATGGGACCGAGCCTGGTCGCTTCTTTTTTACCTCTCCCCTTCATCAGAGGATAGGCACGAACCTTCCTTCATCCGAAAAGAAATGGAAAGAAAGGATGGTTATAGTTAAAGGAAAATGGTTCGTGTCCCAATCAATTACGCTTCCCATCTCGCGCAAGTTCGGGAGATTAGGTATAGAATACTTAACCTCCCTTCATACCAAGTGTTCTGGCTGTTTTCCTTGCCAAGTCTTAATGTTTCGCCGTACTTATGAGTTTCTTGGTGTTTTTTCAGCTACATTCCCATCCTCCGCAGCAAGGAACTGACTTTCTTTTCTTGAGGAACGAGTCTGGAGTGACCCCTCGCCTATCGAGGACCTGTTAACTTCTTCAAACCTCAAGGATATTGCCTCCAATGCTGTTGCTGCAGACCTCATGGATCTGTCTCTACCATCCTTTGACAG